TTTTTTAAAATTTCTATTGCTTAAAACTCTTTACCAAAATTCAACAAAATTATTTTCCGTGAACAACTTCTTAATTTTTTTTATTATCAACCAACTACCATTGCTGTGTGTTCATCCATTTGAATAAAATCATAATTTAAAAATATCATCATTAAAAAAAGAATTATCTTAGAAACCCTCTGTTTTTTGCATTTTCCAAGATGGATAATGAAATAGCACTTACGTCAGCCTAAAATTCTTAAGCCGATTCCCATCTACAACGTAGGTAATCCCTTAGTCGTGTGCATGTGTGCAGAGCATGAAACTGTGCATATGTACGACAGGCACAATATTAAATCCGACGCGTTTCGTCAAAAGAGCAAAGCCCGTATGCAAATGAGGCGTGCAAAAAACGGTCCAGCCAAAAACAAGCGGGCACCGCTTCAACTTGGCACTTGTCAGTTGATTTTTTCGTACTTGCACCATTATCTAGCGGCGCAAAATAATATAACTTTTAATTGCTTGCCGCACGCAAGGGGAACAAAGCGTTTAAAAGAAATAAAACATCTGCAGCAATCAATTTTGAGAAATCAATTTTAACGAAAAAAAATGTTTTGTGCGATTTTCACGATTCGCGGCCCAATTGCAGTGGAGTTAATTGTCGTGGAATTGGCAATGCTGATTTTTCCGGGGTGGGGTCGCGCGAGGGGCGCGTGCGCAGGGGTGGCATCCGTGGTGGTGGCTGAAAAAGCACCCCTTCGCAGCCAGTGCATCGCCGAGAGGAGTTAGCCAGCCCTTCTTGGACTTACTCTCACTTAATTTGTGCTGAAAAGTTGCTGCAGGCCGAATCCAGATCGTCGTTTCGCCCTCGATTCAGGTAATAACCCTTGCGGAAAACCGCACGCGAGGAATTTTCGACTCTGGGCGTCGCGGAGGCGCGATTTCAGGCTGCGAAGTGGCTCGGATTCGGAGCCCCCCTCGAGCGTGCCCGACTATCTGTGGATATGCAGAGGCATTTCTGCAGTACAGCACGACCAAAAACGACTCTGGGGGCGCGTTTTCGGTTTTGCCACGCGGCGAAAAAGTGCTGCCGATATTTTTGCGGCCTGTGGATTTCGCGTAAATGGCCGCCGCGTATATGAATATGCATATTTTATTTGCAAATTGTTGCGCCACGTAATTGCCGCGCCAAATCGTCGCCGCCGCCACGCGCTGCATTTTTCACACGCGCCCCCTTCACAATAGCATCCGACTGCGGCACTCGCTTAATTGGATTAATTCCGACACTCTACAGGAACTTTTACTTTCTCCCTATGATACGACGTATCGATTTCCTACCAAAAACCTCTGCATATAGCAGCAAAATATGCGAAAATCCAATAATTTCGGGATATTTCGGATTTTGTCTGGTAATTTTTTTCAAAATTTTAAATTCAAACAAAAATTATAAATTGTGTTGAAAAAAGCCATTTTAAAGTGAAAATTAACCCCCAGAATCGATTCCCTGGGTAAAAACTTTGTAGGATACAAATCCTTTCCAGTTGCAACGAGTATTTAGCAAAAATCACCAAAGACGGAATAGTTGGTTTTGTTAAAATTCTCAATATTATGCTTCATTGGCTTAGTTTTTCTCATTAATTGCATTCCATAGATATTGAAAGGTTGTTTGTGAAAACTCGATGCAATTTTTGTGCTGCCAACAAGAGGATTTTCTTTGCTTTTTAATCCGCCTGGTTAATATTGAAATATCCACAGTGCTCTCTGAATTATTAGTATTTTATGCCTTGGAATTCAAATTTAACCTGAAATTGGCTTTATATTCCATTAAGAATTTAAAAATTATATAATCGCAATTGGATTTTTGATGCTACATATCTGATTTTTATTTAAACTTTCAAACATTAGTTTACTGTCTAATAATTAGGCAATCACTGCCCCAACACGTCATTTAGATTATTCAAAGATATTTACTGATTGGGTGGAAAAAAATCTACTGCAAATCAAAGAATATCAATTTTTGGTAACGTTTATTTCACAAAATCATATTAAGAATTTAAGGTTATAAACTCATGAAGTAGAAAGTTCTAATTAAACTCTAATTAATGTCCAAAATTAATTCAAAATTTATATTTTTCAATTCTAACTTGATCCTAGTTTTACCGCATTTGTGGGGTTTGGATTTCCCCCCAAATTCGTTTGATGCGCCAGAGGATTTTGCCGCATCACCCACCGTCCAGGCCCCGTCGCTAGAAACAAGGTCGCTGCGCGTAATTGGCCTACGACGAAACGTGACCTCCAGGGCTAGGAAAGCTCGGCGTCAGCCGCAAATCATCGAGTTTTGTCACAGAACCGTTCCGCAACAATGGACCGAACCATATAAATGGACGCAAACTATGCTGCGGTGCACGGAAAATTGTTTTTGCGGCAACGCCTATCAATCAATAAAAATCACTCCTCGAGGAGCAATCCAGACGCGACTCCTGTCACCCGGCCAGCAACAGTAAAACACAATGGTACACTGCAGTTCACGGCAACAATAAAGCGCAAATCGCACACCTTCGCCCAAGGTCTGCTCCTGATCACTGATCGTGCACGATAACACGCCCGTCGAGAAATAACCTAAATAGATTAAATTAGAATTGCACTTCTGTAATTGAACGATTGCTTTTTATTTGTGTCATAGATAATGTCTATTGGTGATTGCTTCTGTGTTTTCATTTCACTCATCTGATTATCGAACAATTGACGTATTTTAAACAACCCTGTTTCGCCCGTAGCGTGCAAATATAGGCATAAAATTTTTCCGCATTAGTTTAAATAGAGATTTTTTTTTAAATTTAGAAGAAAAGTTGAATGGTTGAACGTGATCTGAGTTTGCGGTGCAATGAACATACGGTAAAATATTGTTGAAAATTTATACCGCAGTCTATAGGTTAGTAACAAGAAAAAGGCAAATAATAGAAATTAAACTCCTGTGGTGGATTTCATAAACAATTGAAACCTTGTTGAAAAAATTAAAAAAATAACTTAATTTTTTTTTTTACTTTAGGAATATTTAAACATAAATTTCAGAAAATCTTTTATCAATTGAAAGTTGAGCAACATCTTTCATTCTGCAAATTTTCCAGCAATAGTTTTTTCTACAAGTTTTATCATTTTCAATGAGGGTAAGCCCGGTTTAAATTTTTTAATAAAAAAAGGAATAATATTTTTCACCTCCTTAACCTACTGAGGGTCTTAAAATGACGTGCACTTGAAAATATCCCGCCTGTTTTTCGGCCCCTTTCAGTAAATTAGAAAAAAATTATTGCAATATTTTAATTGTCACTAATCAATAATAATTAAAATTAATCTTTGAATTTTTTAAAAGTTCCTTTCCTAAAGTTATAATCATTTTGATAAGTTTGTGACAAGTTTTTACAGTTCTCGTCGTGAACACTGTCAATACACAATGTAGGTTGATCCACCCTATCAATCAGGGCCTGCGGCAAAACCGAGTCTGAAACAATTACGCCGCTCATTACTCGGTGTGTTTGCCCTGATCGAGGGAGGGAGACAATAGCAATCGATTATATACCTGAGCTGCACAATAACAATAAATTTGACGACGGTGTGTCATAAACATCGGCGGCGTGATACACAAAAGCCTTTCACTCGCGAATTATCTATCCCGCCACATTGTGTGCGCACTATTGATTTATTTATCTCTTGGACCGTTTCGATTGTCCCACTTTTGGTTTGCTCCTATTTGCATGTTCGCCACGTTATTAGCGCTCTCGTCCCGAACGACTAGTTCGTCAATAAAAGCAGAAGGACATAAAAATGCCCTCTCGAAGTGAAATATGGCGGCGCGGAGAGTAAATTGAAAAAGTTAACAGAATCGCATCAAACGCACTCCTCGCGCCCGAATGATTTACGTGCGCCGCTCTCTGGTTGTGCGCGCGCGAGAGAGAGAGATCGTGTTCCAGCACCATTTTGTGCTCGCAACCAACGTCGACTGATAAAATATTTACAAGATTATGCATTGATACCGAGAAAGAGAGAGACGAGAAGGAGAAGGCCGTGCTGGAAATTGAATTTATTGCTGCACCTTTGTACAAGTGGAAAATTGGATTCTTGAAATTGTGCGCTGTAGAGTTGGGTGAAAAATTATGCATTGATTTAAAAGGACGTAGTTTGTATTAATATTTTTGTTGTTTATTGCCACCGTTTGGCCATAAATCTTATGACTATTAAATTTCAAGAAATCCTATGTGTAACGTAATTCCTAATTCTAATTTAGATATATCATATTCGTTACCTGATTGTACAGTTAAACATAAATTTTAAAATATTAAATAAATTATCATAACAACATATCTATAATAAATGTGCAATTTTAGTGCAAATCGTGGCACAATCGACACTATAATTTCTTTAATTACTTCTTCATCTCTTGACGATGAGATAAAATTATATATAATTTATGCAATTTATTATCACATTAATAAATTTAATATATAAGCAATTATTCCAATGAGTGAGAATTTTAAAATAGTATATTGTAAAAAATAAAAGTAAAATTATAATAAGTATTAATATTTCTAAAATACTACAATAAAAATATAATTTAAAAAATAAAGTTAAAATTTAAATGACTTTGAGTTTTGAGTTTATTTAAACAGCAGAATATAATTTTTATTTGTTGAATAAAAATTTGCTCTTTATAGAGACAGAAGCGTCTGCAACAGTTATAAGCAAAAACTATAAGTGCCCCCAGCAAAAAACCAAAAAAAGCAGAGTTGTCACACGAGAAAATAAAATAAAATCGCACTTTTGAGCAAAAACGTGATGAACTGTCCTTAATCACGAAAATGAACTCGAAACCCCGCGGGCCGCAGGCGGGGAGGATTCGCTCGGGCGACACCAAATTTTACGACGCGTCGAGCCAAACTGCGGCAAACTGTTGAATGCGTGTGACTGTTCGGCAAAACTTTTTGCCTTGCGCTAATTTTGCGTTTTTTTCTCTCTTGATTTTGCAGAACGTTCATGTTGGATTTACCAAGTGATGGAGTGGGAAAGCAGCAGCAGCAGTGCAGAGCGTCTCGCCAAAACACAGCAACTCGCAGCTGAACTGAGTGAGTTTGCACAAATTAATTTATTATATTTTCCACCTCTCTCGGTGCCAAACAAAGAGATTAATGGACCTTTTTGCGTGTTGCCGTTTGATTTACACCCCCACGTGTGTGCGCTTTTCATACAAATCACCGACGCGAAATATTCCACCCGCATCCGAACGCACTTTTATTTTTTAGCTATGATTTATTATTAGATATATTTTCGCCTCATTTTTGACCAAGATCGTCAATCATTTCGGCTCTTAGCAATTTTTATTTTTATTGTGACTATTATGTGTTTACTCGTCGTGCGCCGCTTTTCGTCTTTCGTGAGCGCGATTTCGCTTCCTCTTATGCAACCCCCCCTCTTGAATTTATGTGTCTCTTGTGCTAATTGGACGAAAGTATCATTTGCGGAGTTAACGAGGAGGCGTTTTAAGGCTTTTGTTGCTTCTTCACGCAGAGATTTTGCCGTTGTGCAAACAAGCTTTTTGAATACTCCAGGGGATTGTAAATCATTTCTGCTAATCCTTTTGACCTGGAATATTATTTATTTTTGAATAAAAAAGCAAATATGTTAAAATTACTCAAATTCGCCAATTTTGCAAAGGATTATTGAAGTAATAGTTTATGTGGACAAATTAAATTAATAAAATCTAAAAAAAAATTGTCAAATATGTAAGGAAAAGAAATAGCAGAGCAAGTGCAGCTCTTAGAGAAACTAATTACACAAAAAAATTGATTAAACATGTATTTAATTCCCAAATTAGATTATCTTCTTGCCATTTTCAGGCTTGGAAATGCCCCTTTTGAATCCAAAAAATATATAAAAATTTTTAAGTATTAGACGTGAAAGAAGCAAAAAGGAAATTATTTAAAAAAGTTCATAATAAATATTTTTTAAATTTTAAAAAACCAAAAAAATATGCTCCTTTTAATCCAGGAAATCGAAGCGGACAAAATTAAGTTTTTAATGAAGTAAAAAAGGGGAACAATTAAAAATTAGACATTTTCCCTTGTATTATTCGCTGAATAAATTCCACCACGTCAACCACCGAAGGGTTAATTTTCCACCCCTTCAAGCATACACTCGATTTTGACGAACGCGCGTGCACCAGACTTAATGAAGCAACTTCCCTTGAAAAGAGCATGCAGCGCGGTCCTTGAAGTAATAACAACCAACCCCGTTCGTTCGGTGACGTCGCTCGCCGGCTGACTTTCCTCTCTTCTTTTGATGACGGTGATTCACCCGAGCACAAATGCAAAAGTAAAGAGAGACGTCTCGTGACAGAATTTCATTTTCCTGCTCGGCCGGGAAAACGAATTCATGCGGCTCAATTTGGAACGAGGAAGCGAGAAAGAAAGAAAAGCACTTTGTTCTCTCGTGCGCGCTGCAAGAATATCGAGCGCTAATCGGGCGCCAGGTTGGCTCGGCGCCGCGACGACTCCAGCTCATTTGAAAAGCAGATTTCCATGCGGTCGCCAGCCTCATTATCCGCCAATTAGATCGCCCTGAATAGAAGATTGATCCGAATGCATTTCCAAATCGGCCCACGGAAAAGCGGCCGGTTTATCACTTAAGGGCTATTTGTCCTCGGCGTGGCACCTTTCCAAATTTCCCAGGCCGGATTTATTTCACTGAAGCGCGCCTCTGACAAATTAGAACGGAGGGTGGAAATTTGTGGCGCAGTTTTTGCCAACGATGGCAGCGAAAAAGTGAAAAAAAGTACGTGGGGTGCGCTCATCCACTCTGCCTTTTTTTGCGTCGATCAGCAGATTAATGAAAAATGGTTGGAGCAGAGTTTTGTTATTTTGCGTTCAATGGGACGAATTCAATTTGTCATCGTAGCGTCATTTTTTATCTCTCCTCTTTTTTTAATCATCTGCTCTGGGATTTATAATTTTTAAATTTTTAAATCATTTTCATGAAATATATTAATTAAACTAGAATTAAACCATGAAATTAATAAAAAAAAAACTTTAGAATTAGAGAGGTTTTTTTAATTAAAAGCTAAATGCGTGCAACTATTTATCATTTAATGCAAAATTATTTTTTTTTTTTTACCTGAAAAATATTAAAATTTTTAGTTTGACATGTTATTTTCGTCAAATATTTATATAAAGCCTGATTTTAAATTTTGTAAATTCATAACTTATTTTAGCCAAACATGAAATGTTACAAAATTGATATTGCCGGAGGAAAAAGTCACTCAAGCAAAAAAAAAAAAAACAAAAAAAACAAAAAAAAAATCCAACCAAGCAGCCGGGGGCAAAGCTGTACGAACGAACACCGCCAAGTAATGGCAGTGTGTCGTTGTGCGACACAAATCGCACGGGTCGATGCACACAACAGCAAGTGTATGCAACCCGCGTTGCACGGATACAGGCCCCACGACTGACTAGTCTTGCTCGCTTGCGTAACCCGATAAACGGAGAGGAGACCTTCTAAATAATCGAGCTCATCCCCTCGGCGCTGTGTGCAAGGGCGGCCGGGGCGCAGTGATGGGCAGTCTCGGGTTCATAAAAGGGTGACAAAAATGAGTCGTAAAAGAAAACGGCCGCCTGCGATGTGTGTTTGCGCGCCGTCTCATTAGGCTGCATGGAAGGAAGGCTGGCAGGCTGAAATTGGGACAACCCAAACATTTGGTTTTCCACCACCTGATTGAGATTTGATCGCCTGCCCTATTCACTTGATTGGTGCGAAATGACCAACAATTGCTATTAGAAGCTTCGTATGATGAAAATGAAAAAGCCCTATTATTTGTTACTTTTATTATTACATATTTAATAGTTAATTCATTATTAATTTCAATAACAATTCAAAGTGGGTTCACCGCGGCCACTGTGTCTCTTTTGATGTCGGGCGTTTTAGCAGACATCTGCTATGTAGTTGTGTTACCATTTCTGTTAATTTATTTCCTTTCAAATTTTTTGTGTTAACTTGAGTAGAATAAACATTGAGCTAAAATTGAATAATATATAAAATGAAGATGGACTTAGATGAACTGGTGCAAGCCTTAAAAGTGATTATAATGTATCTGATTCTTTGTTTACTTATTATATTTTTATTTTTCTCAATAATATTGAAAATATATTTCAAACGTAGTCAGATTTTCAAGTTAATCTGACTAACTTTAAAAATTTTTTATTAAAAATTATATAAAATTTAAAAAAAATTAAAAATTATAAAATGTACAAATTATATTATTTTTTTTAATATGTCCATTGATAAAATGAAATTATATTAAAATTTTCTTACATAAGCACAAAAAAAATAATATCATGGCCAATAAAGAAAGCAAGCTGATTAATATTGACCTCAATATCAGAAGAGTAACATTTAGGTAAATTTAGTACATAAGTTTTGTAAAGTTACGCCTGAAGAAGATATGTATTATTCTGGCAAAATTGTGCCCAATTAATCAAAGCATTTCACAAAGAATCGCCGATTGCTCGCAGTCGTTGGAAAAACAACGGTTTGAAAAACTTACGACTCTTTTTAACTGCAATTTATCAAAGGCGTCGTGCAAAAGTTTGCCTTTCGCAGACCGTGTGCCTGCGCCAGATATAGCAATAAATTATGCAAATGACCGAAATATCTCTGAAACGAGCCCATTAATATGCAGATGACAGTTCTATTAAAATAATTAGATCCAGAAATAACGCGCGCGCGTGGCAAATTCATTTCTTGCTCGTGTCGTTGCATAAATTTGAGCCCGCGGTGTTTAGTCAGGTGCGCGCATTCCGCGAGATATTTTACGGCGCTCGTTACTGCATCGTTTGCCTCTTGAGTAATCGGCTGCTTAATGCAGCTCGGCTTAAACTGCGATTAAATCTTGGTTGTACCGTAAAATCTTTTGTCTACATAGCTTACTTGAACTAGCCATTAATTTACTCGGGAATTAATAAACTCGTTTAAAAGCGGATTAATTAGAGAATACAATTTTGTTATAAGAAAATAATATATTAAGCTATTTTATCTTTCATGAAATTTTTAATTTTTACATCAAATTGCAATAATAATAATTATAGGAAATAGAAATAATTGTTTCAAATTGATAATTTTTTGAAAATTAAAAAAAAAATAACACATTCGTGTTTAATTTTGTCTCATTTATGCAAAAGTGGCTTAAAATGAAAAAATTATAAAGAAAAGAAATGATTGAAATTCTGTTGACACTCAGTAATTGTTAGTGCACCTTCATCAGAGAATCAACAAACTTTTGTCAATTTAAAAGTTATTGCTAGAAAAATGATGAAACAAAAAATGCTGGCAAACAGGTCAAGCGGTTGTTTCAATTGGCAAGCGAGCGAACAGCCGGCCGGGTCGGCGTCTCACCCGGGTCGGTTGGATCCATTTATTTCCCCGGTGTTGCGACTGGAAAAGTTCAAGCATGTGCGCCATCGCTGCTGTGACGTCGGCTGGTGGCCAAGGCCGACGGCCGCCCTGTCGATACCAGCCCCGACCACTCCAAGGGACGGAAAACGGCAGCCCCCGCGGCGCACGTCAACCCCGCGACAGCAGCGAATAATAACGCTGCATTTTACTTTGTAATCGCCTCGATTCCAAAATTTACACGATAAAATGGAAAGCTGAAAAAGGGTTTCGTGACTGGAGAACAACCCACGCTTTGACAGGATCCTGATGGATTGCTGTTTGCTCCACTTCGGCCGGCTTTAACCTCACCGATCTGGTGACTGCCCCAGTGATTTTTCCGCACAGATTGATCTGTGGGAAAGCGAGGAAAGTGACGCATTCAATTCAAGTTGAATTTATTCAGTCTTATTCACATGGGAATAATTTTTGTTCTATTTAAAAAAAAAAATCAGGATTTATTTGATTGTTGGACCTAAAGCGATTGCTCCTCAAGACTGCGTTAAAAGGAATCTGGCAATACAAATTCTTTCTTTACCTTATTTTTATGCAATCACGCTACTTAAGTTTCAATCATCAACATTGATTTTAAAAGCAATAACATTATTATTTTAAATTTAATTTTAAAAAAGTTTGTATTCTTTATCGTTAGAATTATATAAGGTATTATTATATAGTTATGATAAATATTAATTATCTTTAAAAAATAATAATTTTCTTTGATATTTAATATTTAAGAAATATTTTTACAAATTAGAAAGGGTTTATAAATAAGTAAACATATTATTTTATATAGTTCTGGGCCTTCATGTACACAATAGTGATAAGAAATTAAATTTTGTTGATGCCCTTTGTTAGATTGAAACTACTAATACAGGTTGAGATCTTTCCATTATTTAAATATTTAAATTCCTCAGACCCGAATGCGCCAAGTTTTACAATGAGACGCTCCACTCCATTCTCTCTGCTATCTTTCTTTTCTCGCCAGCATTTGGTATTTCCGCCGTCACCAGATGCCGGATCAATACTCTTCGTGCTCTTTCCTTCTTGAAACTTTTACAATTACTGCGCCGAAATGCCCAGCAATTTTTTATTGCACCAACAGAGCGATTTGTTCCCGTCCGCCCGACCCAGTTGTTCGTCTTCGCCGCAACCGCACTTTCTCGTGTACTTGCAAGGGTACATCTCCGGGTATGCAACCTGCCCATCGCGCCGGCCCCGCTAGTTGCATACCCATGAATAATTAATGATGATATCCAGCGGCGCCAACGCCGAGAGTGTGAGCTGGAAATTAGGTCTTTGAAAATTCCTAGATCAAAGGGAGAAAGTGGCTGCTCGAATTTAGTGTTGGCCTGATAAGGCAGGCTTTTATTTTTCAAGGCTGCTCGGGGAGAGTGGGAATTGGCCTTAACTGCATTTGGGGATGAGAGCGAATTAAATTATACAAGCCGCTGGGAGCCACGAGATAATGGTTTTTGGAATTGTTTTCTTGAAAGGTGGATTTGAAAATCCTTCAGATCAATTGATTTTTTTAATAACAACATCATCTAGAGCGATAAATAATTACTTTTATCGCAAATAAAATTTTACCACTCAAAATAATGCGATCACTCGCGCAATTTCTTATCTCCATCACATAATAAATTTAAATCTGCTCTAAATTTGTGGCTATAAATTCTAAAAAAAAGAAAAGTTTTATTTGTTCAGTTTTCTAAATATTGTTTCTAAGCAAGTCATTGTCTAAATAAAAATATAAACAAAATTACACAATCATCAAACTTGACCCCAGTCCCAGTCTAGACCTACCAGACCAATTTAAGAGTGTCTGGCGCGATCGAAAACCCCACTGATAAGATACGATGGGGGCATAAAAGATTACATACTTTTTAGCACCACTCGTTCTCTTTCTCTACTTGCGACAATTCTTTCCACTGCAAAATGTCTCTGCGCGACCAACTCTACCCTGGTGACGTTATTGCCGCCCTGAAGTCGATCCACGGCCCCAAAGCCAACATGATTGACTTTGACATTGTCAAAGGTACTGAAGCCGTCCAGGGCTTCCTTTCGTGCGTCCTCAGGGTACGGGCCACGTGCGAAGTCGATGGTGAAGAAAAGGAGGCCAATTTCGTAGTGAAAAAATTGCCTCTGTTGGACATCCAGAAGAAAATCGTTGAAAATATGAAGATTTTCGACCAGGAGGTGGCTTTTTATCGCAAATGCCTACCCCTCATGAAACGCAGATTTCCTGATGTGAAGGTCGTCAACTGCTTCTTTGCACACGAAAGTGGGACAATAGTGATGGAAGACTTGGCTCTGCAAGGTTTCGAAAACCTTACGAAAAATCTCTCCGAGTACAGAGAGCAAGTAAGAAGCATTTTTTTTTTTAATTACATCCGATTTAAAATAAAAATATATAAAAAAGGTCATGACCCTGGCGCAAGCAAAGATGGTGATGCGTGAGCTGGCCAAATTCCACGCTTCTTCGCAGGGTTTTGATTGGCTCAAGGTGGCGCCGGAATGTTTTTTAAAGGACATTCGTCTGGAAATCGAGGGGACCACCGCTTACCAGAATATGGTCGGCGGCAGTTTGCTGAATAGCATTGTCCCTATAATGGAGTGCATGTACAAGAATGACCCGAAGTGCATAAAAAAATATACTGATTGGCTGAATGATCTCGAGGGAAACGTGTGGCCGTTTTTGGTTAAATTTTATAAAGCAAATCCCAGGTAAAAATTAAAACTTTAAATATTTGAAGTGCTTCAATTGAAGAGATAAAAAAATTGTTCATTGACTGAATTAATTCTTTGATAAAAAAAGATGGTTAGATAAAAGATAAAATGTGTTGCATAACCTATATCATAAACTGTTTTCAAAAACAATTTTAAAGATTTAGAATAAAAAGCTTTTCACCTATAATAATACTTTGCACTAGATACATCAATGCAGTGTGTCATGGCGATTTTTGGGCGAACAACTTCATGCTTCGCTCAGACCCCAAAACGCAAGCCCCCCTCGACCTGCGACTCCTCGACTTCCAAGTAATGCGCTACGCCCCCGTGTACTTTGACCTGCAACTCCTTTTCTACATCAGCACCAAAGGCCACTTCCGCAGCGTCCACGAAGAGTCTCTTTTGCGAACGTATTTCGACGCTTTCAACACGTTCAACAATGTCACTCCCGACGCGACCAATTTTGAGCAGTTTATGACCGGATACGACGAAACTAGAATGTCCGGCCTGCTGGTCGGGATGGCCATGTGTCCCATCGCGGTGGCGTTCGTTGAGGACACGGCGCCACCCGACGACGGCGAACTTTCCGAGGAACACGTGCTCAAGCTGCTGGGTAGCGAGGAAAACGTGGCGGAAAAGCGTGCGAGGTCGATCAAGGCCTTTAGGGAGGACGAATTGTTCAGCCGCGAAATGAAGGTCATGATTGGGGAATTGATTAGAGAAATGGATAAAAACTTGTTCTAAATGCAATGACAAAGATGCTACTCAACGCTTATTGGAAGAAGTAAATTTAAATTTGGAATTAAGAATTAAATAAAATATCTTATTATGCAACTTAAAATTACTTTTAATTAAAATTTCATGGATCAAACGTTTTTTTGCTTGTAAAAATTCAAATTCGGCAATAATAAGTAAGGATCGGGTAATTATTAAAAATAGGATGTTAAAATCAATGAAGACATTATTAAATTTAGGATGGCAAATAAACTGCTTAAAACTGTGGGAAATTTAAAGATGACCACGTTACAGCTTTTTTTGTCATTCTCAGTTATGTAATTTAAAAAAAAAAAACATAAGTTGCTATAATTATACTCGCTCATTTTTGCACGTTAAAAACATCAGCCTTTTTAAAAATATTTCTCTTATTTTATTCATTAAAATACTTTTCAGTGTGTTTTATTTTGCACCGCCTTGCATGCTTTACAATAATTATTGCAGTCCATGTAGCACAAATGCCTTCCGAGCTCCCTTCTTATCTTTGTAAGAATGAATTGCATTACCTCAGCACTGTGTTATCATTACAGTGAAACTCAAGTAGAAATAACAAAGACCTTATCTTAATAACTTTCGGTCTTACAATCCAAATTATGGTTGAATTTGAGTTCCACTCAAAATGATGGAAATTATTGCACACTGGAATTAAAAATGTGATTATTTTTTTATGCAATTTTCTTTCTAATTTAGAACTTGTGCCCCCTAATCCCCCTAACATTTTGTGCACGCGGCTCGTTGTAGGCTAAAGCAGGTGCTGGTTTGCTCTGTAGGACGGTGGTGGTGAGCGGAGGGTGCGTCATCGCGAGGGTCGTTCGGCAGCTGGTCGGCGGCCGGTGTCGCTTAGATGCTGCAAGGCAGTGGCTTAAGGTCGCCCCTCAGCCTGCGCCTGGGCATCAGTGAAACGCAGAACCCTTTCTGCTCCCTTTTGTCCCTGGGCATGGCAAACCCTCCGGCACAGCCAGACAATGAGGAGGTCTTTCTCGGTAAGAGCACCCCCGACTTCTTTTTTTTTTCATACCTTCTACGTTTTTACAACCAGAAGCATGCACACCCCTTTTCTTCGTTCGTTCGTTCGCACACACATACAAAAACACACATCGGCCCACGCTGCTCCTCTTCACTTTTACGACTACGATTATGTACATTTTTTATATTATGAAGTCCTCTCTTGCCCTCTTTATTTTCTTCTCGACGCCCCGCGACGAGACCGAGCGAGCACCCCGAGACAAACGTGCGCGTCTTTTCAAAACGTATTTCGCAAGAGGGTGGCGCGCCTTTGTGCGTCATTCCGCCAGGACTATATAGACGTGGCTATCCCGAGAAAAAAACGTAGTGAATTTTAGGACTTTTGCAGGTCATACGTTAACGCTTGATCCGCTAATCAGAGGAATTTAGGTTGATAATTTAAAATTAATGTTAAATATTTAATTTGTATTAGCATTTTAAATATTTAAAAACTGTTTTTCTTAACTTTATTTTAGTCAAAAATATATGGATATTTGTGGCAATTTATATTAAATTGATAGTTACAATTTTGTTATTAATTATTTTCAGCTAATAATTACAAAACCTTTAGTTACAAACATGGCTCAAATGAAAATGTTTAAAATGCTATTTAAAATGACGTGCTCTTCAATTATCAGATAGCAAATTCATTACAGATAATAGACATTTGTACCAGCCACTTTGGCTCTCTTAATTATATTAATTGATTATGCAAGAAATGTATCTGGAATGAATATCTAGATAATTGATTAATTTGCAAAAAAAGTTAAATCATGTCGCACATAAATTTCTTTTTAAACTTGGTTAACCTTTGTAAGAAAAATTCAAGAATAAAAACATTCGCGGATTTTTATAAAATTCAGAAGAACCAAAAAAAATTGATAGCAGTTCTAATTCAAAGGATTCTCAAAAGTTAAAAGTTGTATATTTTTACTTCCCAAACGTAAATTTTAAAAATAAATTATAGAATATTACATCAGATTTTGTTCTAAATAAATATCATATTATTTTTGATAAAGTAATTCTCGTCTTTCAAAATGACCCCATCAACAGACTGTAAAGAGCGGTGCGTCAGTTACTTTTTAAGGGTGCATTGTTGAAGCTTAAAAATTTCACGATATCTGGCCGAGCGTTTTTTTCCCTAAAAAAAGAAACGTATATTTTGCCTGGGGCGATTTCCAGTCACTGGGAAAGTTTCGCGATGAAAAATGTGGTGCGAATTGCACAAAGGGCGACGCTGCACATACGGCCGAATAAAAAAGCAGGCGCTTATCGCGGACGGAGCCTGTGAACGCACGTCCCGTGTATGATTATTGCGGTGCCAATCTCCTGCTCTTTTGTTCTGCCTCGAAATTTGAATGAAGATCAAATTTCCGCTCGGCCGCCTTTTCTATCTCGACGCGTTTTCGAATTTTCCCCGCAATAAAAGCGGCGGCAGCTTTTAAATCGTGTCACGTCGCTATTGGAAATCGATTACCTGACGCATCCGCGCTACTCGGCGCCGGAATTTGTCATACAAAACGACGACGAGAGAGAGAAAGAAAGAAAAGTGCGCTGCTCCTCTCATTTTTTTCGCGCCGTGCTCGTTTTCAATTTATTCCGGCGGCGCAAAAAGACAAATGTCTGCACAACTCCATTATGCAAGCGGCGTTAAAATGAATTTTTCAGCAGATAATATCTGCCTTGCTGCTCTCTGCTGTTGGTTTTTTCTCTCCAACTGCGCGTTTCGTTTAAAAGCTCTTGTCGGCAAATAAAAGTTTTTAACGCGCATTTTTTAATTTTTTTTTCGCGAGAAATTGTGTTGTTGCGGAATAAACAGTCCAAATTAAAACGTGTCTCGCAGTAATTCAGACACGTTGGCAGACGTCCATTCCGGTTTCATGTTTGATTCAGCGGCCCGTTTTGTTTTTGGGACGCTGCCCATTTGATACTCGGTTATCATCCGCGTTTCGCAACTTCGGCGCCATTCAACAGAGCTGCATGGGAAAGGTGGCTCTTGGCACAGGTCACCCATAATTCTCTCTTGCACAGACGCCAATGTTTGCTGCATTTTGAAACGCGGATCATGCTTGAGATTAATTGCCAAGAAGAGTTTATGTGCACGTGAAAGTACACCGCATTCTAAGCTAGTGAGAAAATCACCCAATTGTACAGCAGAATAAAATCGTCAAGTATGTGCAAAACAAACTTAAGTGATCAAAATTGCTGTTTTGTCAGCATTTTAATACATATTTGTTTCATGTGTTATTTAAATTGGTCTTTAATTTATTATAAAAATATTATTTTAATTATTATTATGTACAATTTTATATTATCCATAATTGATATTATAAAATTATATATTATTTAATATTTTCATCAATTATATTATTTAAATATTTATCGTTTGAATTTGGCTGAACGTATTTATTTAATATTAAATAATTTTATTATGTGAAACTATAGAAACAAATTATTGACAAATTAACAAAAAGTTAAATAGAATGCTTACTTTAATGGATCATTATTGTGATTTCATAATCTAATAATCTATTTCATTTCATTTTAATCTGTAAGAAGTTATAGTCAACTTAATAAAAAATATTTCAATCGAAACAAAAGTTGAATCATCTTGAAACTAGGAAAATTGTTCTTAAAATTTGAGATTATGTCTATAGCACAAGAAAAATACAGCTAAAGTAATTTTAACTCTGAACTTATTAATTGACAACTTAGTTTATAATGTTTACACAATTTAAATTAATCTTGCTCTGAAATCTTTGGATTTTTTTCATCGCTCATAAAGATGCTATTCTTCCATTGGTCTGTGACATTTAAAGCTTTTCAAAAAAGCATTCAAACGACATTTTATCAAAAATCATGAATAAAAATCTACCTTGAAAATATAAATAAATATTCTGAATAAGAGGCTCTCGCAGGAAGCCACTTGAATTCGCCAATTCAATTTTCACGGGTGGAAAAGCCGCCCCCGAGTGATTCAATTTCCGCCTGGGATTGCCCAGCCAATGTTTATTGCAGCGAGGCGTAATGAACTTGTATAGTTTGCAGTCATATTACGGTGCAAACATAGGGTGAAATAAAAGCGTTCGTTCGTTCGTCCGTGCAAGGTACTTTCCGCGAGAATCGATCGCTCGGCCGCACGCGGAAAAACCATATTCGCATCTGCACGCCGAGGTGAAAACGAAAAGTTTGCTTGAAATTTAATAACGTTGAACGTCCGACGAAAAAAAAGTTGCGGGAAAATGGGCGAGTTTTTCTCAGGCACTCTCGTCATTCGTCGGAAAAGTGGAAACGACGGAGCGGCGATAAATAAATCGAGCCAGACTGGAAGTGGTGGTGTTTGGCGTCAGGTTTTATCTGTGCAGACTATCCGGCGCCCGTTTCATTGATCCGCGGCTGGTTTTTAGGCTTCTAAGACACGCACGTTGAGAGCCATAATGCAGCGCTCGCGCCGCCGCCGCTGCTACCTCAGTAATTTCCCAACCCTCGGCCAAGTATTAGTTTATATTATCCCCGGCATAAAACTGCTAAACACTCTCTCGTGCTTCGACGGGGGCGAGAATCCAACTTGAATCGCTTGCTATCTGACCCCTCACTTGATCTCCCTTTCGGGGTGGCAGATGGTTCAGGTAAAGCACCACAGATTGCGAGTCTCAAATTTCATGCAGTGCTATTAATTATACAGAAAGCGTTTTTATATTTTTTAACGTTGCAAAATAATATTTTTCGCAGTAATTAACAAATTAAAAAGCTAGAGAGTTTACTTAAAGTGAAAGTTGTATTACCAAAGTCAATCTCCAAGCTATGCAAAATTATTTAATCAAGTAGATCTTGTATTTTAAGCCCGCTTTTTAATTGTTGTAAATTTATATCAATCAACGTTCTTCTTTGAAGAATTTTTGATAGAATGTTTGGAATTTACCCTGTAATTAAAAATTCCAAATAGATATAATTAATGAGCCGAAATGGTTAACTTTAGGTCTTTTCATCATCATAAAAGTGCGGAAACTCGTTGCTATTTTTACTATTCATAAATTCCACAGTTATAATTAACAACGCGTTTCTACATAATCTCCAAATTAGACGAGAAATCCGCCGGAGCGCACAAATGCACCGCCTTTTAAAATTCACCGGAGCAGAACGGACCTCAACTAATTATTTTTTAGCACATTCGTCCTGATTTACGATACACTAAAGTAGTTGATCTATTTTGCAGAAAACGGTCTGCTGAGCTATGAAAACCCCAACTACCACCTGGACCCAGCGCGTCTGGACGACGCGCTCAACTCGAACGACCCCGAGGCGGCGGCCGCCCTTTACAAGGAACTCTACCACGAGTTAGACGCGGTTTGCAACCTGAAGAGCCGCGGCGGCAGTGGCAGCGCCGGAGCGCGGCGCCACTACGCCGCCCTTGACATCGGCGCCATGGGCGTCGACGTCAGCGCTGGGCCCACCCTAAAGTGCGTCTTGCTTGGCGCTGAACAGTCGCCGGACAGTGAAAATAACAGGTCAGTTCATTATTGTTTTATCTTCAACTGTAATGCAAATTATCAAAAAGAATGGGAGAATGTAAAGTTAAATTCTGATATTGTTTAAATATCCACTCACAAAGAAATTTTTTAATTAAAAAAGATTAATTGCTGCCAGCGGATTCTGAAGATTGTAACTTTATTGGTGAAAAATGGATTAAAATAAAGTTTAGATTTAAATTAATACTATTGATAAACTTATTTAAGTTTTGAACTTACATATTTTAATAAATTAAATAATTGGTTTTTTTTAATTGAAATAACAAGGAAATTTTTTTTCATATTTTAAAATTCTACAATTCTTTATTTCTTTTTATACATCATGAATTTTTAATTTTTGAATTTCTTACAAACCTAGTCTCAAGTAAATTTGAGTTAATAAACTTTTGTATAAATAATGGACGTAGCAATTTAATTTAATTGAAAATCGGAAAGTTTTGCACTCTGTTATTATTTAATATGTAAGTGACTTTTTAACTTTTAAATTATCATTTAACTGAGAATGGCTGGTGGAAGCAAACTTGCATCTCTACAATCTTGGAAGGCAGTGTTTACCACCATTCATGCTGCAATCGCGGCTTGTTCGGAAAGTCGACTGTTAACCCAATTTCGCGAGTCACTTTGATATACGAGGCAGAAAAGTTGAAAGAGGAAACGCTTTTATTCCGCGAGCGCATAGCGTGCATGAGCGGAATGTTGCTGTTTATTTTCCATTTGAAATTGCTCGGCTCGTCGTAAAATTTCAAGCACAAAGCGCTCGGTCGCGAATTTCCCGTAGAAATATTTAAGCGGGGCTAACGAGAAAAGTTGCGGAGCACAAAGAGGAAAAGTTATCCTCCGCAATTTTACCTTATAAGAATGATATAATAATTCAACAGGGGAATGCTGAACTTTTCCACACAGCGAGAGAGTTCAGACCGAGTTTGGTCGAGCAGTGACGAGGAAGCCGTGCTAGTGCGAAAAATTATGTATTATTATGGATTTGGGGCTTCAAACATTCTCCTTCATTCCACCGCTCACAGTCAGAGATTTTTCTAATTTTGTCTAGAGGAATTTCCGATTTCGTTCTTTATTTAGGTCAAGGGGTGTAAATTTGCATGCAAAGAAATTATTTTGTAAGAGATTGTTGTTTATTTACAAGTCAATATTGGAGACAATTTTTTTTTATCATTTGCTCACGTCACGCACGTGTGAGCTTTATGCATGCAGAGTCCGAAATCGATCAATGTGCGACGGAAATAAATCGAATTAACATTGCAAAAGAGCAGTCGCGAGGAAAAATCTAATCTCGACTTTCTTTGCAAGGATGGATTTTCCCAGCGGGGCGGAAACACTTTCGCCAAATCTCTTTTAAAAAGGTGGCGCGGTATGGATTCCATTCAAAAGATGCAATCGCTTCAAATTGCGTTAACCCTTTCAGTGAAATCGCGGCCGATCAATCACTGATGAAATGGGCGTCATTTTTCGCCTGCATGGAATTTTATTGGACGGCCTGGAAACGAACTCATTGAATTATTCAAGTGGCGCCGCTTTGATAGGAAACGCCGGCGATTCTCACCGGGTGGATCTGAATGGGTTATTCATCTCTCTCGCAGGCACATAATGCGTGCATTATTTAGACGTTTCCGCTGCGCGTTCAAATGAGAGTATTCGCTTTCATCAGAGATTATACAGTTTAAAAAGTGTCGGTGAGAAAAATCATGAAATTCTTCGGCGGCTTGAGACAATATTTTATATTATACTCTGTCGTTATTATTCCCACTTTAGGACTGCAGCTGACTCGATTGTGTGGAAAAATATGGCCGTATTATACATTGTGCTCATATTGCGGCCGATGGGAAACGTGCCGCGCGACACGTGCACCGGATTCTCCAACGTTCTCTGACGTTGAATCTTTGCATCTTGAAAAAAAGAAAAATTCACCGCGCGCGTTTGTTTGTGCGGCCTCTTGCTCGCGGTCGAGATGAGAAATGGCAGTAAAGTTGTTCTGCAATGGAAAATCGATTGCTGGCATTTAATGTGTACCCTGAAGATGAAACAAAATAAAGTTTGTTTTAAAATTGAACAGTTTTTTTACAAACAAAAATTTTTAAACATTTATTCAAATTGTATAACTTATACAACATAATTTCTTTATTTAAATACATTTTTAAATATTTTGATTAACAATTAAAATTCATTTTCAATGTTTTTTTTGTACTTAAATTAATTGAATTGTTATCAATCATTTAATTCTATATTTAGAAAGTTTATAAATAAAAATAAATTCTACCAGTTCAATGCATCATCAGAGTTAATTTATCATGAATGCACCATAGTGCTATCTCTATTGCAGCGAGTAGGAGTTTTTCTTTCTTGTTTTGGGAAAAATAGCCGACACGGCTGAATTAAAAATATTCAAACTTTTGTGGATCCAAAATTTTATCCGTCACCAAGCAAAATTCCAAACTTTTGACAGAGTCGAACGATCCCCTAGAGCAAAGTTCGCCCACTCGCACGGGCCATTTTTCCTTTTGCAACAATATTTTCCGCACCCGCCGTCCCATCCGGCATGCATGAAAAGTTTTTTATTAATATTGGTAGGAGAGGAGCACGTCGAGCAGAGTAGGTCCGCAAGAAAAAAGAGAAAAGGCGCAGCACAATCAGCATAAACTCAATCCTGACTGCAGAGAAAAGAAACTCGAAACTCCTGACGGCATAAAAAAGCTCTTAGTATGCACTTGTGCACGGAAACTGCAAAATAACCCTGGGAAAATTAATTCTCTCTGAGATTTTTAAAAGGAAATTAACCCAGAAACTCCTCCCGACCTCGTTAGCGTAACGAGCCCCAAGTTTCACGCCCGGAAAAAAATCAGTCGTGCCAATTTTCGGACCTTTTCTTCGTTTGCAAAAAGCTGCAAAACAACGCGTTATGCAAATCCACTCTCCAGCTGCCGCCCTAGACATTTTTGCCCGAGGAAAAGGCTGCCGGCGGCGCTGACACTCAGCCAAGAAAGGAAACCTTACTTTTCTCGCGTATATTTTGTCTTATGTAAATACATACGTGTGTACGTACGCTATGTAGGTTGATAAACAACCCCTCGACGACTCTTGCATACTTACGCTAGCTGATACTTGGCCGTGCGCGCCTCTACTTGCTTTATTTGCGTCGGCCCTCGCGGCTCGGGGATGAAAAATCCACCCGGCACTCTCTCGTTAGCCATGCGCTGAAAACCGATAAAGTTTGCCTCTGCAGCGACGCTCAAAATATAAAAATAAAACAAAAGGGCAACTCGACACCATGCGGCTACTGAAGCTGAAGTATTGTTATCACCATTTTAATTACTGGAATTAGGTTCCACGCAACGGTGTTCTGAATAGAAACAAAATATGGATAAAGTTTCAAGATAAAATCGTTTATAATTTGAAATTTTATATTCAATTTCCTTAATTAAAAGTGATCAAAACAGCTTTATTGCTACATTCTTAGTAATATTTGCAGAATCCTGACTCTATTTAATTCTGCAGACTCGGCCAATTATTTAAACTTCAAAAATATTTTCATTCTTTTTACTTCAATATTTCAGGAATATAAATTTATTTATTTTTATAAATTTAGTTTTGCATTATATTTTTCTTTTTTAAGCGACATTCAACTTTTTTATAAGAGTTATCTAAAAACAAAAAATGGACAGTCAGGGAGATTTACAGAATTTGAAATTGAAGCTAACAAAATTAAAAAGTTTGTGAGACAGAATTTTCAACAACGGGAAGCACTTTAATATCATTTACCGTGCAGTACCGTGAGTTTAGAGTATTAAAAGTTTTCTAAACAATAATCTCTAAAAACTTCTGAGCAACTCCAATTTGGAACAACAGAGCAGTCCGCCCCAATTGCTGCTGATTATTTCCTAAAGTTTATTAAAAAGCGGCGCCTATCAAAACTCTCTGCGTTTCCGCGGGTGCAATAATTAAACTGGCGTTGACGCTAATCAAACCGTCTGGCCGCGGGTCGTAAACACCAACTTTCATGGGAGCGATTTCGGGGCAAGCGTGTTTGCCAGAAGCTCTTAGAGAATGCATTTATTCGCAGTGCTAATTGCCAGCAAACATAAGACGAAGAAGAAGAAGAAGCCGCTTCTGCTGTTTATCTGCAAGCGGCGCAAATTAAATTAGCTCTCGGGGCTGACGAACAAGAAGTGCCGACGACGACTGCTCTACGACGGTGCTGCTGCTGCATTCAGAGCAATCGATAACGAGAGCAGCTCTCTCCGACGCCGCCGCCTTGCCAAGCAGGCGAATTTGTTATTCTCGGTGCCTTGTGTATTAGTTACACCGTGAGCCGTATTGTGCCCGAGAATTATTGCCTCATTCTCGGCGGGCGTCAAAGATGCGAACACGCCCTCGCTAAATATTCAGCCGTGTATAATAATGTAGCTCTCTCAAACTGGTGCAAAGTCAAGGCTCCCGGCGCGTGTTATATGAAACTGATATTGTTTCCTCGCTCGAATTATTATTCAATCACAAGAAGAGCACGGTGAGTTACGCACCTTCCATTGCACGGCTTAAGCAAAATTTTTTCCGCGTATCGTGTTGCGCCAATTTGATTTGCTTCTCATGAAAAATTTTCATTTTTATAGTTTCTCCGTTAAAAAATCATATTAATATTTCTCTTACATGTCTTGTTAACTAGTTTTTGATTAATAAATAATAAATTAATAACAAATATTTAAATACCTAATTAATTAAAATAATTTATTGAAATTGTTTTTTCATTATATTTACTTAGAAACATCTGTTACTTTTTAAAATGCCTTCAATTAAAATGTATTCAGAACCTCAAGAGATCTCATGCAATAAATGTTTTATTTATTGAATCATATAATTATTAATATATAAATTAATACATCCAATACAACTCTTCATACGTTTTCTGGAGTAAGGAGTAACCCAATCATAATTTGATACATTTTATGGAGAGCATTTGCCACTATTAAATTTATTTTTACGCATTTATACAGTAAAATTAGTAATTATTTATAACAAAATATTAGGCTTCAAAATAATTTAATATTTTCATAATATTTTTTAATCTAAAAATCTTATAATTAAATTTATTTAAAAAAAATAATATATCTTTCAAATCTTAAATGTATTGAAACTTTTTAGTTACAATTGTACGCGTATAATTTTAAATATTTGTTTTAAATAGAAAAACCAAAATTGTAAAGGCCACCCACGTGGGCATTGTGCTTTTTGCACGAATTCTATGCCTCGTCCTTCAAGAAAGGAGTACGCCTTAATTCACTCTAATTGCGGGATTTTGCATTGGATAATAAACAAAACAGCAACTAATTGCGCGCCTTAAAACGCTGACTTTGAAAGGCTTTGTCAGTCCAGTTTCGCACTCACACGCAGACAGGATACAAATAAATAATTTTGTATGTACCGTGTCCCGGTGAGGTCCACAATGCAAAACTGATTAGGAGGAACTCCCAAATGCCCTTCACTTTTCATGGTTAAATAACTTCATACATAGAGTCGGTTTTTATCTCTCTCGCGGCACTGCACAAATGCTCCCCGCCTCTCTCGGTATAATATTAAAACGCGCGCACAATATCACAATAACAATCAATTCAACGCGGTTTCCACATCTCTTCGCTCCAACACATTCCTCAGAAGAAATCAATCTGAATAATCTTGTATTTTCATAATTCACTCTCTCCCATTTTGCTATTTGCCAGACAAAAAGACCCATATCGATCTGATTTGATTTACACGCCGACCAATTCCACCCACAAAGCATCAAATATGAAACAAACTCGTGCATAGGCCGGTGCTATTATTATTTATCCCTGTCGGGCCTTGCCTTTTACGGCTGCAGAGAGAACGCCATAAAAAGCGTCTCGACCCCACCCGCACACGACACACAGCAGATGTCTAATTAATTCACCCAAGGTGGGAATTAACAAAGGTCGGGCAGAACAAAAAGTGCGGCGGAATGTGGCGAGTGGGCGAGAATTGAATAATATTTCCGTCCCCGCCGTTCTCCGCCGAGTCTCTCTTGTAACGCGGCGGCGGCGGCGGAGTGTTCCGAGCAGGCCCGACGGACGCAGCGCTCGTTCTTTCTTCCTCGGATGAGGCCCAGTCTCCGCCCGAGGATCTCGCGATCACCTTCGTTCGCCGCTCGCGCCTCGAACGTTCACCTCAAAAAACCAACCCTGAAGTCCTTGAGAAGGCCACCGGGGATACTTTTCGTTTTTCAAACTTCCGCAATCTGCCACGAGATGGCCAATTTTGATTCGGTCCTGTGAGAGGAACCTGCGGGTCGCTTTCGGCCACAGGGACGCCCTGATGAGGGCCGACGAAAAATCCAGCGGGAAAAAGGACCGAAAAGGAAAATCCAGATGACTCTCGTGAGTTTTATTTTCTTTCTTAAATAATAAATTTGTGCAAATTATCGATCGGTGGATTGGCGGAATTTGCAATTGTGGCGCAACATTGACGACCTTTGACCTCCGCTCTTTGACGCCACTGGCGGTTTTAATATTTGATTCGGGCGTTCCTTAGCTCAATTCTCCTAAGGGGCGTCTCTCGTGCATGTAAATTCTGCGGTGTTCTGCTCGATTTCGTTTCCACTGCTGTTTTTTTAATAATAATGGTGCGCCAATTTTGGCGATGCTTCTGGTAAAGGGTTTGTTTTTGTTTGCATGTAAATATGTCCCATTCTAACAGGGGCCACATGACATCTGATCTGTGTGGCAATGACAAATCCGGATATTCGTTGCATAAAATTTTATAATAAATTTCTAAATGTAAGTTATTTTTTATGGGTAAAATTCTCAAACATTAGAACGCATTAGAATTCAATTTATATACGTTGAGGTGTATAAAAAAATGAGATAATAAGATGCGTGCATTGGAAGGGTGTCGAGAAAGAGCAGCTACTTTATATTCATGGAACTGGGAACACTATGCACAGCTGGGAAAATTGTTTTGCTCTTTTTTTTTATTATTTCCAGTTGCGTACGTCAGCGCTCAACGGTGGCAAATTTCGCGAAAACTAGCCTTGCCTGTGTTGTCTGTCGGTTGTAAAAGCAAAACTCGGCCGTCTGGAAGGGTCAATAAAATGTGCCGCGGCAACGAATCAATAAAACCACCGCGCTCCAACGCTCGCCCGAGAGCACAAACACATTCTCGGCGAGCTCCGTACCTATTTCGCCAAAAGGCAAACCGCACTCGGCCGCCGAATGCCGACGGCAGTGAGATTTATATATTCGAACAGGGCGTACGTCCGTGGGCAGCAAACGCTCTTTTCGCAGCCGGCAATGGCCGCCCTCGTGTGTGTGCATTTAGACCAGGCGATCAATACGGAAAGGTTGAATGGCACACGCTGCTCTACAGACCGCCCGCTCTATTACGTCGCGTCGCAATTTCGCACCGTCGTTTTCGACCTTTCGCTTCTCTGCCAGCCAAAATTGATACAAGTCTGCGAAAATCGTGCGTTTGTAGCTCGTTTCGCGCGCAGATTGGGTGTTATTTTTCAAAAGGACACCTCCCTAAATGCAGCTTTTTCTGCCGGCAGAGACAGGATGTTGAACACATACGCTTTTTGCACGCATCAGTGTGTGTAAGCTGCTTTTTAAAATCGAAGCACTTTGTTCCCTTCAGAGCTCAGCAAAATGAAGACGCGTCGAGATGAAAAGTGGGCCAGAAGAGTGAGGTCTGGAATGAAAGAAAAAAAAAAGAGTTGATGCAACCGAGAAACTTTTCGGTCCCGGCGGATTGCATCTAACTTTTGTCCTCTCTCCTGCCAACTCGATTATGGTCTAGGGAAAGAGGGTGCAGATGAGTTAATTCTGACTTCTGACACTGCTTCTGTGGTTAAAACAAAAATGTTGAATATGTTTTTTAGTTTATTTAAAAATAAAATTGCTATTGTTTTATTTTATTTTTTTTTTTAAGCAATTTTAATTTAAAAGTATAATTATGCGGAGTATAAATTATTTTGTATTTGGGTTCAAATTAGAGCAATTTATATTTGTTCATCTGTAAATTTTTTTGAAAAAAATCCTGTCGGAATAGCGAAAACCTCTCTATTGCTAAAATTTAGCTAAACCCCTTTTTTAGTAGATCCTTAATCCTTACAGATGAATATAATTATACAAGATTTATTAACCACCATTAGCAGAGCCATCATTGACACTTTTTTGAGCTAGACACTGCTAAATAGATTCCTATAATTTTCAATGATGTGCTCTATTGCAACTTAACCTACTTTCGTGAGGACACAGACCATCATAAAGATATCTCAAGCTGTATTTGGGGCCAAGTATGTGTAAAAGTCGCGTGTTAATATGCAAAACTTGTCATGTGGACTCTAGACAAAAGCCTTCAGAAATATTCAAATGTGCTCTCTCCGTTGCGCCTAAATATAAATAAAATATTTATTGAATTTTTACATGCTCTGATGAATTTCGTCACCAAGTGCGAATACTTATTTACTTTCAAATAGAATAATGGAAAGCAAAAGAAGTTGTTAAAATAATTTAAATAAATGAAACATATCCGTCCTGGTTTAATAGAGTTGTTGTTGCGGGTCGGTGTCAAAATATTAATTACAAAAACGCCGCCCGTCGCGTGTGCCGGACGACGATAAATGAGCGAGAATTCAAAAGCCGCCGAGCAAGTCTGGGAATTAAATGAAACAAACGGCTGTTTGCGTACGGTTCGGCACAAAAGCCATAGGAGGTCACTTTGCGGTAATACAAGTGTACGTATAGCATTGTGCATTAAACATACACAAAAGCGTCCTCGCGGCGCACACAAAAAAGCTGCAGCCTGATCCCATTTAGCGCGTTAATGTATAGTTTTAACGTTGTCGCGCATCAAATGGATGCGTCGCTCGTTGCTCATTTTTAATTAACGCGTTTAATGCGTTGCGGTGGTGCCGGTGGTGTAAAAAGGAAATGAAAATCATCATTTTGCCAAGGCTTTTCCTCGAGCTCACCTCGGCTATAGTTTTTCTCGCCCTTTTGCCGCTGGAAATCCGACCGAGATTTGCTTACCTGATGGATAACGAAATGAAATGAATATTCGTTCATCCGCTCTTTTGTGTAACTCTCTCAGAGGTGTGTGGATTCCGCTTGATGCAGTGTTAGCTGCGTCAGACTCGTTCATTAAGCGGCTAACTTTTTGATTCACTAACTTATTCACACTGCTAAATTGTAATTCACATAACAAATTTAAAAACACACGCATGCTTTTAAATTTATGATAAAAATTCAAGTTATTTAACTTGCAGCCATATTAATTGATATTCTTTAAATTTATTATTTTATTTTTATATTTATTTTTAATATAAAATATCACTATGTTTTCTTTTGGTTAAAAGTTCCTGTTTAAATCGGTTTTGCTTTCAAAATATTGATATTTATATTGGTAGATTGCAAGTTTGTTTATGGGATTGAAAAGTTTATGATTTCTGTATGAGGTTTCCCTCTTTGTTTCACACATGACGTAGATGAAATAAATTCCTTGCACATAAAAATGACTGCAATTATGATCAAATAAATATGCAAATTTCAAAATTTCCCAGGCAACTGAAAACAGTTTTACGACAATAATCCGCGGTCAGAACAATAATAAATTTCCCCTTCTCCCATTCCCAGCCGGTCGCATTGTCTTTTGTCAAAATTCGATAACTGTTTTTATTACACACGCCTGTTGCGCTTTGTTCCCAGGACAAATAGCGAGGCCGGACTGGACAACATGGGCCGCCGGCCGCAGCAGTACCCCGGGGCCGAGGAGAAGCGGCGCTCGAGTCCGCGGCCCGACCTCATCGAGAACGTGCTCGATTCGCAGCGGGCGTGCGACAGCATCTCGGAGAAGTCGATGGACCTCAGCTCGCCGGAGGAGCAGGGCGAGATTCCGCACATGCCCGGACAGATCAACGCCGACGAGCTGTACGCCGTGCCGGTGAAGAGGCGCGAGCGCAACTGGAAGAACGAGGAGCCCGCCGAGCAGAGGCCCTTGCTGAACGCCGAGGACGAAGACGAGACTGAAGAGACCCTTCCTTCTGGCTGGGAAAAACACGAAGGTCAGCATTTTTACATTTAAAAATGAAACTAATTAGCAATTAACAAACAAAAATCCAAAAGAGCAAAATTATTGCTATAAATAAAACTATTTTAAATTCATTTCAAGAAAAGGATGACATTATTTTTTAAATTTTTCTCTTAATTTTTTTTACTCGAGTTAAATTTTATCCAGGTCGTTTAGAATGATAAAACCAAGTAAATATTTGAATGTATTTATTTAACACGCTCTCAGAGCGAAAAGAGGCTTCATTGCAAACACTCGTCGCTTTTCAGATAATGACGGTCCGTACTTCTGGCATATCAAAAGCGGCACAATTCAGAGAGAACCTCCTCAGAGCGACAAGAAGGTGGACGGCAAGAAAGTCACTCTGCGCGACTCCGAGAACGTGAGATTGCTTTCATGTCGCACACGCCGCGAATTTAATTAAAATTACCCTCCTCAGATGATGCCATTTCCCACCGGGGTGACTCGCAGCAGCACCAGCTCCGCCCTGGAGGATCTGCAGGACGGCGGAAAAAGGAAAGAGGACAGAAGAGAAGAAATGGCATACAAGTGAGTGCATTCATTTATTTATAATTAAAAAATTTAAATCTGCAAAAGAATTGAGAGTTACGTAAAATTGAATGCAATTTTCTTTCAGACGTCGTAGCTACCCTGCCCGAATTGAGCCAGAGACCAAAGAGAGGTCAATCAGATTCGCAGTTCGCTCCCTGGGTTGGGTGGAAATTGCCGAGGAAGATCTCACCCCTGAAAGGAGCAGCCGGGCAGTCAACAAGTGCATCGTCGACTTGTCCCTCGGCAGGAATGACCTGCTGGACGTTGTGGGACGATGGGGAGATGTAAGAATATTTTTATTTTTAATCAGGATCAATTTTTAATATCAATTTTTTTTTATCAGGGCAAAGATTTGTTCATGGACCTCGACGAAGGAGCCCTGAAGCTGATTGACCCTGAGAACCTGACTGTCCTCAACACACAGCCCATTCACACAATCAGGGTGTGGGGCGTTGGACGGGACAATGGAAGGTAGGAATATTTCATTTTTATTAAATCCTTGCCATATTTTTGCAATTGAAATTTTTAAGAAAAACGTTTACAATGACTTTATCTTTATATCTAATGCAATTGCTTTCGTGTCCTCTTATCTCTGGTACCGTTTGGATCTACAGAGAAAGGTAAAAGAAAATTGGATCGTGCATATCTTGCATTTTTCTCTCAATTTGCATGCGCACCAGTTCGTTGACTTTCCGCTTTTCTGCACGGAATCGCGAGATTGTGTAGTTAGTGTGCACCAAGCAAAATCCAACCACGCTGACGTTGACCACCTTCTCGTTAACCTTTAGTGCGTTGCTATTAGTGGCCGCCTATTGTTATGGCTATTCATCATGCAAATGAAGATTTTGCATTTCGTGATCCGACTCGCGTGCCGCGTGGATTTGCAGCGGAACTAGATATATGACTTTGCAAATTCCGATTGCACGCGAATGCAGATGTGTGTTATTAACCTTGGACGAACACTTTAATTAATTCTTGGCACCAGCAGTGCTTTTTGTTAACCAAGGTTCAAGCACCACCCTCTCAAATTAGAATAGGGTGCAGCACCTTTGTTGAAAGAAGTAAAAGATTTTGCTTTGTATTATCAATGATATTTGAATTATTTTACAATAATATAATCCGCATGGAATTTTTGTTTTTATTTCTATATATTTGTGGAATATTTCTAAATTTGGATATTTTCAGGGATTTTGCGTACGTGGCCCGCGACAGAGGCACACGGAAGCACATGTGCCATGTTTTCCGTTGCGACATCCCCGCGCGGACGATCGCCAACACGCTGCGGGACATCTGCAAGAAGATCATGATCGAACGTTCCCTTCAGCAGAATCTGGCCAAACCCATCGATATCAGCGCAGTTGGGCCTGGACGAGCTGGTCTCGCAGTCAGACCGACCAACCTGCCCACTGAGCACCGGCGCTTCCACCCGAGGAATGGTCAGAATATCGTCAGTAAGTTTCACTCGCCTTGTAAATTTTGAATGATATTTTAATTGAACAAAAAATCTAGCTCAATCTTTTCCCACGCCGATGGAAGAGCCGAAAAAGGTGCTGAAGGCGTTTTACCTGGGCGCGTTGCAGGTCACCAAGTCCACAGGAATGGAAATCCTGAACGACGCCATTGAAAAAATGGTGACCACCAACCCAAAGGAGCAGTGGAAAAGCGTCAACGTCGCCGTCGCCCCCTCGATGATCTCCATCTCCATGCCTGGGGTAAAAAAATACTTCACCCTTTGATCTTAAAAACTAAGGCAAAAAAAATTATTCAGGACGATGAGCAGATTGTCACCGAGTGCCGCGTGCGCTACTTGTCTTTCCTGGGCATCGGCAAAGATGTGAAGCAGTGTGCCTTCATAATGCACACAGCACAAGACTTATTCATTGCTCACGTGTTCCACTGTGAGCCGTCGTCTGGCGCTCTGTGCAAAACAATAGAGGCTGCATGCAAAGTATACAAGAAAAAATACTGCTCAAAGGTGTCAAGATTTTAATTTGTGTGACACTTTCAGTTGAGGTATCAAAAGTGTCTTGATGCACACCCCAGCGGACTGGGTCAGGGTTTGGCCGAAGCCGCCAACACGACGGGAAAGGGTCTCGGCGCCACCCTCAAGTCTTTGGTCGGCTCGCTCACGGGACGTAAAGGCAAAGGTGGCTCGTTAGAATCCTGAGATGAGGCCTCGGCTTTACAGGTGAGGAGCCTTTTATTGAAATAAAACTTTTCTAAATTATTTTAAAATTGGATTTTAATTTTTTCTTAATAAGAATCGACTTGAATTATCTTTTCATTCAAATTAAATTATAAAATTGTCTTTGTTATTTTAGGACGGCTCTTGGAGTCCGCCTGTAGAGCGCGAGGTAATCCCACACAGACACTTGCAGTCGCCAATGACGTGTGAAATGTTCAGCGGCGCCGCCGACGAGGCCGCCAACAGTGAGTCCGAGGACGAGGAAAATGAGGAGGAAATCGACACCTCAGCGCCAACCCCTCAGCGCAAAGAATCCTGGTATTAGAATGAAGAAGTGAAGGACAGACGATTAGACTGTGCCATGTGTGGTCATTGCCGAGTGCGCTTCATCTCTCTCAAGTTGAATAACCGCTAAACAGCTTTGTACTAGTGTGGATATAGAAAGGAGAGTTTCACCACATTTAACGCAGATTCGGCCGCCCGGTTTTTTTCTTTGGCCCGACTCGATCACCGCGCGCCTCCGTTCTCAGCTCCATTTATTTTCCTCAACCTTTGGATCTCAAACAAGTTTTTGATTTGCATTTCTTCCCATTTTTTACTCAAAAACTCATTTTCAACCGCTCTTATTGTGCATTTTTTATTTTGCATTTTGAGGCGCGACGGCAGCCGACGATGCGCCGGCCAGCAATTTCGAAACCCGGCGGCCACACTATGTAACAAAAATCATGTATATTGTGTACAAACTGGATTGAGCAAGCACGAGGCCAGCACACCAAACCTATTTAATAATATAAAAAGAAGCAACTCGTAAAATTGAGAATGGAAAGAGCTGCTTGTCAGTGCGAGACGCCAGAGTCAGCAGCTTTTCGCAAATGAAAACGGGGAAGAATCAAAGTTCTAGTGGTAGCATATTTGTGGGTCCATTATTGATGAACGCTCGTCTCGGTGCTCTTGTGTGCGACGAGAGCCGAGTGTCTCGTTATTCCGTGTAGCGCGTCCCGGCAGCAGCTAAAAACTATAATCACAAAACTGACACACACTGTATGAGTGTAAATCCCGCCCGAGCATTGCATACTCTCTCTTTAAACAAGTCTGCTCATCTCTTCAACAGGCTTTGTCGTGTGCTCTTGATCTGATTTTTTATTAATTTTAATTACTTAAAAACGCGTTTTTATTTTGAACCAGGGCAAGTCAAGACTTTTATTATTTTACAATGCCAATAAATAATTATTAGTTACAATTAAGTTCGATAGAATCTCCTTTAACCTGAGGTTAGAATAGGCGTGATATTTTTAAAATGCTAACGTTTTCTTTTGGCTGAAACTAAAACTGTTTTATTTCAGTCAGCAGAACTTTTGGCAAAAATTAATGAGCAGCTTTGACGTGCAGCTCTGCAAAAGTCGATTTCTTGCCAAAAACTATTCCTTTCAAAAGTGGTGGAGATTTGACTGATTTGTGATTGCCTTGGCAATTTAACACTGCATGACAATACTTAAATGTCAAACTTAAAATAACCATTTGTACGCGTAATCTCCCAAAGTTTGCCAAACGCATCAGCCAAATCTGCTCCCACCTCTTTAATTATATAGCAATGTATATTTGTTCAAATAATATAAATGTGCCTCTCGACTAACAAACGTAATTGTTAACGTGCCCTGGCTGTTATTCTTTCTTTTTCATTTTACAGAGCTTAATCTCATTGGTCCCCTGAATATCTGTCTCATAAACAGACGAGCTAACTAAGTGAGAATTAATCACCCACGCGAATAAATCGTTACTTGTCCAAAAATAGCAAGTGCATCCTCCGCAGTTAACGAGAGAGGAAGAGAGAAAATTAATCAAAGAAAACGAGCAGAGAATAAATTTGTAATTTGCAAATAAGCAGCAAGATTCTTCTCTTATTTCGAGAAGAGAGAAAAGTGGAAGAACGGCAAGAAAGTGTAAGGGAAATTTTGTCTCATCCCCCAGCAGAAAATAGAGCAAATAATCAGTTTGAATGTGTAAAACTACTCTTAAGGCAGCAAAACACAATTGTAATCGGATAATTAGCGTCTCAAGTATGTACAGGCAGTAGGTCGCAAAAATTGCATGCAGTACAGCAAAAACCTCACATATTTAAAACAAAAAAACGACACTGCAAAAAGAGTCCAAAGATTTTTCTACTCTGTTTCTCTTTATTTTTGGAAATGACCTTCCTCGGCTGCTCTGCGAAGTGGAAACAAATTTTTCCAGCAGTCGAGAGCAGGGTCAGCCAGCTTTGTTCCGAACTCGGTTCCTGCACCTTGCTACATAACCTCGATTTTCCTTGAAGAGACACGGTGGTGTGCCTGCCCTATATAGAAGTTGTCGGTTGCGTATTATAATGTTCCAGGCACGCCACTGATCGGTCCGTCGACCTTTCGCATTGGTTGCATTTGCTATGCAAGTGGTACAAAAGTGTGTTCCGACGATCAGCAGAGAGTTGTTGTTAATTGTTGTTGTTGTTTTGCGCTTGGAAATGCATCTTACCGACATGAAAAAAAAAATTATATATCCCTTCGAAATCACACGATTCACACTTGGGTGGTAGCGAAATTTATTCAAATAGACCATTTACCTTTCGCGAAAGCGGCCGCGCGTATGTAAGTTGTGCGCCGGCCCAGTCTTTCAATATCCAAATATAGGCACCTTTTACCGAGTTAAATCAACACTCACACGAGCTAATGATTTTCATGAGAAAAAGTGTTGAATGGTTTAAGATTTTTATTTTTTAGATCAAAGGTGTACGAAGTAATAATTAAAAAGAAAATGGAAATGTTTCTCGTGATTATATATCGATGTGCGCATTGAAAATGGCAATTTTGCATCTTTTGGACGAATTGGTAAACAGTGTCCTTCCGCTTTTTGGGTTCATGGTCTATTGAAATGAATACAATTTGCTCTCTAAAATTGAAAAATATTGTAAAAACACACGATTAATGATAAATTGCCTTTTCTGTGAATAAAATAATAATTATTTCAATTAAAATATGTACTTTTCTTTTACCCAATGGATCCAATTAGGTATTCACATAGAAATAAAATTACTAACTTTAACTGTTAAACGATAAAAATTTATTTTTCAATCATTATAATCTTAATCCATAATTAGTTCATGAAGAGTCATTCAGAATCGACCAAACTTTACATAAGCAAAATTTATCAAGAAAAAATTTAACTAGGCTCATAACAATGGCACTGAAAATTTTGCAATTGAAGACAGGTATATAGTTTTTACATCGCTCTCAGCAGCTATAATATTTAATTCAAAACTTTGAAAAGTTTCGCAGCGGAGTGGACATCAAGGAAGAGAGGACAAAATGTAAATATTTCTTTAGTCCCATTCAATATTATCTTAAAATATATACTTCAAAATGTACATCCAGTTTTATTGTTACCTCTGATTGACTACAGACATAAATTTTCTTGCTCTTCTTAAAAGTTTTGCAGTTCTAATCAAAATTGTGTACTCTCTCGTCCATTCATTCAAAAAGTGCAGAGGGGGGTCGCTAATCAAACGCGAGCTACTTTGATGATTTTATTAGTGATCTAAAAATAACCCTTAAACAGGATAGCATTTTCACCTTCGTAAAATTTCTTATTTTAATTTAAGTTTTACTCTCGCGCCAATTTGCACTTTCTTTGCACCATCTGCTCTCATCTTGATACAACAGCATAATTAATATGTTTTGAGTTGATAAACAAAATAAAATTAAAATTGACATAAACATATTATAATCTGCCCTTTCTTTGACTTTCAAATTTCTCATGGCACTGGCAACAAAATTCGAGCTTATAGCGGCTGAACAGCCAGGGTCATTATTGTGCACAGTTCTTTCATAAATCCAAGTTTCATCAAAATCGTGTGCGACTTGAATTAAATTGTTAAACCATTAAAATAATATATTATTGAAAAAGGTATACGCTGCTAGTTGGTCGGCGTTAAAATATTTATAACAGGAAAATAAAATGTATGTATGGCATAAAGAACTGATAAACATTATAACAGCGCTTCTATCTTTTGATCTGTCAGCTTAAGTCGAGCCTGGTTGGTTGCCTGCTTGCAGAGGGCTGCATTGGCGGCTGTAAAATCAGAACAAACCGATGCATTCCACTTGATTTACCATTCTTTCGGTCACTTCATCCGAATAGATTTATACTTTGTACAGACCAGATTTTTATACAAGCAACGCAACATTAATTTTTTCTTCAAATTCATAACACAATTAGAAAGTTAAGAGGCCATTACCCAGAAATCAAGGATTACAAAATGTGTATTATATATTTGTATCAGTTTTGCCACTTTCACCAAAGTACGACACACAGTAGGCGTTGTTTGTGCTTTCAAATTAAAAAAGTACAACATTTCTAGGAGACCTGCAAGTGAGACAAACTCATCCAGACTAGCAGACTTTTTACAATATCCACAACCGTTATAGAGTCAGCAAAATTAATCTGGTTTTAGTCGGTTTCAGTTTGAGATTAATTTTGCTGCCTCCCAAAAATAAGGAGGCAAAAACAAAACCAAGAAAAAACAGGACGATACAATAAGGAAGACGGACGATATTGGTTTGTGCACATTGCTGTATGAGGTATTTACACTGCAAGATACAAAGTGGCATCTTAAATATTTGTGAACAGAATTAGAAATATTAACTATGCAACTATAAAAATATTATTTGATTAAAAAGCATTATACTAAAGATGTCAATTTGTATCTTGCGATGATCACACAATTTATAAAATATGTAATGAAGTGTCAGGAGTTACTCGCTATAAAAGGTTGTCCAAGAGAACTAGTCATTCAAAAGCCTGTTTATTCTAATCGTGGGTGCATTAAAAATTTAATGAATTAATTTATGGGTGTGTTGATCCAAACTGTTAGCCAAAATGGAAAAAAAAGTGCATCCAGACTTACACTTTTCATCAATCTGCCGTGGGAATTTAGACATATTTTTGTTGTTCGGGCGTGATCAGGATTGCAAAACCCCTGCGAGGCAATTTGGAAAAAAAGAGAGTTAAAGAACGAACATGAAAACAAAAGGTGCGTTTTGACAGGACTGGCTATGCAAGAGAGAAAAATCCTCAAATAAGATAAAAATTTGCGTAATCGTTGCTTTTCTCATTGTTAAGGCCTACCCAAATAATTTTTCAAAACAGCAGTGGCAGTACGGTTTGTCATTTTGCTCCTTGAAAGTTCCCTTGTTGAGCTGCTTCAGGCAGAAGGCGCACACAAAATGCTCAGGGTGGAACTTTCGGAACATTGCAGTAATGCAACGTCCTGAAAATTTAAAAACGCGTCATTAAAAAAAAAAAATAAATTAAAAGGCTTTTCACCTGTAATGGGTTTATGACATCCAGCACATAGTGATCCCCTCTTTGCGTGGTAATGTGTTTCGCAGTAAGGTTGACCTTCATGGTCAAAGAATGATCCTCCGTGGAACGGTTGCCGACAGTCCTGTAAGATAAACACATAATTTGTCAATCTAGAAAACTCGGCTTTAAAATTGTAATGCCAAATACATCAGAAAGGGGTCAAAAGTAAAGTTCGATGCACCTCAAGAGTAAAATGTTATGCTCATTTTTCACATGGATGAAGATAAAAAATAGAAATGATATTCATTTTCGAGTGGCCTCATTGCTTCACCTTCTTCCAAAACTAATTTGCAGCCGTAAAAACTTTACGACCATTCCTTCTCTCCAGAAGGGAATTATCTGCAAATCATTTTAGTGAACGTCTTTGGCCACACGACTGACTCATCTTGTTGATACGGTTTCAAAATATCGGCCATAAAGTGTGAAAAAAGCGCGGCCCCAGCCTGCTGGCATGTGTTTTGGCTATGATGCAACCGACCACACTTGCTCTCAGTCCGTCAGCCGCTCTGTGTATATTATCGGGCCGCAATGAACGCATGATATTTGTGCCTAGTTGGCGTCCGCTCAACTTTTGGGGCGGAAAATTAACATGCAAAATTATTGCACGCGGTGCAGCTGGCTCGAAAGTGAGATAACACTCTCCCTTTTGGAAAGGCGAGGCGCTGAAAGCGCGCTAATGGGAACAACAGATCCAGTTTCTTTCATAACTTTGTCCTGACTAATGCTTGATTGCTTGCAGTTGGATGAGGCTCGAAAGAAAGATACTACAAAATTATACAGAGTAAATTTTAAAATTCTTCATGAAAATTATTTGGAAAGTTTTACATTGTGTCATGTTATTTAACTTTTTTTTTAATATTTCCATTAAATAATTAGAATGATTTTTAAGTGTGGATAATTTAAAAAAATGTAAATAATTCATAAAATTATATTTATTTGGAATTTAATAGCAAAATGTATCATTTTTAAGCCCATAAATTCATAAATTTGTCAGCAGGCCTAGGCGTCTGACAGCGAGACACGCAACGTGCGCACGTGTCTCCTAGTACGCCTGGCTGATTTTTGCTTTAGTATTTTTGTTTTGTTTTTTTTTCTTTTTCCTTTTTTTTATTCTTTATTGATTTACATAACATGACACATATAGCCTCGCACACTGCCAACTGCACGGCAAAAAAAGTTCCGCCACCAAAAAGTGTATTTATCAAAAAAATCCATAACCTCTGCTGACGTTCAACAAAATCTTAAAATTATATCAACAACGTCGTGAATAAATTTCGCCTTCGAAGAGCATAAATATTTATTTTTCTCAAGGTGCTGATTCAGGGGGTCGAACTCTTTATTCGTCTGGGGGGGTCGGGGGCATCATTTTAGTTTGGGGGGCTCGTCATTTCCATTCACTCGTCGTCCTCGACGCCGGCGCATTTTGGGCACACAGGCTTGCCTTCCATGGCGTAGAAAGACTTGCCCGAAACCGCCTTCTTGCAGTCCTTTAATGCGAAAAGGTAAAAAAAATTCGCAAGAGCTGCAAAGTGGAAAGGGGAAGGGAAGACAAACAACAGAAACAGAGAGACCAACCTGCGCCGGAAGAAACTTACCCTGCAGACGAAGCAGTCTGGGTGCCACTGGGTGTTGAGCGCCGAAATGTAATTCTCCATGATGGCGCGGCTGCAGCCTCCGCACTTGGGCGCGAACATGTCAAAGTAGTCGTCCTTGCAGTACGCCTTGCCGTCCTTCTCATGGAATCCGTCGTCGCCGAACTGCTTGCCACACTGGGCGCAGAAAAAGTGCTCGGTGTGCCAGGTTTTGTCCAGCGCCGTCACGCATTTCTAAAAAAGAGGCTTGCTGAAGGGGTTTTTTCATGGGAAAAAAAATAAATTAGTACATCAAGAATGGGGCCGTTGCAGTAGGCGCATCTCGGCGAGAAGAGGTTGTGGTAGTCGGGCTCGCAGTACGGGGCGCCGTCGCGCTCGAAGAAGTTGCGCGTGCCCAACTCCTGGTTGCAGTGTTTGCATGTGAAGTGCTCAGGGTGCCAGGTCTTGCCCAGGGCGGTGATGACCTGTCAATAATTTTCAATAAATTCGATTCTCTCCGAATTAGAATTCAAGAAAAAATTATTCTCCCCAATCGTATACCTGGCCCACGATCGGCTTCTCGCACGCGTTGCAGCATCCCTTCTGGGTGGTGTTCACTCCTTGCCTGCTCATGTCGGCCTGCAAATTACCAAGCATCGAGTCCAATTGGTTTTTAGCGGACGCTTTGTTTGGTTTAGCGTAAGGTGAGTCGGTTACTGTTTGGTGTTGATGAGTGCTTGCGTTAATCTGTCGATTAGACGGGTGTCCTCGATTAGTCTCCACACAATCAAAATACCACAAAATATACTGCAAACTCAAGACTACAAGATTAAGTTAGGAAGAATAAATATTTTTGCCGAAATTAGCAAAGGGACCAAACGAGCGTTCAAAGAAGGGACTATGAACTACGAAATCGGATTAAAAAAAAAAGAGTTAAAATTGTACAGGCGGTGAGGTCGGTGCGTTCGCCGGGAGGGTCGGACGGCTTGTGAGCGGCGGCTCGGCGCTGCCTCGGGTGTCGTCTGCGGCGGTGCGCCCTACCTCCCTCCAGAGCTCCGGAGGTGGCATCTATTCCCAGAAACTAATCTTGCGGCCGCGCACGTTTTGCACCCCGCGCTCTCTCCAGACCCAAATAAGAAGAGAGGAGAGGGCCGCCGTACTCGAAAACCGCCAATTGGGTCACTTTTCGGCCCCGCGCAGATTTTCACTTATTTGGATTTCGTCGGCGCGACGCGTTGAAAGGGCTTTGGCACCGGGGCAAAATTTCGATTTATCATTTTTCGGATTCGCCGATGTTTTGGCGGGCCGCGAGACTACATTTGTATAAACACGCCCTCGGATTGTTTCTCTTGGGCTGAAAATTATTGCTTCACGCAAATTTCATTTTATCCTAAAAATCAGAATGGCAAAATTTGTAGTAAAAAAAACGTTTAGCTTATATCAAAATATGAAATCGAAAATAAAAGTTTTATTCATTTGTTTGTTCATTGAAGTGGGACGGATGTTTCGAGTTGCAATTATCGCCTTTTTACAGCCGATTAAACGCGGAATTTTCGCATCGGCACGACGAAAGAGATGAGCAAAGTGCGCGCAGGAAGGCCTAGCTCAAAGGCCGCTTGTTTGTCTTTTTATGGCGAGGCACGTCGATCGCGACGGCTTTTAATTCGTTGCTGCACTTATGCCCGTCGGATGATAACAATCACACAGAATATTGAGTCATGCGACGCATTGTTTGCATGCATGGAACCATTAGGAATAATAATAACATGCGGCACTTTCCGTCTGACCGTTTACGAAAGAGCCACTTAAATGGAATGGTATGTATAAAAATGCTCGAAATGAATGAGTCACCAAGTGTCACGTATCCGACACGCTACTGGACAAAAATTAGGAGAATTTAATTTAGTACTGAATGAAAAAGTGACCCATTTTCGCGGGGCACGTGAAAACGGCGAGTTTCCTCACAGCTTTTAAACTCATCTTAAATCTTGTTCAACACTTTACGAGCGGGCCGAGCGACAAAAACAAATGATTTCCGAGCGCGGCTTGAGCCACTTATTTTTGCGCCAGTCAAAGGAAGAGCAACAAACGCCCAACGCCGCACAAACTCTGCTCGGCGGCATTAACTTTAATTAAGTCTAGCAGCTCCGAGATCCACGTTGGCGAAAATCGTGCACATTATCTCTTGATGCTTCAATTTGTCGACGGCAATTTATTGACTTTGGCCATGCAATCGAGAAGCAGCTGCAATCCTGGCACGATATTTTATTGCAGATTGGAAAAAAATCCCACCCAATTTGCTGCGATTAATTTATTTTGGTCCACAAATAAGTTTTAAGCTAATTTTTGTCCACCCGAGTTATTTATAGCGGACACTTAATAATTTCGAAAGCGCTCTTTGTGCGTTCGAAACACGTCCGAGCCGAAATAGTAAACGGCGCCTAATTAAAGCTTGACATCTTAAAAGTCCACCTTTTCCGTGTCGGATTTGAGCGGCCGCCCGAGACGAATTCGCCGCACACAAAACACTCGCGAGCCGCAACGACGTATTAAAATTTTGCACACGACAAAGGGACCATTTTTCAAATTGCCAATGACCTGGGCTTCCTGCCAGCTCAACATGTGCATTCGTCACTCACATGCTAATTGAGTGAGTAGCTTGTTCGAAGAAAGTCTGCTGGACGTTTGTAATGACCGCAAGTTAATTGCACACGCACGTCACTCATCAGGTTTGATTAATAAAAATACGAAATTGAGCTTTCTCGAGGGGGAAATTATTTTCTTTTTAGGGACAAAAAGAAAAACATTGAATTAGTTATCACAAAAAAATACAATTTTGTTTCAACATTATTTATTAATTTTGGGCCATATTTCTGAGGTTGAAAAGCTGCCACCTCGAGAAACTCTCCACCAAACACACATTCCAAAAATACTCCAAATTATCAACACCGGCCTGGCCGCACGCTGCACGGCTTGCATGCCAAATTTTAATTTTGTTTTACGCTGTCCTGCCAACCGCGTCCTAAATTATTATGTTCCCCGTGTTTACGTATTAACCGCTGCATTAATTTTGGTGCTTCGCGAATCGTGTTGTGTGTGATACGTGCAACAAGATTAACATAGTGAGTCGTTTGTCCGTGCGAGAGCAAAAATTTTAATAGTTTTGGAACAGTGTCAGTGTTTGATCTAAAATTAGTTCTTCTCCTCCATAATTTTAGTTTGATCTGTGTTGCCAACCCTTGTTCAAACGCTCGCTGGTTAATAAAACTTTACCAAAATTTCAAAAGGATAAGTTTTTATACAATATATGTATGTTCACGTTCATAATTATAATTATGTGTGTAATAAATGGAAACGGTTCCTACCTTGAAGTCGGATAGAGATGCCATCAAATCGTCCAGTTCCCTGGTTGCAGTAGAGGCAACAGGACCACCCTCACGCGTTCGCGTCTCTTGGATGGTGATTGTGGTGGTCAAATGGCGAGGGGTGGATTTTTGGCTGCAGCAAGGGAAGGTTTAAGTAAAAAAATATGTTATTGAAAGTGGCACTTTGAAATTCTGAGGTGGACTGCCTGGTTGACCGCAAATAAGGAGTGGTTTTATTTATGTATCAAAAACAGGAAAGGAAATCCGCATGGTCAGTGCAAGACGGAAAATCCAAACCACAGATAAAGTTTGGTGGTTTTAAATATGAAATTCTATGAGTCTAATATTTCGCGAAACAAAAAGGAATCAGAAACGATTGCGAAAGATGGATTCGCGTGTTAACAAGTGACATCACTCTTTTGGTGATGAAAAGTCTTGCAAACATTGTTAATTCTATTGCCGAAGATCAACTATTGACTATTGACAATGGAATTATTTCCAAATTCAAATTGGTTTATTTATTATTGAATTGTAAAAACAATTGGTGCTTATAATATAAAGAAATTCAATAAAATAATTAATATTTTAAAACTAATTTAGGTCATGTTTATGTGCTAACTTTTATACATCCTGGGCGAATCACACTACCTTTATCATAGCGGCAGGCGTAAAAATAATCAGAAAAATCACGGAGCATAAAAAGTGACGTTCCAAACAATAGGGGAGAAATTCGTTTAGCTCCATCGGCCCCTCCCGCAATTTGAGCACCAAATAAAAAAAGAGGCCCCGCCGACGTGACATCAGCGCGGACTGACTCACGTTGCCCGCCATAAAATTGCGCTATAAAATCGCTGATAACGTCGGCAACAATCACTTGGCCCAAAATAAATAAAAAACAAATATCCGGCGAAAATGAGGCGTCCTTTTAATTCTGTCCCGTGAAAGTCTATTCTTGCGAGACTCATGTTTTGGTTGGCAACGCGCGCGGCCTTTTTCGAGCGGCCAAAACAATATTCTTGGCTGCGTGGAAAATTTTGTGTCTTGTGAAAACCCCTTGGGGCTTTTCAAGAGGAATTTAAAAGAACTCACCCATTGGGCACGGCACTCAATTCGTCCAGCAGACTGTCCATCGTCGGCCGGTTCAGCGAGTCTGTCGAAGGCGGTCGTTGGCCTCCATTCACTCCTTCTGAAATTCAAAGCGTTTTTATCAATCAGGAAACGGATGTTCATCGAAACTATCAAAAAATAATATAACCAACCACCAAACTTGATATTTTTAGACTTTCCTATTTCGTTTTATTCAATTGCAGGTTTGGAGAAAAAGATATAATATTATATTTCAATAATTTTCTTATAACAAACTTGCATAGAAATTAAAATTTTTATTTTTGTTTTGGGCTATGCTAAAACCTAAATATGTAAAATGTCTCAAAATTTACAGTTTTTAACCCCTCATTAAAAAATAGTGGAGGTGTCTTGACAGTTAGAAAAATTTATGCCTTTTGGCGACAGAAATATGAAGCGTTCTCGGTGACTGAAACTGCTGGGCAAAGGTGAAAATCCGCAAATAAAAAATAAATCTTAAACGGGTGATCACCATTAACGCGTGAGGGATGCCGGAGATCACACGCGGTGTCATAATTAATGGTGTGACGTGACACCTCGGAGTGCCAAATTGGCGCGCTCACCTGCGTAGTGGGCGTTGCTCAGGTCCTGCAGCAGGGTGTCTAATTCTGAGAGGTTGTTGTTGTTTTTCGCTGCCTGCGACGTCGTGAGCGTCTCTTTGATGATCCTCTGCTGCGATGGAAGCGTCTAAAAACAGATTATGCAACAAAAGAAATTAGAAACTGAAATTGATCAGGACAGTAAAGGGATATTTAAATTTAATTTACTATTTTTAATAATATTAATTTATAAATTTTAATAAATATTTTACTAAATTTATTAAACATTTACTATTGTTGGTACTAATTGCACATTTTTACATTCTTCACGAATCAAGTCAAAAATTAAAGAGAGAAAAAATGTGACGAAAACAATAATGCCAAAAAAAACCTAAATAAGATACTTAAAGGGGTATTAAATGTCCCTACTGAACACATTTTAATTGATGTAACACAGTTAATTAAAATTTTGTAATTATTATTCTACCAAAAAGAAAAACCATTACAATTTAGTAGCAAAATTATTGAAAAAAAAAAAAAAAATTAAAAATATCGGAATCCAAAAATTAAGTTTTATATAAAAAAATTGAAGAAAAATAATTAATACAAAAAAATTAATCAAAAGTTTAACGCAAACAAGTTTTCTATTATTAATTAAACCTAAGACGGATAGAAATGAACGCAAAAAGCTTCCGGTACCGGGAATCGAACCCGAGCCTCCTGGGTGAGAGCCAGGTATCCTAGCCACTAGACCATACCGGATCTTGTAAACAGTCGTGAAAAAGAAGCGATATATTCTTTAACTGAACATTTTCCGCTGTCAAATGCATAGATTTTTTTAGATATTATCCCGTTGAACGATTTCCCTCTCATCCTCAATGACCCATTCGACAGCAATCATTCAACCAGCCAGTGATGCATCTCAACACTCTCGGCGGATCTATTTCTGGATCTCTGCTCCACCATTGATGTCAAAAACGCCGAAAAGCGGCGCGACACGTCATTAATTCCGGCGCGAAAGCCACCCGACAGCACAAAATATTGTTTGGGGTGTCGTGCTAATGTTGCGTGCCGCTTAAATAAATATGGGTCAGACGGAAAAAAGACCGAGTAGCAATTTATGGCGACGTGGGCGGAATTGCATATCGGCTTTTGAGGGCGCCGCCAGCCCCATTGGCGAGCGTGACCTCTGACAAGCTGTGTGCTTTTTGGGCTATTTTCGCCACCCTGCCGCTCTCATCGCGTGCTAATTTTTCGGCTTCCCGTCGGTAATGAGCTCCCCGCATCGCTCCACGAAACGACTTTTCAAACGCTTCCAGCTGTTCGTGCTCCATAAAATAGACGAAGTTCGCGACTGGCACGACCCAGTGAAAAGATTTAAGGTCATTCAAATGGGAATAATAAAAATCAATCAAATTTCATTTGCTCCTATTCCAAAAATATAAAATAAAGAAGTTTTTTTGGGAAAATTTAAAAATTTTCTTATACTTGATTATTTATTTTTTCAGCTCGCACAGCAGAATTGGAGCTCTGAGTTTATCTTTCTCGGCGTGTTTGATGTCATGCCGTATTTTTGAAACGCGGACAGGCCAAGGGAGGAGCGAGCGAAAGAGTTAGTGTGGCTCGGCGCTTGGACTCGACAAGCCATCTAGCGACTCGGCGTCGAGGGATCGACCAGCAGAATTATCCCTGTGGTGTCTCGATCTCGCGGATCTCGCCGGCACTCGCATTGTGCGCCAATTACGTCACCTTTGTTACATCACGACTTAATTATAGACGCGGCATGGGAGCGGCTGATTCACGCGAAAACGACAGCCGAAAGCGTCTCTTGTCAACAAATGAAGCTTCTTTTTAACCCGGAGACAATCAGTGAGTCAAAACAAAATTTATGACTTTGGTAATTTCGGGATGACAACTGTGATGAATGATGTCATCTTATATTACGTTCGAGTTAATATTTTCGTCGCTTCAAAAATAAAATAATGAATAAGTATATGCTTGAGTTCCACACAAAAGAGTTTGAAAACTTTTATACTTGAATATTTTTATTTTAAATAAAATGGTAGAAAAATTAATTTGATGTTAGAGTGAATAACATTTTTTTCCATGAATGAAATTTTTGGCACTGGTTGTAAAAATTGAATGGGTCTTACCGAGTGGCCATGACGGTCATACAGCGTCTTGCTAACTCCATTGACGTTGAGAGATCCGTAGCCACTGCCTGCGTTGCCAGGATTCACGGTATTCTGCAGATCAGCCAGCAGAGCATCTGAAATACGTGAAAATTGCGATTAGACGGAGCTTTCAGCTGAAATGTTAAATTCATTTCAATTTTGTTTTTTAAATTCAAGATGCAAGATAAAAAATATAACTTTTAAAGATGAATTGAGAAAATCTAAACTCGTTGTTAATTTTCTTCAATTACAACCTATTTTATTGATCTGGTGCGCCGAATTGTATTTTTAATTTTTTGTATGGCGTTAAAATAAATATTAAATTAAAATAAACAGGCCGATATGACAAAAAAAATTAAGACGCTTTTCTTAGCTTTTCTTATTGGCGCCTGCTGTAAGTTGAAAGTATGCAACCGGCTTGACGTGACTGTTAAGCCGGCTGAGGCAAAGAAATCCTCTTTCATATAAATTTTTCTTGTTTAAATTATCTGATAATGGAACAAGAAAGAAAATCAGCTTATCCAGAGATTATCATAATAATCATTATTAAGTTACGCATGTTAATAGATTACAACTTAGCTTTTTAAACTTCTTAAAAATAAATTAATATTGCTGTCATTATTTTTCATTATAATTATTATTTCATGAGTTAAAAGTATTATATATTAATTCACGAAAAAAATAATAGTAAATATAGAAATTAAAAACACAAAGAAAAAATTATAATATTGTATTAAAATGAAATTTATGTTCTGTTTTGAGTTAAGTAGATTTTTTTAAAGCCCACTTTCATCAACCTTCAAGAGCAGCAATTTCAGACTAATGTCAGCAATGAAAGCTACGTGAAGATGATCAGCAATCAATCCGCGGCCTTTGATTCCTTCAAAGCATTTTGAGAAAAAAATCCTTCATAAAACGAAAGTGAGCCGACGTTGCGATTGTTGAAGTCGGAGGTAAATCCGCGTGACACTTGGCATGTGCTCGAGGTCTCAGATCAGACCTCGATTGCCAGTGGGAGTTTTTCGAGAAGTCTGCTGGACCGGAGCCAGCGGACCGATGGTGCAACACCCGCGGCAGACAAGATCAAAATCCACCCGACCGACTGGGACCGACTGCATCTTGCCGACGCGCGCTTTTGGCCCGAAACACACGTGCACGCGCCACATTTTTGGACGACGTGCACGCGGCGTGTTTGTACACACGGCGTTAGCAGCCACTTTAGTAACCCACTTACTGAACATTTTAAATAATTCTTACTGGAATACGGAAATACTATGAAAGAAATAAAATTCTCGTTTATATTTAAAAATTATAATAAAAATAAAATTAAAAATATTCAATTTTGATATCAAATTTTAAATATAACTTTTTCAGGGGTATCAATTCGTGGGTGGCCAAGACAAATTCGCAACTCTACCAATTAGGTGGCGCCGCAAAAGCCAAGAGTCGCGGCTCATTTGCACTCTGCGAGCCTTCCGAGTGCGAATACGTCACGCCAAATGACCTTCCCATGCCCTGAAATATTTTTCGCGCATCATTAATGCGGCGGTCGGGGGGTGTTTGAAGCGTCCCTTGGGTGCGCGGCGGATACAGAAATACTCGGTTTTGGCAGCCGAAATCGAATTAGCAACCTGAACTCGAACTAGACACGCACCCGAAATAACAAATTCTTACACCTCTTTCCCAGAGGGCGACAGGAGTGACTTGATTTATTTTCAAATTAAGTAAATATACAAACAAGCTCTAGATCGAGTTTCCGGCGCTTGAAAGATGGCCCTGTGTGTTTGTTTTGCTGCAAATTTTGTTTGCCGCGAGGCACGATTTTAAACACTAAATTTCTGTTACAAAACAAAAATATGAAATCGTAGAAACATTTTGCTTTTCATAATAATCACCACTTTAGAAAAGTTTTCTCGTGTAATCTACTAATCCATTCAGAAATTTTTTCCCATCAATAGAGTTTTTAAATTTATCCTCAGTAAATTGTTTATGAAACCTCGGCAACCAACGGCGAAATTTATGAGTGCTTCTCGGAGAAATCAATTGAGCATAGTTCACAAAAGGCAATAACTCTCATTCCCAGCGAGAGATTGACAAGGATGTCAGCCCATTTATTAAATCCATTCTGTCAGGTGGTTGAACTTTGCCGGGATTAGCTCTCAATGAGATTCGTCAGGGAAAATGGAAAGCAGTAAACAGCCTTGGCGGATCAAAACAATTGCCATTTCAGGCAGGCCACCGACGGAGCAAAAAATCAGGCGTGCGGCACATGTCCATTCAAATGACCAGCTACTTTTCCTTCGCGATCAATCAAACAATCAACCAGAATTTCTAAGACAGGTGGCAGATTTGGTTGCGTAAATTTTACAGCGACACACTATGCGTGTACCCTAGCGGAGTTTTAAGATAAGAAACTCGCTCGGTCTGATTTGTTTGAAAGGTTTTGCAATATTCACGTTATTGCACAATCGTAAAAACAGGATCAGAAAATCAAGAAAAAATATCATATTCACTGCGTAAAATTTCAATTGAAATAATAAAGAGTGGCAAAAAAATGTTAAATCCCTGACAAATGAAATTCCAGCAAGAAGGAATCCTTTATGAAAACAATTTATACAAACCACAATTAAACAGTTACTTCAAGCAGTTGTATATTTGTTTGACGCGGGCAAATACCGGTTTTCGCCTTTGCACCACTTTCCAACTCTCAAACAAAACACCCGTGAAGGAAGAGATTCCTGAGGAGCAGATGATCGTATTTACATTGGCACCACAGCCTCTTTTTCTAACACCGTGACTCGCGTTTATTTATTTTCTCTCTGGCGCCCTTTCTATCGCCCATTGCGTCGATTTCCAATAATTACTGCCTCTTTCTAAATCCGAGTGAAACCGGCCGAAAGTCTCGTTGTAGAGGGCGGCTGTTTTGCATATTACAGTGGCGGGGGCAGCCGAAAATAGCGGCCGTGTTTATCCTTCGGCTTTGCAACGAGCGAATGAGTCAGACCGCGGCGCCGACCATTGTGCCTCTTTTGACGTCGCGGGCCCGAAACGTCAAACAGGTGAATTATGAGAAAAGGCCAAATTGCCGTCCACCCTCACTACCAAACGATTGGGAACTTTTTACATAGAGACAAGCAGCCGATTGTTCGCATGGATTTTAATTAATCCGCAGAAATTGTCATCATGCCAAATCTTCTTTCATCGAGACGACTCAATTGGACGTTTCGTTCCCGCCGCTTTTTATTTTCAAGTGCGAGAGTGCATTGCGTAGCAGACTGAAGGATGATTCGATAATTGGGGCGCGGAACGAGTTTCGAGAACAATCAGACAAGAGAATGTCGGAAGCCTACGAGCTATTTATAAAAAGTGTTGCTCCTCGCACAAATGACAAATGAGGCAGCGCACCAGGGGGACAATAAAACAGTCTGGTAAAGAGGCATTTCAAAAATTTCTCACTTGCTCAGCACTTAAAAGCTGACATATTTTTTATACTAACAAAGAAGTTTATTTCATTTGAAAATTATTTCAGAGATCTATAAATTATTAAAAACTTATTTAAATTTAGCCCTTTTAAACGAAGACCCGATGAATTGAAAGAGCCTAAAGATAGCAACTTTTGAAACTTGGCCAAAAATACAGGTTCTCTTGATTAAATTTTTGAAACACTTTACAGCGGCAATAAACTTGTCTTGGGCACCCACATGTAAACGTACAGTTCACTGACAATCAAGTTGGCGCGAGTTCCTTCTACAATAATAGGAATTGTCTTGAGCGTGGGTTTTGCAGCGCGGCGTGTGTAAATATCGCGTTTCTTAATCGCGCAACTCTCCTCCAGCTGCAAAGGCCATATTAGTAGATGGGCGTTCGGTTTTCCACGAGAAAAGTGTGTGGGAGCTGAGAAGTTCTGTTATACTTGAATTATACGGGGGCTTTCTATGTATCTTTGCGAAAATCTACGTCATTTCCATATTAGTTTCTTCGTTTGAATGAAATGAAGATGTTCGGAAGTTTGGCATGATAAGCAGTTGATACATGAAATTGAAAAGAAAATATTTGGGTCGAGACTACCTCAACGAATTTATCCTTGAAAAAGCGGCGAATAGATACACTCCGGACACAAGGACGAATTCCGCAACACGATGAGAGGATCTATTTTCGAGCGTGCCAGTGGAGCGGTATTATGTGTGCACATTAAAAAGACGCGCAACTCGCGGGGCCAGCTAATTAGCACTTATAGTCAGACGCAGAAAGGGTCACTTTTGACGACCTGATTTGCACGAGTTAAAAATATACAAAATCAATGGCCAAGGTTTCAATTCGACAAGAAGCGCGAGAGATTTTATCGCTTTTGAATGCGACCCAAGGATTTTAACACCAAAAAGGTCGAAAGTGCTTTCAATAAAAAAAAATCGGTTAATTACAGATTCCAATTAATCAAACGAACAGTTGTTTCATTACATTACACAAGGCAAGCAATTAGAAACATTTTTGTATCTTTGTGTATCATGGGAATTTCACGACTTGCTTATTTTTTGCTTATGTTTGCGACTCTTTAATGGCTGTGTTTTGACGCAAGATGTCCAAATTTGGAATAATCGCCTAGTTTATGGGATCATACCAACGTCACGCTCTAATGAAGCTATAGTTTTGGGCTTCAATGTCAGTTGGTAACGGTGTGCTAACATGCACTGCTTTTGAGCTGCGTGACTTCAAGAATTCCTTTTATCAAAATCTAAAAATAAATTTCAAAATAAAGCCCATCTATGCGCACGTAGATTTCTTAATTCTTACCACGTTTTTCTGATTGGATTGAATTCATATTAATAATTGCTGTACTGACAGGTTCAATAATTAGATACATTTATATAATTATAAATTTATATTTAGTGATAAACTCTAGAGTTCATAAATAATTTTCTGCAATTTACATTGAAAAATGCAAAAAACGTTATATTTGCTGTCTCTATTTTTGTGAAATTCAATGTGATTATTAATGAATAATTTTATAATTTTTTATCCCAAATCTAGTTTGAAGAAAATTCTTCCATTACTAATTGATTAAGAAAAACGCTGCATATTAAAAAACAAAAAATACACACTTTCTATCTCTATCCGATATCAACGATTAAGAGTAAAATTATTTAAAAAAAATATTAAATTCAGTTAATAAAATAAATATGATTCTTCCAGTTTCAAGTTAAACTCATGCAAAGACCCCGTTCCGATGTCGAACCATCACCAGCAACCACCACCGCAGGTCAGAAAGCCGCTCCAGGTGCTCCGAGGCCCCCGAACCCCCCGATACTTGCTCTTGGTGAAGTGCTTGGCGTCGTCGTAGGTGGTGTGCGTGGTGATGACCCCGTCGCGGGTGACCCGTTTGTACACGGTGGTGCGTTTCTCACCAAGGTGGTTGTCCCAGCTGTGGTGGCGGTGGCTGCGGGGCGGCGGCGAGGGCCCGCCGTTGGCCACGAAGGGCCGCCTCTGCACCACGGAACTGCTCATCGTTGCACTTAACAAAGTTGCTGCTGCTCACGCTGCCAACGGTCAACTACTAACAAACCGACGTACCACGCCGACGACGAAGAGCCGCAGCGGCGCGCACTGTCCACACACAGAAATAACTCCCCTACTCCGGCACGGGCGGCGGGCCGGGACGGCCAATGTCGGACGCACGCACCTGTAGGATCGCGGAGTGCGAATGAAAAGGAATTCTCGCTGGTCGCCTGCAGGTTGCCGAGCGTGGGCCGACGAGCAAGGGCGGACCTCCTGGCCGGGCCCACGCAGGCCCTGACGCCCACGACCTTGCTTCGAATGTTGTGCGATTTGATGACGAAAATCGTGGCGAAACCAACAGCTGCTTTCGAGACCTGAGAGACGGAGAGCAGTACGTGGGCGGTTTGGAATTTTTTGAGGAAATTCAAAGGAAATTGGATTTGCTTAGGAGAGACTTGCAAATAGACTCAGGGAGGAGCAGTTCAAAAGAAACCAAGAGGAAGAAATCTTGTAATAATTGCGGGAGAAGTTTACAAGCAAAATGTTTTAATTTATTTGTATTTGAATTATTGAAAATTGTGAACAATATTTTTTTTTGTTATTCAAAACAATTTGCAAAATTGATTGCTTTGAACTGACTTTGAAGTCCTTATTAGTTATATATTGTTTTAAAGAAATGCCTTCGGCGCCCATATTTGTAATTTTCATAAACAATGTTCTTAAATAAAAATGACAAACTTTTTATTTATAAATTTATGGCAAATCAAAATTATTTGAAATTTTCATATCTCTATATAATTTTAAAATTGAAATTTTATTTCTACTTGCAAATAAGTAATAATTAGATTGAAATTAATTGGGGATTTCTACCATTTTAATCAATAGAAAAATGTATCAAATCACTAAAAATTCAAATTTATTTTCTTGATTTTAGATTAGATATTGTGTCAAATAATAAAAAAAAAATTTTTCTTCAAATTAATTATAAAAATCTGTCTTCTCATCTTGGATAAGCAATCATTCACAGAATAGAGACTCTGCTGACCGAAGAAGAGAAAATTGAAGACGGACAGGTTGAGAGACTAACTCTCAACACATCTCACGCTGAAGTCGAGAGTTAATTCATTCGGCACGAAAGAATTAAACTCGTCGCCGGCCGTTCCCTTCCTTTCGCAGTTTAACAGTCTAAAGCAGACATTTATCTCACTCTGCATGCCAATGAAGGAGCAATTTAAAACACCGACATGTGCATTCGTGAAGTTGCTAATAAATACAAGTGCGAACCCACGCGTCTCAAGCGCCGCGTGGGCGCAGCGTCATCGGGCCAACGAGCCGAAGAGACAAGCATGAATTGTGGTTCTCGCCATAATTGGACACATTTACGGCCGCGGTCATAAAAAGATGCAGGGCACTACGGGGTCACAAATTGGCGCCTCAATTCAGAAACGTGTTGTTTGCAACTCCCACCTGTCAGAATAATGGCACTTGCAGCGACAGTTTAACATGTAATTTGCGCGATCAGAATAATTTTCATGTAAAATTTCATGATCGTTCTTTCCACCTATTAACTTTAGTGCTTTTGAATAAATTTGTAAATTTAAATTTTAAATTCAAAGCTTTTTAAAGATGAAATAAAAAAAATTATAGATTAAATTACCTCCGTTTTCCTCCATCGTCTTCTAATAGTTGAATTTGTCTTGGAAAATTGTCATTATTTTTTAGTTATAAATTCGAATCTCAACTTAATACTTTGAAACTGTGTCCACTCGCAAGGCTTGCTCTTTTTCAACTGCCTTTCATTTTAGTCCACCGTTTCGTTTTAATCCAAGTTGGGATTAAATTCAGGCCCTTCGGACAAATGACAAAATGTGGACCTTTTAGAGATTCGAGGTGTGTGTAGCTTTTAGGTAATTCTGGTTTTGCGACAAGGAAGTGCCATTATGGCGTACACAGTGGCCGCTTCTTTCTTTAGCTTGGCATAAAAAAGTTGAGCTATAAATCCCGGGCGTGTGATCCTTATTTGGCTGAAATACGCGCATTAAAATACTTGCGCTAGCACAAAGGAAAGAGCGGGCGCGCTGTTTTATCTCTTCAAAGAAAACAAATAATTATGTGCGCTTTCCAGTGAAGGTCGTTTCGTACAACAAGTAGTAAAAGAGAAAAAAAATGAGCTTGCGACTTAAAAGAATTATTTAATTCTTGCGCACTGCTGCTAGTGGTATCTACCGGAGCCAGAGAAAGGCTTGGTAAACAAATAAATCAAATTAATACACATGTGTGAGAATTGTAGTTTTAAGAATCATCAACAACAACAAATATTAAGGGAACCGAGAAATATAATATGTTGTAATTTGGATACACTAATCATTAAAAAATCAAATTTTATTTTCTGGTGATTATTTTCTACTGAAATGACAAAATTACTAAAGACAGTACATTTTTCTGTGACTCTGCATGTATTGATACTAAATAAACAAGACAATAAAATATTACCACAGAAAGTACAAACAATAATTTTTATAGTAGTTTACACCATGCTGATATAATAAAATTTAATTTTTTAAATGGCGAGACATGTCCACAAAAGCAACTTTTTCTGATGATTTTTGATGATTTTTAAGTCCCTTTTTTTCTACCCAATGGAATATAAGTTAACAAAACCACCATCTAACTTATATTATGCACCTAATATATTTAGCAGAATATTTGCTGGAAACAATTTATCCCATACAAGAAATGCCAAAAAAACTTTTTGTCAGCAAAATAATAATGATTAGCAAAAATAAATTTGGCTACAAGTATTGTTCATTGTTCATTAAGCCAAGTGTGTTAAGCTATAACATTATAAGGTTTGTTTCCAATTATCAAATTTTCAAATTATCAACCATAGAACTACAACTTCCAGAAGCATCTTCTCTTTACTTTTGTCTTATCCGCCTCTTTTTAAGTGCCCAAATATTTATTCTTTAATCGCAAAAGCACTTTACTTGTTTCGCATTGCGGCACTCATTCAGCTCTAATGGGAGCTGCAGAGTGAGTGTGACGTCGTCGCTCACTCTCTGCCAACACCCAACCCAACTGACAAATCATTCGCATTAGCTTGGCAAGTGTGCAGCCCAAGCAGTAAATATTTGAGTGCCTTGCGGCGCGGAATCCTTGCAGATTTCACGCCCGATTGTGCTGCGAAAAAACATGTGCACATCACTTTTCACCAGTTTTAAAATTGCGCCAGCAAGAAAAAGTAGAAAAAAAAATTCTTCCCGCCCTGCCAGTAAATAATATAGATCTTCAAAAATTGTTCTCTGTTTCAGGTGCAAAATTTGCAAATCACCGCGACCATCTGGAATTTGACAGGTGCCGCAATCATACCCTGAGGCTTTGTGCGCACAAATAACATCTCTTGGCGCTTTCAAATGAGCGGCTCCATTGTTAGATTTCGAAATAAATTGTGTTGGGACGAAACTCTTTTGTCAACCCTGAAATTTGTCCACTCCCATACGCAGAGCAGTTGGAGCGGCTTTAATTAAAATTAATTGACCCAATCAAACCGCAATTCGAGCAATTTTCTGGCCAGCTGCTCAATTGCTGCGTAATTGTGGAGATTGCTCACAACTTGTTTGGCCAAACCCGTCACCGCTGCTTTTGATCTCATTCTGCCTCGATTTGCATTTCATTTTCATAACACGCTGAGAGCGTCCCAACCAAGGAAACAAATTTTACTGTTGGTTCAAGTTGTGGTTATTTGTGAATTATGTCAATGAAAATTATAGAACAAAATCTTGATCAAACAGAGGGCCCAGTGGGGGGAAGTAAAAAAAAATGTTAAAAAGAGGGCTTTTTTCCTTAGAGAGATTTTTATTTTATTGTTGGTTCACTTTGAGAAAAATATTAAAAATAACAAGGAAGAAATTTTATTTTTATTTTTAACAAAAAGAAACGGAAAGAAAAGTTAAAAAAAATATTTTAAATCATCAAAGATTCCAAAAATAATAATTTTGTGTAATATATTATTGTATAAAAATTATTTTTGCACCACGATTTATTGGATTTATTACTTTTTTTCGTTGTGTTTTTCAATTTAATTTCAATGAAGCTCTAATTTAAAAAATTATATTAGCTAGATACAACTTTAAGTTAGAACTGATGAGTTGGGCGCTAAATAAAACAAGTGAGACGCACAAGTCTGGCGATGACTGAAAGGACGCCGCAGATGACATCTTCAGACGACGAAGCTGCTTTTGAGCGCATTATAAATAAATGTAAAAAGCGTTAAAAAATGCGTGTTTCCTCCCGCGCGCGAGGGAGTCTCGAGATATTTTCGGCCGACGCATGAAATCCGACTATACATCTCTTCCGAGACAATATCGCCCGCGAGCAAATTAGCTGTCGGTGTTGATCATACGCAGCCATCAAACGTGTCAAGACAAAGGGCGCCTCTGGGCTGATCGAAAGCAAAAGTAAACTAACGCTCGATTTTATCGGTCAAGGCCGGCATGTGCTGGGCATATTTCACGGTGATTTGATGCCTTATAAGGAAGGCGCAAGGAAAACCTCGCTCGCAGGCTGAGATCATCGCACCAGCTGTTTCGATCGCATAATGACGTCGCCCTCACTCTGTCCCAAACTTGGTTTCTCTCGCATTAGTGCGGATTATAGTAAAATTGTTTTCTACATCTGCCGCAATAGATTTGAATGGAAACAAGCGAAATATATATCGGAGAGATTTCTGCATTATATGCCAAAAATTAATACATAAAATTATGGGATAAAATGTTGAAAAATATTTAATTAAAATTGCCTAAAATTTTCCCTAAATAAATTCATCAAAATAATGAATCCTAATTAAATTCAATATTATGCAATCTGCTCACAAAATTTTAATAATTTTTAAATATAAGGAACGTGGTTTTAAAAGATAAAAATAATGAATTTATTGACCGCCATAAAAAAATCAGCAATTAAAAGAAAAATCGGTTTTTATAAGTTATTTATCATAGATATGATAGAAATTGAAAGTGCACAAGAGTTATTAAAACATTATGATATAAATAATGAGGTGCATTTAAAGTTTTTGTACATCTAGCATGAAGTGTTGTACGCTGATGGCATTTGCTTATAGAATTAATATAAAAAATCGTATAATGTTATATAATTTGCTCAAATTTTAAAAATGAATTTTTCGTTGCTTTCGATTATTTTGGCCCATTTTAATATCAGCTGTATAATATTAATCAAATTTAAATCTCTGTCATGATTAAAAAACATAGCTGACTTCTAATTATTTATTTCAATTGAGATCAAGAGTCAAATAATAAAACCGCCTGTTGCACAACGCCTTAGGTGGAACCCACAGCACACACAAACATGTACCAATAAAAGTGCAATAAACCACCAAACTTATCGGCGGCAAACAAACCCCAACTGGCCCTGATTGGTCATCGGTGCCAATTGATCAAAGAAAAAACTAAACGAAAATGAAAGTGAGGCGTGTCCATGACGGCATTCCCGTCGGGAATAAAAATAAAAACGCACACGACGGTGCAGGCATCAAATGGCCGCGGGAATGCGAAGAAGAACAAGGGCTCGAGTTGTGGCCGCTCGTGGGAGTGATGTCATTATTCGAGCTCATTATACGGCCCCATTACCCTGAAATGGGACGCCTCTGTGGTCACTTGCGGGCCAGCAAAAACTTGTTATTCCTGCAGCGATATGCCAGACGCAAATTAACCGCAAGAGGAGAAAACGAGGGAAGAAACATTCTTGTCTAATGCACTCAATCGGGCGTTTTATTGGTTTGGCCGGTTTCGGATGGGAATAACAGAGCAGGCCTCGGAGTTATTTCCAGCGGCCGCTGCGCCAACACCGACAAATAGTGCATTTTAATGGTCATTGAGCTGACCGGTTAAAAATAGACGTGAGATAATTATTTGCCATCTCATAAAACCACAAGAGGCGCTATCAATTCATTCATTTGACCGGAAAAATGTGGTGAAATATTTTGCCCGGCTATAGTGATGAGGTTGACATTTTCACTTGGTTAAATATTCAAAGTTAAATGAAAATTAATTTACTTATTTAATGTCGAACTACCTTCTGATTTTATTTTTCAAACTTGATTGGGTTGATATGAACGTAATTTGGTGATTTTTTTTTTATCAATTTTGGTTGGGCCAATTTTTGGGAAAAAACATTTAGGAAAATTCCCCTAAGAACCAATTTTAAATAAAAAAAATCAACTCCCCCACGAATTCAATTTGTCTTATTATTTCTCCTTTGAATTGACATCTAAAACCGAATGCTAATGCAAAGAAAAATTTCCATTCAAAAAAATTCAAGAGCTATTTTATTGAGCAAAAAGCTTTCCTTAAATAAAAAAAAACGCGATCACAATTGTAAGATCTCCGTTCCTTTGGACAAAAAAACCGAAAAAACAACACTTTTTGAAACATTGCAACTGCTTCCTGACAAGTGATGAAAATATGAAATGTTTGTTATTTGGCGCCGACGGATTCTCCGTTTGATTCATGAACTAAAAATACTTTCGGCAGCCCCGCGGAGGCTCCAAAGGAAGCAATAAATACACACAACAGCGGCGCTATTCTAAATTTGAAAACACCCCTTTATGAACAAGTATTATGTTTGGTCTGTGCCTTGAAAGCACACTCGAGTGGTCGCTACAGAAGCCTCTTGAGCGCCGTTTAAAGTTTTGACAATCGCCGGCCTGAGCTGGTTTGCGCCGAGAATTTATTTTTAAATGCAGCGTGAAGAACTTAAATCTGATGTTTTGACAATTTGCCACCAAGTACATGCGTAGTGCCACACGGAGTACTAATTGAAAGTAATTGCAGCGTTTGTCACTCCCGGCTGACATTCAAGTCGAGTTTGTAACTTCTGTCAACACCGATCTCTACTAAACACTTTTTGTACGCCTAAAATCAAGTTGATTTAAAATATTCCAAACATTTAAAGGAATAAAAAAATTCCTTTTTGTTCTCCTTTCATTATCTATACAAAATATAATAGCAAAAAAAATTGGTTGCCACAACCAATATGTTTTTTAATTTAAATATTATTAAAAAAAAATTATACAGCTATAAAAAAAAACTCACATCCTGGCGGTTCAAGTCCCTTTTTGGCGCAGCGGAAGGGGTGCAGGGTGCCCGGCTCAATCTTGCCGTACATGGTTCGGTCCATGGCGAAAAATCACCACCATCCAGCAGGCGGCACAATCCCTCGAGTTGCGATGATCGACTGGCCTAGCGAGGGTTCTTCGGCGTTGTTGTGCCGAGAGCGGTGGGGCGTTTACGCCAGACGCGTGCATTAATTCACCGAGCGCGCGCGGCCCTTCCTTCCAGTGCGAGGAGTGTTCGACGGTGGTGAAGGGTTACACGGACCGACCAACAGCAGCTGAGCGAGAGATAATTCGGGACGGCCTTGTTCGCCAGCTTTCCTCGCACAAAAACACCCAGAGATGATGGCTTCTGCTCCGAGACACATGGCCAGCACGAGATTTTCAAATTTGCTTTTTGATTTTGGTCAGGAAAAGTCATACACGTCCATTTGAATGCTCCAGGTGGACTCTGACAGAGTCAAGTAAATACTTTTTTCGTCTTTTTTATAGTTATAACCAAAAGATAAAAATAAATTCATAAATTAACAATATTTGTTTAAACAATAATCAAAAAGAATAAAATTAAAATATCAAATCATTTAATCGTTTATTACTTGATGCACTAAATATAATCACATAATTTGTGCCACTTTGGATGATATAATTATTTTACAACTTCTTTTATAATACTTTCCATTTTTATTCTTGTATGTTAACATGTTTATTAATTATTTAAATTGTTACGAAATTATTCCATAAAAAAAATATCTCATTTTTAACGAGCCATTTGCCATTTCTGAACAACACACGTCACTCAGTTTGCCTGAATAAGGTGCTGGATCATTTGTGATTTGTCACCTTTGAAGGTGAGACATGACCAGACAATTCAGACTCTATTGGAACTGAATTTCAAAGCAGTGCTTAGTTAGCTACTTTTCATTAGAAAGGGATTTTTTTTCGACGCATAATGAAGCAGTTTGCCATGCGGGTCATCACCCTGATGATAGTCACACACTTAATTAGCTACCTGTGTGGAAGGTCGCGACCCTCCAAGTGAAAGTTAAATGACAATCAATCACGTACTTCGAGTCTATTGGTTGGCGAGTTAATTATTTTGGTTGCATCGACACTCCTTACACATGATAATTCATTTTTTTTTTAATTTCTTTTAACATTTAAGTCGATCTGAATATTATCATTTTAATTTAAACTCTATTATAACATTTCAGCCAATTAAATTTAAATAATAATCATGTAGCACAAGGAAAAATATTCTGCAGCCTCTTCAATAATTTCAGAGTGGAAATTCCCGTTCGTAATTGAATGAGAGGCTCAAGATAATCGTGAATCATCTGAACAAAATGTTATGTAAATTTGCAAACACAGCTAAAATTGCATTGATTTCGATTTTATAATATTTTACCACAGCAAAAATAAGTTAAGCAATGATAATTTCTGTTGTAAGTCGGTCTTTTGAGCAAAATTGGCGTTCTTAAATAGTACCGTAGCCTATGGAAAGCCCAACAAAACGCCGCACCAGATCGCTTATCTCGCGAAAGAATGTAAACAAATCAGACAGTGTCAAATCGCTTCACTCACCGAGCTCGTCCATTGCTCCCGGCTGCCTTTGAGCTGCCGTTCGAAGGTGTAGCTGCCTGGGCCAAGAGTCTATTGACCCTGTCGCGCTGACTCCAATCCAATTTCCGTCCGACGTCAACCCTGAACGGACAGATATTTGCAAAAGGTGTTGGTGCAGCACAAAATTTCCTAGTATGGCTGCGTTTTTCACACCTGTGACGTCATTAGCGGCGGGAAAAGGGAAATAGTTTAAAACTTTTGCACTTTAACAATCCGCAAATTCTTTTAGCACCACTTTATCTGGAGAGACTTCAAACTCCTTTATTTTTTTAATTTTAAATTTTTTTAACAAGTTAAAAAAAGATGGGAAAATATTAAGAAAGTTATTTTTATTTTATTTTGTAGTTATTGCTAATTGTTTATAATATAATACAGTAAAAATAATGATGCACACAAGATTACTATTTCCACAATTTTTACCAATTATTAAAAGCACCAAATTTATAACCAGGCAGTTCCTTCTTTTTCTTGGGCGCAGGCTCCGAAGTAGTTGCGTCATCCCCTTTCAACATTCTGTTTTTTTTTTCATATGTAATTAATTAAAAGTTTTAAAAATCGTAACTTACTGAGAGGTGCTTGGCAAGCTCAAGTATTTTCCAACGCCACTCCTATAAACAGTTAAAGGTGCGTTGGCTTTTGCAATGGCTGCCTTGTTCTTTTCAGCTGCTTTTTCATCAGCCTTCCTCTTTTCCTCCGCCTCACGCTCAGCAGCAAGCTAAAATAATTTAAAATCAACATCACCTTAATATAATTTTTGTTTCCAAAAACATACTTGCTCTTCGGCTTCTTGGAAGGGATCAACAAAAACTTGTGCGGATATAATAACAATGTCTTCGATCGGCCTGTCTTTGTTGTCAACCTCAATCATTTCCATTTTGTTCATCGTGTCCAAACCACCAACAACTTTTCCAAACACTGTATGCTTGTTGTCGAGCTGACGACATGAGCGGTATGTGATGAAGCTGAAAGAAATTTGATAATTTCAGTGAAGTATTATAAAGCATTGAACTGATGCCATCATACAACTGGGATTTATTTGTATTTGGTCCGCTGTTTGCCATGGACAGGACTCCCCTGCCAGTATGAGTCAGATTAGGTTTGAATTCATCTTCGAATGGTTTTCCCCAGATTGATTTTCCACCAAAACCTGTCCCAGTTGGATCTCCACCTTGGATCTATTTGCAAAAGTAACATTACCAGATATATAAGAAATCTATTTATGCTCCAACCATAAAATTCCTAATCGATCTATGAAACTTTGTGCCATTGTAATAGCCACTGGCGCTGAGCTTCATAAAATTTTCACAGGTTTTGGGCAGTACGTCACAGTACAGCTCTAAATTTAGAGGTCCCTTGTTGGTCATGAGCCGTACATAGCCCTTCTTCTTCACTCGTTCATATCGCACAAGGTCTTCGTCGATAATAGCATCTTCGTGCTCCAAGACTGGGGCCATTACTGTGGATGTAAACCCAGCAGCAACCATTCCAGTGGAATAGTGAGCCTGAAGATAAATTATTTTAAAAATCAAGTCTCTATAAAAATCTGAAAAACCCACAGCATTAAATTTGTCTGCCTTTTTGCTAGCTTTTGGTACTTCCGAGGTTGAAGGCTTATAGTCTCGCTCCAGTTGGGCCAAGGTCTCTCTAGTTTCAACATTGACAGACTTAAGCCTGGCATTAGGGTCTTCCTCGGGTTCTACAGTAATAAATTAAAATTATATATTTAGAAACAGAATTAAATATTTATATTACCGTCATCCACCAGTTTCAAATCATGCTTCAGATGGTAGAAGGTTGAGAGGTTAAATTTGTCAACGTTCGACGGGTCCTGAAGGGTAATGAGATCTTTACGCTGGTATGGTTCATCCGTCAGCAAATCCTTGAAGCTTTTTGTCTTAATGTTTAGTTGTTCAATAGCCTGGGGTATGAATTACATTTTTTAGGAGTTAAATTAATTGAAAATTGACAAACCTCAAAAGAAAAGACGTTTCCTGTGTTCTTAACAACAACAACGTGGGAATTGTTTGTGAACGTTTTGTACAGAACAGGACAATGATACTTTCCCTCTGCATTTTTGTGGAAGTTCAGCTTGATAAGGGATTTGGCGTCGATGGGCTAAAAGATAAATAATTTTTAAGTATACTCCGGAAAGTTAAAAACTTAATCTGCAACTTCACCTCCCCAGTGCAAGGATTCTTGCGGAATTTCTTGATGAAGTCAATGATTGCCTGGAGCTCGTAAATATTTCCTTTCAAATCACAATAGGGGTGTTCAAAAGGTTGCAAAGTGATGCAGCAGTGATCAAATGGCAAACGTCGAAAATTAGCCTTCTCGCTTGTTGGACGCCCAGGACGCTTCCCTCCATACAGAGTTGACCACTCTGTGTACGTTAAGTACCTTTAAAAATACGAGTGGAATTTATTAACAATGGCTAAAACAGAAGTGATATTAGAAACAATCAGAAAATAAATTTCTAGGTGATGTGCCGTCAATAATCAAAATTACAATTTGAAAAAAAAAATTTGTCTTTACATTTTATCCTTTTGATGCTGTCTCTTCCCCATTTTGACAAAATTTTATCACTTATAATTTTTTTTTTAAAAGTGCTTTAAACAACACGTATCAATATCCGTAAATTTCAGAGAGAAATGCCAGCAATCTGTGAGAGAATACCATCATTTGCAGTACAACATTATGTTTTGATTATGTTATCGCTAACAAAAAACAACAGATGGGGGCGTGTCTGGAAGACCGCAACGCCCTCAATCATAATCCATGGAAATACATTTTGATACTAAACGGCGCAAATCTTGGATCAGCGCGTTCAATGTAATTGCTGCTCCAAGCAGTGCATGTTGTACGCAAACGCGATTAAAGAATTATTAAAATTACATTAGTAAAAATATAATGTATTTTGTTATCCGCAAAAGCATTCGAAAAATAATTATTATTTTTTCAGCTAGATTAATGTATAAATTTAAATTAATTTACTTTTTGATAATGATAATCTCATTTTAATTATCCAATATCAAATACATATATGGATGGCAAGTCATATAAGGAGATCTTCAACATGACGAGTATAATTTATGATATAATTTCTATCAGATTCGTGGATTTACTCAACTATTTGATTTACTTCTCAAATTAAAATGGGAGTTAATTATTATAATTTATATTATTTAGAATAACTCTATTGATTTATTTGTGGAACAGTGTAAAAGAAAAAACAGATTTTTAAAATTTAATAATGCATAGATTTTATTCATTGTATAACAACAAACAAATAAAAAATTGATATAAACTGTTTCCCTCTCACCAACCATAAAACACCTGCAAAATTATAGAGATTTTGCAAGGTTTTTTTTACCTTATTTCCCATTCCCCAAAAAGATTTTCATGACAATTCATCACAAAATTCAGGCCATAGAGAGCATCATCCTGTGGCTACGCTGTCCAATGTTACTGTAATCAACGCTGACGTTTGCAGCTTCGAGGGCAGGATCCTTAGCAGGACAACGCTGCGCCACCTTCAGTTCCAACTCGCAGCGACGGGAGACTGCCCAGAAGATGAAGCCCTCTGGGCAGCGCTTAAGAGTTCCTGGAAAATGAGAGACACATAATTATAGATAAATATTGTTCATATTTACTCGTATTATAGCTATAAAAAATAATGAATATAATATATAAGATAATTAATTTTTAATTTTAATAAACTTCCTCACCTCTGAGAATTCCGAATTCGTCGAAAGTGCACTTGACAAAGTGTTGGCAGTCTGACGGGAAGGAGAATGTACCTTCCGCCATGCAAAGGGCCTTGCCACCATCTACCTCCTAAAACAGAAATAGTAAAACAATAAATTCATTAATATAATAATATGTTTAAAAATAATACAAAACTAACCGGATGTGTCTTTGTATACTGCTGTCTAGTGATGTAATCATGATGAGGCGATGATCGATTTGCTGGTTTGGAAAAAGCACAGTGTTGATCATAGGGGCCTGCTATAGAAAAAGTAAAATTATAAAATTGTCGCCAAAAAGCAAGACCATACTTCTTATACGACAGCGTTGGCCGGCATCATCAAAGACAAAGCCCTGCTGAGCGCAGCTAAGAACAAGAAGTTCAATTTGCTCAATCGAGTTCTCTGCGCATTGGTAGAAGCGATCACAGAACTCAGGGTGCCTCCTAAATCCAGATGGGCAAACAAACAGGTGCTGTCCCGAAGAAATTTGGGTGCAAACAACATCGGTACCTGGACCTGGAGGCGCCTGAGTATTGGCTGGCACAGTCGGGGTTGCTGGAGTCGGAGTCGCCGGTGTATCTGGTTTTCCAGTTGGGGGCACCTTTGTTGGGATTCCATCAGTCTCTGGTACCTTTGTTGGAGGCGCTGTAGGAGACGGGGTCGCTTCAGTCGGAGGCCTCGGGGGTCCCGAGGGAGTCATTCCAGTTGGATCAGGCGCTGCAGGAGACGGGGTTGCTGTTCCGGTCGGCACTGAGGGAGACGGGGTCGCTGTTCCAGTCGGCATTGAGGGGGTCGCTGTTCCGGTCGGCACTGAGGGGGTCGCTGTTCCGGTCGGCACTGAGGGGGTCGCTGTTCCGGTCGGCACTGAGGGAGGTGCATTTGGAGTAGGAGTCCCATCAGTCTCTGGCACCTTAGTTGGAGGCGCTGGAGGAATCTGGGTTACCAACGAGGCTGACGAGTTTGAGCAGGACAGTCCAGTTGTGATAAGATCAGGTTGGACGCAACCTAAGGCCTGGGGGTAAAAAATAGTCCCTGCAGGACAACGGAAGAAGTAGACAATGAACGCTAAAGTATAAGTGACTGGTGTCGAAGCTTGCCAGGATTGGCACCTGTAAAAAGCCGCGCAGTCTGATGAGTCAGGGTAGAGACCCTGACTGGTGCAGTTCACAGCTTGCGGATTTGGTGGTGCCAGCGAGCAGTTTGATGGAAGTGGTAATACTTCCATGGGAGTAGGAGTGGTTCTTATTATTAGACTAGGCCTTGTACAGCGGGCGGAAATATCTTGTTGGCAACTTTGAAGCTCTGAATCAAAGTAGGTGCCATCAGCGCAGTCAAACTCGTATCTGCAACAGTTAAAAATAACCATAATTATTTGTGAGACTTGAAATAATCAATTTTTAAGAATATATATTTAAATTCATGAAGCTAAATTAATAAGCATGCTTACATGGTAAAACTGCCATTGTTGAACCCAGTATCGATGCATCTGTAGAACTTTGAGCAGCTTGCATGTGATGGATATAGACCCTCTCCATTAGGACATTTCCGAGACAATGTAAAACGAGACTTGCGAGGAAGGCAAGAGTCGTTCAACTTATATGATGGGACGCAGGTTTGGCTATTAAAATCAAAAGAATGGCCATCTCGGCAAGTGACTTGTAGAGCCAGGGGCTTTTTTCTGAAAGTTAAACAGAGAAGCACAGAAGAACATCCTTTGACGGCAGTCACAGACTGGAAGTTGTTACATTTGTGATCGGGATACCGGACGTAATGGGAGTTGCTTGCTGTGGAATTAAAATGAAAATCAATACGTGGAAAATTTTAAAATGAAATAATAATTAACTCACTAAAGTTAAAAGCCTTTAAGTATTCTTGAATTTCCTCCGTGATGATTGGCAAGTTTTCCTGAGCGTCGACTATGGCCCCAATTGATGTCAAAAAGACAAGCAACCAAGTAAAAGCCCAAGGGCGCATTTTGCAGATCTAAATTAAAAAAAATTATATTTTAATCGTTAAAAATAATCAAGACATTAGTTATGAAAGGTAGGTTGAATTTATAGGCAATTTAGCAGCCATCTGCTATGGTCGTAAACCTTTTCTTCTCTTTCTCTAATTTTAAATTTTTGTATAGACTGAGAAGAATGAATAGTAATAAAATAATTTTGATTAAATTTTTCAACACTAAAATTAAAATGTATAACAAGAGAATCAAAATTAAAATTGTTCACATCAAGAGAATATCAGCTTAATAAAATAAAATAATAGTGAAAACAAAAATAATGCTCTGCTTACTTCTTTGCACTTGTCGTGCTGCTTGCTGCGGAGATGAAGAATGTATGACGACGCGCACTTGAAGTCATGGCGTTATATATTGCGAGCAAAATAGGCATGGCCCTACAGGTTTCAAAGGTGCTTGACCACCCTAATCTGTCAAGTTGAAAGCTTTCGGGGTGAAGACCCTTTATACACGCGAGTACGCTCAACTACTTAAAATTACTTGCAATATCATGATAAGGTAAAAAATTTGCAATAGTGTCAAAAATTAAAAACAAGAGGACCAACGTATGGAGCCTGTCAGCCGAATATGTCACTATAATGGTAGGGCTTTTAACGCTTATCGCTTAGGTCCATTCTGAATGAATACCTAAGTGCTGTGAATGCTGTCACCGTCAACCGGCCTTTTCGGCAACTCTAATGATTGATGAGTAAATTTTTGAAGATTAATTTTTGCTATTATTTTAATCTGCATTACCGCATGTACACACTCCTCAATAATTTTGGGAGAAGAATATTATAAAATAAAAAGCGGATTTTTATGTTTCGCAATAGGAGGGAAGTTCATGGTCAAGTTCAACTAAAATTTATCATTTCTGTTTGTTGTGCCCTAGCCGTGTGCTCATTATTATTATCAAATTAAATTTTAATTTTAAATAAAAATTGTTTGGTAAGAAAAATATTTAAATGAATTAAGTAAGCAAAAAAGTTCTTATTATAAATTCTACAATATTTAATGAAAATTTTATAATAAAGCAAAATTCTCATTTTTTTTTTTTTTTAAGGGGGAAAATATTATTGGCCTCTTTACATAAAAATTAACTAGTATCACCAATGTGCGCACTGATCATAATAATTCATCAAGTGCGTGCCAGCGGCTCATTTCTTATGCTACAAGAACGATTTGTACATTGATTATGGGCTACGGCCAACGGCCACAAAAAACCGTGCGAAAATAATGACAATTTTTGTGATCACAATAATGTCAAAATTTGGACTTTTCAACTAAAAAAATCTCTGCCAGCAGAATCTTTTTCCTTACTATCTGCTTACTATAAGAACATTGAATTTAATTAAAACTCCCAGAAAGCAAAACACTGAAGAGCGATTTCTCTAGCAAAAGCTTTCAAAATTTTGCAAAAAATATATTGAATTATGTGATGCGGTTTTACATTAATTGCGAGGTTTTAATTAAAGTTACGACTTTCTGGAAGTGGAAATCTGGGAATAGGGGAAAAATCTGCTGGCATCAGAGAAATGATTTTTAATTAATTTTTAAAAAATAATTTGGCATTAAAAGTCTGATCACGAAAATTGAACGTTTTCTTTGTGTCTCTTGCGCAGTTTCACTAATAAAAAATTACATATAAATCGTTCTTAAAATATGAACCCTAAACTAGAATTATAACAAGCAGTGCTACTTTAAATAATTTTTAGCACAAAAACAAACATGAGATACCTACCCCACAAATTCCAACACAATAAAAAAAAAAATCATGCACACACCTGGCACACACTAAACATAATTTAGTTTTATTATAATTCAATCAAACAGCCTCATCTTAATAAAATAGAAAATTGCTATCTTATAAAATTTAGCAAGAATATCAGCAAACGTAAACGATAAAGCTCTTAAAACTTTTGTTAAAAAGTCTGATTGTGAAATATATTGCATATTTCATAGCACTAAATAAATAATATATCAGTCTTGCTTGTTTACGCAATTAAAATGAGGTAGAAATGAAATGCACATTCCGAAAAGTGCTCAGAGCTACTGTACCATACACATTTGGAGAAAAAAATAATCGCAATTCTATTTTTGCGGTGTAATTATTGAATAAAATATTGCACAAAAATGCTGTTACAAAATAATTGATATTTTTATTGAATTCTTTAAATGATACAATTAGGGAAAGTTATGCTCACAAGTTAATTAGTAATGAAGATTTTTAAGTAATGCCAATTACAAATTTTGAGAAACATATTATCCAAGTATACCTGAAGTATTCTAAAAAATATTTCCGTATCATGCTGCACTAATTAACTAAAAAAAAATCTAGCTCTACTAATTTTAGCAATCCCTTTTAGAAATCAATATCAATATGAATTATTTATTACATCCCACACCAGTCACCATATATGTTTTTATGTGAAATTAAAAAAAAAATGTAAATGCACCTGTTAAACTACTTTTGTAAAGCATAGCTTAGCGAGTACTTAAAGTTTAGACTGTTTAGACAAAAGAGAGCATCATTTTGTAGCTGCGCTGTCCAATGTTACTGTAATCAACGCTGATGGCTGCAGCTTCGAGGGCAGGATCCTTATCATGACAACGCTGCTCCACCTTCAATTCCAGTTCACAGCGACGAGAGACTGTCCAAAAGATGAAGCCATCTGGGCAGCGCTTCAACGTTCCTGAAAAAAAAATACATGTTTATTATTATTGATTTAACTTGAAAAAGCATAATTTCAAAAGAAACTTAAGATATAATGTAAAATATTTTTTGGCAAAAGTTGTTACCTCTAAGAACCCCAAAGTCGTCATAGGTGCATTTAACAAAGTGTAGGCAATCTGAAGGAAAAGCAAATGTGCCTTCAGCCGTGCAAAGTTTCTTGCCGCCTTCCACCTCCTATGACAGAATTTATTTTAATAAAACAATTTTATGGTTAGATGTACGCAAAAGTAGCAAAACTTACAGGATGTTGCTTTTCGGGTAGCTGCCTGTTGACATAAAATGATTGATTTGCTGGGTTAGAATAGGTGCAATTATTATCCAAGGGACCTAGTGAAATAATTTTTTTTAGTTAATTTAAGAAATGAATGCAAGCGTAAGTAATACCTCTTGATCGACAGGCTTGGTGGGCACCATCAAAGACAAAGCCCTGAACACAGCGAAGAACAAGGACTTGAAGTTGTCCATTAGAGTTCTCGGTGCATTGGTAGAAGCGATCACAGTACTTAGGGTGCCTCCTAAATCCAGATGGGCAGGCAAACAGGTGCTGTCCCGAAGAAAGTGCAGCGCAGACATTCACAGAGGCTGGAGTCACAGGTGCAGTGGTCGAGGGGAGAGCCACAGTCGGAGGCACTTTGGTTGTGAAGGAGGATGCTGTAGTTGCAGAAGCCGTGGTTGAGGATGTTGTCAAGCCTGAGGATGGAGTGGTGGTTACGGATGGACTCATTGTTGAGGATGGAGCTTTCGTAGAGGATGGAGTGGTGGTTACGGATGGAATGGTGGTTATGGATGGACTCATTGTTGAGGACGGAGCCTTGGTAGAGGATGAGCTTGAGGATGGAGTAGTGGTTACGGATGGACTCACTGTTGTAATCGGAGCCTTCGTAGAGGATAGAGTGGTGGTTACGGATGGACTCATTGTTGTAATCGGAGCCTTCGTAGATGATGGAGTGGTGGTTACGGATGGAATGGTGGTTATGGATGGACTCATTGTTGAGGACGGAGCCTTGGTAGAGGATGAGCTTGAGGATGGAGTAGTGGTTGCGGATGGACTCATTGTTGAGGCCGGAGCCTTCGTAGAGGATGGAGTGGTGGTTACGGATGGACTCATTGTTGTAATCGGAGCCTTCGTAGATGATGGAGTGGTGGTTACGGATGGAATGGTGGTTATGGATGGACTCATTGTTGAGGACGGAGCCTTGGTAGAGGATGAGCTTGAGGATGGAGTAGTGGTTGCGGATGGACTCATTGTTGAGGCCGGAGCCTTCGTAGAGGATGGAGTGGTGGTTACGGATGGACTCATTGTTGTAATCGGAGCCTTGGTAGAGGATGAGCTTGAGGATGGAGTAGTGGTTGCGGATGGACTCATTGTTGAGGCCGGAGCCTTTGTAGAGGATGGAGTGGTGGTTACGGATGGGCTCACTGTTGTAATCGGAGCCTTCGTAGAGGATAGAGTGGTGGTTACGGATGGAATGGTGGTTATGGATGGAATCATTGTTGAGGACGGAGCCTTGGTAGAGGATGAGCTTGAGGATGGAGTAGTGGTTGCGGATGGACTCATTGTTGAGGCCGGAGCCTTCGTAGAGGATGGAGTGGTGGTTACGGATGGACTCATTGTTGTAATCGGAGCCTTGGTAGAGGATGTTGTCAAACCTGAGGATGGAGTGGTGGTTATGGATGGACTCATTGTTGAAGTTGTCATAATAGAGGGCTTCATAGTTGTCGTAGTTAGGTTTACCCCACTCAAACAGGGTGGTGCTGGTTTGATAAGCTCAGGCAGTACGCAAACTTTGGCCACGGGATGAAAAATATTCCCCACAGGACAGCGGAAAAAGTATACAATAAACGCCAAGGAAGTGGCTGTTGTTGAAGCTTGCCAGGACTGGCATCTGTAAAACGCAGAGCAATCTGATGGGTCAGAGAACAGACCCTGACTGGTGCAGTTCACAGCTTGCGGATTTGGTGGTGCCAGTGAGCAGTTAGAAGGCAGTGGAACTAAAAGTGGAGAAGGAGTTGTCGTTGTTAAAGGGCTAGCATTTATGGTTTTATTGCAGAGGGTAGCAACATCTGGCAGACAGGTTTTCTTCTTTTGGTCAAAGTACATTCCACTTGCACACTCGAATTGGTACCTGTCAGTTAAAAGAAAATATATGTAAGTGTAGGAAAAAAATTGTTTGATTTATGGAAAGAGTAATAAATAAATATTAATATATAATAGAAAACTCACGTTGTATAGATGCCATTAAATTCAGAATCTACACATTTGTAGAATTCTGAACAGCTTGTTTTTGATGGATATAGACCCTCTCCGCTAGGACATTGTTGAGAAACAGGTTGCCTAGGGAAGCAACTACTATCCAAATCATAAAGCCCGCAAGATTTGCGAACAAAATCAAAAGATTGGCCAGGCAGGCAATCAACGTGTAGAGCAAGACTGTTTCCCTTGAATGTTAAACAGACAAGCACCGAGGAACATCCCTTGACAGCAGTCACAGTTTGAGAAATGTTGCATTTTGAACTGAGATCCAAGAAATATGTGGAGTTTTTTGCTAAAAAATTTAAATATGAAAGGATCAATACAATATAGTTTTAGTCTAATAAAATACAACTTACACAATGGCAAACTCAGTAGGTAAATACGAGTATCGATTGGCATTGCGGGGAGCAATGGAGGAAGGGGCGGCAGAACTGGTGTATGGAATGGCAATTTATGTATACCAGGAATGTTCGGAGGTCTAAAGCCAGCAACCATGTGAGGGATGTTGTTTGGGAAAAAGCTTATGGGCTCTTGAAGTAGAGCGTTCTGGGTGCCACCTTTTACATCTGCCGTCAAAAGGAGCAACAACGCAAAAATCAGCAGGCACATCATTTAGGCCTAAAAAATTAGATATAATAGATAATTAAAATTAGTTTCCTTTAAAAATCATAGATATATATAAATTAAAAACTAATACTTCTTAAATGTAAATAATAAAGAAATAAAAATATTATGTGACTGGTGGGTTGAATTTTAAGTTGGCTTTGGGTTTGTTTAGCCGTTTATTGTTTCAGAAAAACGATATCCAACTGTTTCAACTGTTGTAAATTAATTGAGAGAAGTCTATAAAACAACTATTCAAGATTCAAGAAACCCCATCAAGGAAAAGTCAACTTCAACTCATCATAAATCAACCATTGATTGCAAAACTCTACTACAAAGTATTGTGCCATTTCAAATAAGGCATTTGAGAAATAAATCTATTTTATGAAATAAATAAATTCTGCTCACCTTATTCTGTACACACTTGTTGCTTCCAAGGAGGGTGATAAATGTATGGCGCACACCCGAATTTGCCGCTTTATATATTGCGAGCAAGCACGGCATGGCCCTGCAATTGCGAAGGTTTATGAACAAACTATTATCAGTTAAAATGGAAGCTTTTAGGGACTTAAAATTTTATGTGTTAAAAATCGGCAATAATTGTAACAAAAATTGGAGCGAGATGAGTACCGAGCGTTCCATATGACAGTTCAATGTCATTTTTTTATGAATCTTTTAGGCGTTTATCATTTGCAGGTCCATTTTACTCTCACTTTCCAACTTATTATACATTTTGTGTTGAAAGGTTTGATTGATGACCCAATTTTTGGCAAAGATAAGGATATTCTTTGACACTCCTGGACCTCTAAATAATTACCCAAAAATAGTTGCAAAGCTGGGATATACACTTGAACTGATTATTAAGGATCGGATAATTATTACAAAAATTGAAAATAACGCAGAATAATTATTAAGCTTATACTATTATAGGAATTTCAAAGAAAATTAAAATTCAATATTGAAAATGCATCTAAATTAAAATTACTAATGACCGTTTAGCGGGAATTCCTCGTTGAGCAGAAAACTGACAACTAAAAATATTTTTACAAAAGTAAGAATAAAAATAAAAGGACTTATGATCAATGAAAATCTGATAAAAAAAATCCTGATCAAAGAGGAAGGCTGTTTTTAGACAAAAATTAATTTCTAGGTTTTCCTAACGGCACTAATCTTGAGTGAGCAAAATTCAGAATATTATCTACTATGGAAATTATATATATTTTTTTAAATGTTTTGCTGTGCAAAAAAATTTTTCCAGCTATTTATATATTTTTATATAAATCTATTCAAAAGTATCGGATTTCAGAGATGCATAGTAGCACAAGAAATTTCTGAGAATTTAATGAAGATATTCAATTATGGCAATACTTAACCGGTCTTAAAATTTTGATATTTTACACTAAGGTAATAAATGAGCAGTGCTTTCTTTTTGATAAAACTTAAATGAAGGGTAGGAAATCTTGATTCAGGCTTATCAGTTTTCCTGAAAGGTTTTGTGCCTTAAGATTTTGTTTACCAAAGAGATTTAATAACCTCACTGTTATAGATGCCTCCATTGGTTTATGAACTTTTCAAACTTCTATGTTTTCAAATTTCAAAAATTGAAAAGGAATGAACATTATTTATTTGTTTTTTTTTTTTTTTTTTTAGTAGAAATAGTCAAATAGTCCAATTTATGCATATTTATTTTTTCCACCAAAGAATCAAAAGATACCCACTTAAAAATTTTCACTTTCTACCGCCCTTCATTTTCTGCCTCCGGTTCTTTCCAGGCCTCTGTTGTTGATTCTTTCCCTTAGACTTGAAGCCACCAGGTCTGCCAGATGGCTTCCCAGTGTTGAAGACATCAGATGCACTATCTCTAGTGTTGGTCTTTTTTCCTCGTTTGCGGCCACCGAACCCATACTTTTTATCCTTGGCTTCTCTTCTGAACTGAGATCTGTAAAAAAGCAAAAAGATTTGTTAAAATATTTATTCACTATCATTTATAAATAATAAGCTCACCTTTTAATTTTAGATTTTCCCTGGCCTTTTTCATTGGGAGTGTTCTCATTTTTCTTTTTCGTAGGTTTGTCATCATCAAGGAAATCAAGATCTTTTCTTTGACCTTTTCTAAACTTTCGGACCTATGGCAAGTAAACAAGTAAAATAAATTTCTAATCTCAAACAAAATGCCAAATAACCATACCTCATCAAGCATTGCCTTCTTCTGCATTTGCTTTGCCACTCTAGCCTCAGCCTCGACCTTTTTACCAAATTTCTTTTGCTGCCTAAAATTGCGGACTTTTTCTCTACGCTCTTCTTCCGTCTTTTTCTTTGTCAAATTAGCTCTGACCTAAAATCATTGTTATTAAAACGTTTTTAATCATCAGAAAAATGCATACCTTTTGCATGTGCTCATCAGTTTTGGCCATTTCTGCAAAATAATCTTCCGGCCTCCTAGTCGGAATGTTCATAGACTTGAGACGAGGTATCGCTTCAAGAACTGTGGCCTGTGCCTGACGGTAGAAATAAAGCTCACGCTGAAAGTCACTGGTAGCCAATTCATTTTTGTCAGTAATGAGCTGCTGGTTTTCAAGTTTTTCAGCAAGCTCAGGAGCCAAAGGCGCTTGGCCTGAGACTATGTCAAGTCGCTCTATCCATTTCTCTTTTAGTTTGAATTCATCCAGCTTCCTCTTGAGCCCTTGCTATGAAACAATTTTAATTAATTTTTTGAATCACTTAAAAACGGCTAAAATAATTTTTTTGCATTTTATCAAACACACCACATTATTTGTGTTGACTTTCGGTGGTTTAGCCAACTTGGGGTCCTTCAAAACAGTTCCAGGCTTCAAAACTCCCTTTTCAAAAGCTTCTTGAAGCTGAAAATATACAAGAAGTATTACAAGACTTCGAATTGCAAAGGTAAATAATACAGTATAATACATGATAAAGGGAATTTTGTTTTAAAATGGACGGAATCTTCTGAAAACGTGCCAAGACTTACTTCAGAGTCGGAATCTAAGTTCAACATTTCCTCGTCGCTTTCCGTCTCAGAGTCTTCTTCTTCCTCTTCCCCTAGGCTCATCTCAGATTCGGACTCAGATTCAAGATCTTGATCATCTTCTAATACTTTGACGGTAACCATTTCGTTTGAGGTGTAGAAATTGAAATTCGCAAAAACTTCAACAAAAAGTTGTTTCAACACGTGGGTTTGTTTATTTCGCTAGTTTTTACTTCAAGCTTCTGACCACAGGTGGCAGCAGTGGCTCCGAACGGCCATGTTTACATTTTGGGTTTGGCGCGCAGTGAGACGACCGGACAACCTTTTGCTAATGCGAATTGAATTGTGAAGCGTTACCAAGGGTGGACAGACCCTGCAGACCAGTAAAGGCAACAAGGATAATTTTGAAAGATTGCTCACAAACATTTCTTTTGCATTTTAGCGTCGTCATTGTCTCTTTTAACATTGGCAGCAGCAGCACATCTTGAAGGTACAATAAGCGCCAAGCATTCCTCAGTATTTTTTTTTTGTACACTTATAATGTATTAAAATTTGTCAGAATTTAAATCAATCATCAAATTACATAAGAATTGCGTCGAACGTCGAATACGGGATGAATTTAAAATCGAAAATTTACGTATCCATAATTTTAAATTGTGTTGGTTAGTTTTGCATATTACATACATAAAAATGTTTCCTCTCATAAATAATAACAAAATTATTCAAATCATTGAATTTGATTAGTATTTATGTATATCTGGTAACTTCAATTTTTTATTGGGAAATATTGTAAATTATAATCTTTCCAAAATATGATTTTTTCACAAGTTTATTTATAAATTTTATTGAATTCATTTTTAGACTATAAATGATGGAGCGTCGGCAAAATGTTGGTTTCAAAAGTCATGTGGCTCTCTTCGACCCAAATATGCACAATCAAGATCCACGCCAGAGCCTTCCGCCAAGAAATTCTAATTACAGAGGTAATTATTTGGATTTTGTTTCGCACACGCTTGGATTAAAAGCAATTCTATTTTCCAGCGAACAATTTCATACAGTACATGGGTGATGACGACGGCACTGACATTTACAGACAGAACCCTCAAGTTCTATATCCCTCACTTCCACGTGACTCGAGCCATTCAAACGTTCGACAGCGATCATCAAGCTACCAAAAATTGCCCTCTGAACGTGCTTGTGTCCCTGTGATGGACGAGGAAAAGCGTCCAAGATTGAATCAAGTAATACAAGCAAATTATTTTAATTATAAAAAAGGTTTTCACCTTTTTTCTATAGAATTTCCAGTATGGATACGTTTATCCAAGGCAATCCTGTGTTGTATTTGAAAATCCTCTGGCAGACTCATCAGTGCTGTATCAAACTGAGACTCCAATGGGTATGAAAAATTAAACGAATATTCTTGGTGCTAAAAATAAATATAATATATTATTTAAAATAGAAATAGACGCTGCCTATGACAGGAGGCATTACTATACGCCAAGTACATCAAAGGTCACAGAGATGAACCACCGAGAGTTCACCCCAAGAAAAGGTCGAATGCACAGTGACACACCAACTGCTGCTGTAAATGCACCTTTGAAATCTTTTGAAAATAAACTCAAGTCTTTGGCTGGAGAATCAAGACAGCAACTTATTTTCAAAGAAGCAGAAGTTAATGAGGCTCCAGAAAAAAAGGTGATTTGATTAAGTAAACAAACCCTATTTTTCAGTGTGTTACTTTTTTTAAGGAAGTGCCAAAGATAACTCAGAATTCAGGCCCTTCAGAAACAGTAATTCTGACAGCAAATGTGAAATGCTGCGTCGAGTGGTTTAGCCAGATCAGCAAATTCAAAAAGTACTTAGTTCTTTTTGAAATTTATGGTAAATTAAAATTTGAATGTTATTGACAAATTTCTGACTATTTTAGTTTATTTTTATTTTAGCTATTCTGCAGCGTGTTAGGGAGCACGAAACCTACTTTGAGTTGCTCCTGAGAGACCGGTCAGGACCTCTGCTGCAAACACTTTTCTACAAGATGGACCAACAGCAACTCCCTGACCTGTCCTGTGGTCAAGTGGTACGAGTTGTTGGCCGTTCGATGGCTCGCACCAGGCTGCAGGCGTTCAGCGTGCGGGAGGCTCGGCAAGGTGAGTTGCAAAGACGTGACCTGTACCTGAGCAATCAGTCCATCAAAGCAATGAAAAGTTATGAGGATGAGTAGATACTAATCACTAGCACTATTCCACTTAGGTGCTCAACAATATTTAACTGTAGTGCTGTGAAAAGCTGATGTTGAAAATGTGAGTAAAATTGATGAAAGGGCTTTTATTTGTAATTCCTGTGTTTATGCACAAACACTTTTTATTTTGAAAAATAATAAATATGTAAAATTATGTTCCTATGAAAGGATAAGATTTTGAATGTTATTTTTACAAAAATACCACGGACGTGCAAAAATTGCACCAATTTTAAAAATCAATCAAAATTTAAATATAGAATATTGCATTTTCATAAGGTTGAATAAGGTGAAGCTCAAATTATTTTTTATTTGATCTTGAAAAATTTATAATACATTTACGACGGTATTTTAATTACAAGTTATAATTTATACTTATTATATTTTTAATTGCAAGTGTAATAAATAAGCAGTGTTTTTCGCACAGGCGCGTTGAATTTGCGCGTGCACCGTAGCTCTCGCGTTGGCTCCAGCAAGGTACCCACCGGTCAGTTGCTATTGATGGCCTCTTCGAGCAGCCAGCACTCGTGCCAGAGGCACAGCAAAAAGACGACGGGATGCAATGCATCAAGGGCCTGCAGGTGCATTAGGGTGTTTTTTGGTCACCTTTTTTCCAACCTTGGATTGTTTGCTATTGTTGTGGGCTACGTACTTTTGGGCGCACTCATGTTTGAGCATTTGGAGGCTGAGTACGAGTTGGAGCAGAGGGGTAACATCAAGAGATACAGGGACGACTGCTTAAAAGAACTTTGGCAAATAACAGGTATTAAATATGTTTTTTATTTTATAACTAACAATCATCTTTTATTATTTTACAATAGTCCAAATGAAATGAAAATATTTTTAAAATTTTGCATGCTAATATACTGACATCCCTTTATCCACTTGTGTTTGCTCGCCACGGTGTCGTTTTTCGTCCATACATCGTCAAGCAGGAATGCGAAGACCGTAAAGTCGAACCTTTATGCGCGCATAAAAGAGATTAGTGGTTTTTACACCCCTTGAATTACGTTGCAATCAATCTGCTTGATTTGTCCCCTGAGCGTGGCCAGCGAGGCCTGACGTTTACTCTGCACTCTGCTTTATGAGAAAACCCGCGCGCGCCCACCTTTTCTGCACGCGCACAAAAACTATCCCAGGCATTATATTATATTAAAACCCTGCAAGCTTCTAATTTTATTTGAGGAGGGTTGCAAATATTTAAATTTGCAAATATGAATATGCTTTTATAAATTTTTTTTCCTTATATTTTATTTAATTTATTTTCAACCCTTTCCTAACGAGTGCCAAGAGAAGGGAAGCAACTCTGCAACAGCCAGCCACTCTTAAATGTCAGAGTTTCATTTGCGAAGCGAGAATAAAATAAACGTCAACCTGGCTGCATGTTTACCAAGCGTACTGGAGGAATTCTCTCGAGCAAGTTAGGCCCATGTTAAAGTCGAGTTTTCATCTGACACGCTAGACGGCATTACTCCGGCGCTAATCAAGAGCTTGGCACGGTCGTCTTCTGGGCCGGCGTAATTTAAAATCCGTGCGCCTTATTAATTCCCAAAGAGGCCCTTGGCTCGGCGCTGATTGCAGTTATATAGCATCAATTCCGCCGCCCTTGCTGTCAAACCAGGCCCAACTTTGCGTACTTAATTAAGCATGTAAAGAATATAATGTAGTCGGTTGGTAGCGTTCTCGCTGCCTGTATATTTTACGTCTTTAGGGGTCTGTTTCAGTGCGGAAACTTCACCATGGGAAAGGGAGATTCATTAATATGGTGCCGCGCGCAAAATTTGTGTAGCTTTCTTTAGCAAAAGGCAGTTGAAATTTTAATTCAAAGAACTGAAAACTTTATAGATTTTGAAATATAATATTATATATAAAAATCTAAATAAAATTATCAATCTACTTATTCTTAAAAGAAATTTAAATTAAAAAAAAAAAAATGACTACCTAATTTAATACAAGTTGTAAACTAAAATTGCGTTTAAAATCCCTAAAACATCGGGGCTATGGACGTCACGGCAGACATTAAATTCACGTCGATGAGAGGTGTCAAAAATAAAACCGAAAAGTGTCAGAAATATAACTTTCAGATGTCCGAATGTTGGTTTGTATAACTGAGAGTATATGGTCTGGTGGTGTGCTTGAATTTGCTGACGCAACCGCCTTTGCCTTAAACTCACACGTGCTGCGAGAGTGTGAATGAATGTGTCTGCCTTAATAGCCGCGAGCAGCGTCGTTTAGCTGGTCACTTGGCCGCAGGAAATGCACCAGAGTGCATTTGCTGGACGCCGACCGCCAGAATGCAGAACGCAACAAACTCAACTTCCGATGCAATTGGCGCCGCGGAGGTGTATACGACCGATCAGACCCACTTTTTAGCCCCTCCGTTCATCAATATTTGTGTTAATTTTGGTAGCTCCAAAATAATAATAAAACGTAAGCAAATTTTACTGCTTGTATTTCAAAGAACTGGTTCTTTCACAGCCAATTTCTTTGCTAAAAATAAACGGTTGAATACAAAATGATTTTTATTTTTGAGGACGCGGCGCAATAATTATATTCACAATAACAATAATATATCATTTAGTGATATTTAAAATGAGGGTTAAATTTGTATTCGAAATTGAAAGATAAGCCAAGAAATCGTATAAAAGTATCCAGTTTTAGAATGACAATCTAATATAACTTTGCATATGCCAAGTTGTTATTTTATTTTCACTATATGTATAGTATATATTCATTGCCAAAACGATTGTTTATTTTCACGTGTCACTGCGAACGAGCAGACGGCGGGCTTTTTTCCTTCGCTCCTGGGTTCCACAGGCGGGTACGCATTTTCTTGATGTAATATTCTATTTGCGTCAAGCTCTAGATAAATGAATAAGAATTCTGAGAAATATTCTGGAAGCAGGAAAATTATAGGATGAGACGCAGAGGCTAGAGACACTTTAAACAATTTACTATTTTTAATCTCCATTATTTAATATTCTACCACCATGATTTTATGCGGCACAGGATTTATATTTGTGTGTCGAGTAGAAAATTAAAACAAAAAAATTGCTTCGGAGCATTTTATTGTCTAGGCAACTTGCTCGCCATGGGCGTAGCGCAGGTTGTCTAAATCTTTTCTGAAACATTTTCCTAATTTGAGATGAATATTTGCAATTTTTATTGTGTTTTTATTATTTCTTTTTCTAAATAAATATTTATAAATCAGAACAAGAACGGATTGTAAGTATTCTGAATGTCCACAGAGAGGCTCAACGTCCTCTATGAGAAAAATTGGACGCAACTTGTGCACGAGCAACTACGCAGATTTGAAACCAATGTTGTGGCGGCAGCAAAACTGGAGGGTTATGACGGAAAAGACCTTTTGGATTCAGAAAGACAGTGGTCATTCAGTGGTGCTCTTTTATACTCGGTGACAGTAATTACTACTATAGGTACATGTGTTTTAGTAATCATTTGGTTAAGAAACGAATAATAAATAATTAATTTTACACCATAGGTTACGGTAACTTGGCACCAAAAACTCCAGCTGGAAAAATTCTCACTATGATTTATGCGGTGTTTGGCGTGCCTTTGATGCTTCTCTGCCTTTCAAATCTTGGGCAATTATTAGCCAACACAATCCAATTTGCTTACTCCCACGTCTGCTGCAACCGACGCAAAAGCCGCTCGTCAAAAAAGCAACAAAATAGAAACTCTCGTCGGCAAACCAAGCATCAGCTCCCAACTTCACCACTGCACCACCAGTTCGATGGCTCTCAAATATGCACACACTTACCTGGAATATCCCTGACCACAACTATTCCTCCACCAGAGCAATTTAAGAAAAAGCCACCCCCTCCGCCACCACGGCTGACCCCTTTGAAGCCAAAGATTATGGCGCACGACGTACGCCAACTGCTAATGGAATGCGCCGAGTACTCAGTTGCACAAAGTGGCGAGCCAGGCGCGCAAAAGTTCTTACGAGACCTTCAGCAGCCGGAGACTCAGGATCTTGGCACAGAAGAGGAAGACTTGGACCCTGCCCCTAGATACCATAAGTATTTTAAAAATTTGATATTTAATTTTTTTTATTGAACTTTAATTTTAGCTCATTTGAGCCGCAGCTGAACACTCCATCGAAGCAGCCCCTTATTCAATGCTCTCCACCACTTTCACTTCCATCGACAACCATGTCCAGTTTGCAACACCACCCGTCCTGCTCGTTGGACCTTGCACCACCTTCTCCTTGTTCCACAACCTCAAATAGGTCTTTGGATGGAAATGTTGGAAAGACGAGAGTGCCAGTCACTTTGGTTCTTGTCATCCTCAGTGGCTATATCTGTTTAGGCGCGACAGTTTTCGCAGCCTGGGAGGACTGGTCGCTTTTGGACGGCGCTTATTTTTGCTTCATCACCCTCTCTACAATCGGATTTGGGGACTTGGTGCCTGGCAAGTCGTTTCAAAGGGCGGCTGATCCGCAAGGGGGCCAGATGCAGTTAGTGGTTTGCTGCGCGTATTTACTGATGGGCTTGGTTCTCATCGCAACTGCCTTTTCACTTGTCCAGGAAGAGGTCATTTTTAAGTGCAGAAAGGCGGCCAGATGGATTGGAATAACAAGCAAATGAAAAAATGTTAAAAAATTTATTGTTTATAAAAAGTGGCTGTTAATTTAAACAATTTTATTAATTAAGTGTGTTTTAGAAAATGACATTCTTATAACACCATTAATACTGATTGGAAATGAGAAGAAAAAGATTTAAAACAATTTTTAGAATATTAATTTAATTAAATTAGACATACAAAAAATAAAATACTCTCTGTGATTTCAACCTGCATTATATAATAATAGAAGGAAAAGTGAAACAATGCTATTTAAAATGGGCTTCAAATATTTATTATAGGTTTTTGAGAAAACATATTTTCTGAATGGCAAAACAAAATAGCTTATTGTTAGAACATGCCAAACGTAGGAAATAATCTTGAAATATAAATTTAGTAAAATTTATCATAATTTTATTTATTGTAGCAATTTGATGAATTAAAAACTACAATAATTTAATTTTGCTGGATATGAGCAAATTTACTTGTTTTTATTTTTGCACAGATATGTACATAATTATATCAAAAATACACAAATTATTTTAATCCAACTTTTTTACCTAATATAATAATTATACTGATAATATGCAAACGTTTAATTAAAATGCTTCCTTTTTTTGACGTTCTCTCCCGTGGTACATTTTTTTTACAACATAAGATAAATAATAATACATAAGTATGAAAAAAAGAGTTCTTTGAATAAATTTAGTACATACATACATAATACCGCATAATAAAACAGTCGGGCCGCACCAATCATGGGCTCCTCGGGATTGGCGCGCAAATGGGAGTGGCTGGCAATATTTTCGCATTGCGCGCTGGACCGGCTGAAAGCTAAAAATTCTGAACTTTGTTGCCGTAGCTTTTGCGAATTTTGGTTGAATGTTGTCGTCCATTAATTTTCGCAAGTGGTGGAATCCTGCCTGAGAGACAAGTCGCCCGGAAATTTGCTTCAAACGGTGAAATGTAAGTTGCTTAGTTTTGGTTGCAAGTTTAGCACAAATTTATAATCCATTAATATTATACCATCTGAAAATAATTACATTTATCTCCCTTCGCTTTGTTTCATAAAAATGATTTTATTCAGAAGTTCTAACTGCATACATTTTTAGGGGTTGATGTAAAACGCCTGGAATAAGTTGGATCACCTTGAATAATCCTAATCTACAGAGCCTATAAACAAACCGCTTTAATAAAATGAGCCAAAGCCAAACTGACAACGACTCGATCATTTTTGACGAGGGTGAATTTCTCGAAATTGACCGCATCATATTAAAGAGCCAGAAAGAGAAACTAGAGGCCGCGATCAATTTGTCACCGCCTGTCGAGGATACCACTTGTCATGTCCATCAGGCCTCAAATTCCCTAAAGAGGAAAAGCAACTCGCCAATTAGGACTCCAGAAACACCTGTCCGTTCATCTGCCAAGTGCAAAAAGCCCCTGACTGAGTTGAACAGCCAGTCGGGAAGCTCGTCAAACAGTGGCAAGACATCCCAGGAGGAAATCTCTCAAAGCCAGCTAAGCGTGTTTGCCTTCGGTCAAGATTTGCAGCAAATATTGATATCCAATGCAAACAAATCCATATTTGAGACTCCCAAGCGAGGCAGTTTATTAGGGATAGTACCTTCCTTGGCCACTCAAGAATGCACATTGGGCTTTGAATTTTTAGGACCATTCTATGGGCTTCCACAAAGAGTGCCAGAGCTGCTCAAGGAGCACAAAGGAGTTGAGAAGTTATATGGTAGGTTTAAAGAAAAAAATTATAATTTATAATATTTGCAAGCATTAATGGTCTAAATATTTATAGACTGGCAGACGGAGTGTCTTGCCTTGAAAGCTGTTCAAGAGAGAAGAAATCTGATTTACTCCATCTCAACAAGTGGTGGTAAAACTCTCGTTGCAGAGATTCTGCTGTTTCGCGAGCTTCTGTGTAGGAAGAAGAATGCAATCCTGGTGCTTCCGTACGTCTCTATTGTGCAAGAAAAGGTAAACTGCAGATATGGCCATAGTGTGTACATTACAAAATATTCAATAAAATTTAACTCTCAACATTTACTGTCTGCAGGTCAGGTCTTTGTCTCCCTTTGCTCTGGATCTAAACTTTCTGGTTGAAGAGTATGCTGCTGGAAGAGGAGTTTTGCCTCCGAAGAAAAGGTTGTGGAAGAATGTGGTGTTTGTGGCCACCATCGAGAAAGCGCTTAGCTTATTCAATTGCTTGGCTGAGGAAAAGCGGCTACATGAAATTGGACTGGTAGTTGTTGATGAGATTCATATGGTCGGAGAGCCTGGAAGAGGTGCTACTTTGGAAACTCTTATAGCCAAGTTTATGTATGCGTCACGTATGTTGTATTTTTTAAGTGCGTCTATAAAATAAACCGTTTTTAATTAATTTTATAGCCGAGACTCAGATCGTTGGAATGAGTGCCACAGTTGGAAATTTGCCTGAATTGGCCTCTTTCCTAAGAGCTGACACTTACTCGAAGGAGTTTAGACCTGTGGTCCTGAAAGAGTTCATCAAGATCAACGATAGGCTGCTTCAAATCAATGATAAGTCTGATAATTTGTTCTGCCCTAAAAGAGTTCTTGAAAGTGATGTAAGTTATGCTTGTAAAGGAATAATTTCATATTTCTGTATAATTGATTATGTTTCTTTAGGACAAGAAAAATGATCCTGATTGCTTGAAACAGTTGTTGATGGAAGTAGCACCTGAAAAGTCGTGCCTGATTTTTTGTGCTACGAAGAAGAATTGTGAAAATGTCGCTCTGCTCCTGGCCAGAGGAATGGATAAGTAAATTTATTTATTTCAAATGAAAATGTCCTTAATCATAGTTAAAAATAATTAGAAGTTTGAAGAATTTCAAGGGAAAAGAAAAACTTGAGCTCTATAATGCTTTGAAGGAAGAAGGCAATGGTGTCGTTTGCGACGTTTTAAAGAGGACCCTCCCCTATGGGGTTGCTTACCACCATTCAGGCAAGGAAACAAAATTTAAATAGATTTTTTTTATAAAATTTGGTTTTAAATATTATTTAGGGCTAACCATGAACGAACGAAACCTTTTGGAAGAGGGTTTTCGAGCTGGTGTTATTTGCTGTCTCTGCTGCACTTCAACTTTGGCTGCTGGAGTGAACCTTCCTGCTAAAAGAGTAAAATATTTAATTTTTCTTTGTTCAAATTTTATGATAATTATCATAATTATTAATAGGTCATCCTGAGAACCCCTAAGATAGGAACAGAGTTCTTGAATTTGAGCCGTTACAAGCAAATGGTTGGGCGAGCCGGACGTGCAGGAATGGACGATTGTGGAGAGAGTATCATGATTTGCCAGGAATCAGAGCTTGAAACTGTATTTCTAATAAAACTTTGACATGTATTGCAGAAATTAATGGTTGTTTTAGGTGCGCAATTTTTTGGGATCAGGCATGACGTTGTGCTACAGTCAACTGAAGGAAAATCCCAACATAGTTGAGGGTCTTGTCCTAAGTCTCATTGGACTGGGACTTGCAACCTCTTGCGAGCAGCTTTGCCACTTCATGGAAGAGTTCACCCTCTTTGGAAAACAGACCAACAACAAATCGCAAGTTCGAAAGCTGGTGGAGAGCGTCATTTCTGGTTTGTACAAAAACCAAGTCCTTACCTTGAAAGTCGACCTACCTCTGCTTGAAGAGGACAGCGAGCTGAAAGTTAGCCCACTTGGAAGGGCAGCTATGAAATGTTAGTCTCTTATAAACCATCACAAATTTCATTATTTTTAACATTATTTGTAAATAGCTAATCTGACTATGGAGAATGCAAAAAATATCCTTGAAGATCTGAGCCAGGCCCAAGGTGCCCTTAACCTCTTGTCCCCGCTCCATCTTCTTTATCTAGTTGTCTCTCCTGAAAGAGCTGCTTGCACAAGATTTATGCCTTCGGTTTTTGCTAATGTCGTAAGTTGTAAAAATACTTGTTACCCTTGTCGGATGTGAGAACCATCGAGACCATTGGTATCAGTTAGGTTTCGGCCGGTCTTGATGAATCTCACATCCGACAAGGGTAAAACTCTAAATTCTAACATTTAATATTTAGTTCAGCAAAGTATCTGCCAATGACAAGAAGACTGCAGATCTTATTGGAATCAATGAGGGTGTCATTGCCACACTTTTGAGGGGCTGCAAACCAAAAGTAATTATTCTTTATTTTAATTTAAGGAAGAAAACTTAAACTGGAATTGTTAGTCTGTTCCAGAAACAAGCCTGATTCGTTTTTACCTTGCTCTTCTTCTGAGTGCCATGTGGGATGGCCAAATGATTTGGGATGTTTCCGATAAGTTTGAACTACCTAGGGGAGATATTCAGTCACTGATGGTTGCCTCTGCTAGTCAAGCCTCTAACGTCAAACTATTTTGCCAAGTATAATTATATTTTAATTATTCTGAATTCTGAACTTCTAATGGACATAATTTCTGTAGGAATATGAAGGCTCTCTGTGGTGCTTCCATTCCTTACTGTCCAAGATTTGTGATAGGCTCTCTCATTGTGGCTCTGCCGAGATTATGGAGTTGATGGATCTGCCGGCTGTGAAAAAGGTCTGATCCCTTTCTTGACATTATAAAATATCAAATTAAAATAATTATTTTAATCATTACATTCGGTGCTAAATCAGAGCACAATGATTATGCAAAGTTTCTCCATTGTGATTAAGTTAGCACCTACAGCAATAAATTTTGGCTCTTTTATAAACCCAGTTAGTCCTGTGGTCTCGGTATTAATTGCCAAAGTTTTACAATTTAAAAATATATTCTTTACGGTCTTTATTTTCTAAACTCTGCTTGATAATAATATTATTAACTTTTAAACTTTAATTCCTCAGGGCCGAGCTCAGCAGCTTTACAAAGCTGGATACAAAACGCTTCTCGAAGTGGCATCTGCAAATCCTAAAGAAATGGCCAGCAAGATTGAGCATTTGCCAGGGAAGGTTGCCAATCAACTTGTCTCATCTGCTAAGGTTGTCATCAGGTGACATTTCGAAAATTTAATTATAGTTAAAATTGCAGATGCTGCTCATGGAGAAGGCCGAGTCCTTGCGAGAAGAGGCAGAAATAGTTTTTGGGTCTATGAAAGAACAACTTCTAGAAAGCTTCAGCCAGTCTCCTAACAGAACCCTGAACCAGTCTGTGCTTTTGTAACGGAAAAGTCTTGTGCCAGTTGTGCCTTTTTAGATTGTGAAACTTGAATTCTCAAATTACAATGAAAAAGTATTACTCATCAATTCAGGTTAGAGATGAAATTATTTTTCCACTAAAATTTGTCATAAAATAATTGTACTGATATGAGCTATTGTCTAAAATTATGCAAGCAAAATAAATTAAAAAATTATATATTTTATAGTAGTTTTATATTTAATTAATCATTGTGTATTGAAAAAAAAGAAATAGTTAGTTTCCACTTGGTTAATTTTCACAAACACAAAATCGTTTATGCTTCTAAAAAAAAGGTGTTATTAGTGAAAAAACTTGTATACACTTTCAGCGGATGACTTCCCTATGTGCACTGAAAGTTCATCCTCAGTAGCATAAGAGATTCTTCTGATTGTAAAAAAATGTTCCACCAAAATTTGCGCTTTGTTTCGTCCTACGTTGGGAATTTTTGTGAGCAAACTAATTTGTTTAGAGGCGAGATCGACTTGCAACGGAATTTTCACTAGGAATGGATTATTATTCTTGTTTTTGGCAGCTTGAGCCAAGTCTTTCAGAAGGTCAGGCACTTCCTGTAGGTTCGAAACTGGCACAACATTCTTAGCCAGCTTTAGGGTTGCTAAACTCTGGACAGAATTGTACAGCTGACAGGTAGATGAATTTCTCTCAGCCATTATCACCCCGGCACCTTTCCAACACTGTGAGAATAGAATTTTAATTAACTTCTGAACAAAATATATATAAAACTAAAATTTTTACCTTCTTGAAATTTTTTAATTTTGCAATAATGTCGGCATCATTTGATGGATAGTTTCCAGTGTAAAATAAAATTACAGGCAAATTTTGGGCTGGGACAAAATCTACAAAGGCTCCTGCAAGAGAGAATTGAAGTCCACCGTGATGTCCTGAAATTAATTTACAAATAATTTTATAAACTATTAATTTATTGGTTTATTTCAATAAAATATATAAATTACATATCAAAATTTACTATGAACGTGTAATAGCATATATGGAAACAATAACTAAAATGTATTAACTTGGCAAATAAAATTTAAATATAATTACTAGAGAGTTCAACGCCGAGTTCCGTTTTGCTCCACGTCTCATTGACCAAAATTTTTCCAAATGGCACATTGGGAAGTTTTGAGAGAGGAATGTCCATAATTATTCACTTTTAACCAAAATATATGAATGAGACAGATTTAATTGATGATTGAATATAGGCCAGAGGCCGTAGACCACTTTGCGTCTTGTTGTTTTTGTTTTGTTGAGTAAAATGACGTTGACATTCACATGTCACAGCAGCCCTCCTCCTTGCCTCCTCCTGCTCCTCATCCTCAACGCCATCTATGGGAAACGTAGTGAGAAACAACCAACCAATGGGAAAGCTGTGAAAAATTTTCTGTCCACGCAACTCATACGGCTCACTTTACTCGTGCGGCTTGCTTAACTCGTGCGGCTATAGCTATGAGAGTGCTATTTACAGTAATTTCAAATTATTGTACTTTTTTTATTTTTTATTGCCTTTTATTCCTTTTAGTTTAAAATAATGTTTATTAGATTCAAATTGAGGGCAACTATATAAGCCCCATACATGAACTCATCCAAATAAATGACGGAACAAAAACAAACCTTTTTGTAATCTTTTTTATCTATTGAGGCAGCACTGATATTCTGCGTCCCCTTATTTGCTTAGACAGCATGAGCTGACTGGAGGAAAGATTACTTGACGAAGCAAGTGAAGCTCCTGTCAAGTAATGTTTCAGTGAATTTCTCATTTTATTATTCTCTGCAAGCAGGGCGTCTTGGTGCATTCTCAAAGCCACCCTGCTCAACAGCGCCTGGCAGTGTCGCCGCCAAAAATGTTCCATTGCAGGGTTCATATCACTGAGCTAGATAATTTTGGTTTTAATTTTTAAAGGTATAATTGAAAATTATTTTACCAAATTTCTTTCAGTTTCATGCTCAAGTGTTTCCATCTCTTGCCCGTTGGAGAGCACGTTTGGTTTCAGGCCCACAATTGTCTTTTCTTCGTCAGTTTCAAACTTGTAGCACATACTTGCCAATTTTATTATATTTTCACCTTTTTGCGCAATTTTTTCTAAATGCTGCCGGAATTTCATTTTGTTTTTTTGCTCCGGAAATATATCTGTTTGTTTTACCTCTACAACTTTTTGGCCCGTCACAGTAACGCTTCTCATTGCCATCTCGTCTATTTTCGTCGCGTTCTGTTGTCTTTTCCGGTGCCTCCAACACTCCACCGCAAAATCCTTTTCCTGGTTTTGCAGTTTCTGTGTTCGCGGTGTTAACTCGGTGTTCGCCAGTGCCTTTTGCAGTTTTTCAATTTCCGACTTCAGATAAAATTTTAAAGAAAAAAAATATCTCCTTTAATTAAAATTAAATATATAAAGGTGTAGACCAACTTGAAGACTGCTGATGACACTTGACTGAGCGCCAATGACCCTGAGGTTCTCGGCATCCCTTTCTTTCATTTCCTCGTACATTCGTCTTTGGTCTAGAGTGGCAGCATTGTAGACTGCAAAAACGCTTTGTAGCTGCTCTTTCATTGTATCGTGGTGGTTTTGCAAGTGTAGTTGCAACGATTGAATCTCCTCCATGTACTGTGCAAACCAAACAATTATGTCAGTTTAATAAAACTAAAATCACTCTATATCAATATTCAAAATTTAGATCATTAAGTCATTTGACAGAAAAAACTAGGCAAAAAACGTATGCAACCTGCTCCGCATGCAAGTAGCGCAGGTTGCCTAATAAGTATAAAATAATTGTAGTAAATTTTTTATATTTTGCTGAATTGAATTTTTAATTAAATTTTTATAAATATTTTGTTTCGTTTGTTCTGGTTTTTAATCGTTCTTATATTATATTTTAAAGGGTGGGCGTAGTTATGAACAATTTTTACAATATGCTTAACTTATTGAGTGGATTTTAAAACTAGAATTGATAATTTTGTGCTATCTGTGGCTTACAGAGTGAATTGTGTCCGTTCTTCTATTGCTGGCCTTATTGACGATTCCCTGTTTGATTTTCTCCGCGTTCTGCTCTGTCGCGAAGAGAACCGCGTTTAAAAATTCTAGAGCTTTATCGCTTCGCCTCTTTTCCTCTTCTGCATCTGTTTTTGAAATTTGGAGCAAAATTTCTCTCTGCTCTTCATAGTGCTTGAATTTGTCAGCCACTCTTTTTGCTCCAAATACTGAAATAATGCATAATATAATTCACAATGAAATTAAAAAAAAAAATATATACAGTATATTAAGAATTCTGAAAAATATATTCACAAATCTTTTTATCGACATCCTCGATGTGCGCCTGAATTACAATGAGGTGCTGCTTTTCTGTTTCCTCTAATTCTTTCATCAGCGAGTTGATTTTTCTCTCCTTCCTCTCCAACATGTACCCAAAAATTTGTTTTGAGCGCTTCATTTTTTATTTTGAAATTGAATTAAATTAAATATTTTTCTCCATAAAACAATTAACGCACCTCTAATTCTTGTTTGATCTCTTTGCACTTTGCCTTTCGCAAAACGTGTCTCCAGTGCTCGTGGAGCTTTGCCTGATTTATTCTTGTAAACGCGTCCTCTCGATTCAATTTAATCTGTACAAAAAAGTCAATTTTTAAAAGTAGTACTTTTCTCGCATTTTAAATTAAAAATAAAGCGAACCTTAACAAAGTTGGCCACTAATTGCTGTTTTCTTCTCCTCGCCTCCTCTTCTTGGGTTGCCTTATGCTGCAAATATCGCAGCCGCTCTTCATCGCTCATTTTCGCCAGCTTATTTTGCTTCCCTTTCTTTTTTGGTGCCATTTTTTAAGTAAATTAATATTTTTTTCCTTTGAAATAGAATAGCTAGAGTGCCAACAAAATGGTTAGACTCTAGTGATACCTGAGTTTATTAAAAAACAACTTGAAATAAATAAGATACCATGGCAACCAAATATATAGCAAGGGGGAGGTTGAAAATAAAAATAAATTATTTTTAATTAATTTGAATATTATCTGAGATATTTTTCACTGTGTAAGATATCGCAAACCTAATCAATCGATTTTATTTTTATTAAATTTCTCTAATAATTAATTTAAAATGTTATGCAACTCATATCAAGTTCATTTCTGATCAAAGAGGACTTTGCTTATTTTTGATGAATTGAGATGCCGTTATCATTTTTTATCACTGAGTACCACGATAAAAAAACCAGAGAGCTGATTTTATATAACTGATGAATAATTTTTGTTACTTAATCATACTTAAGATAATTGTATTAATTTTGAATTTTGATAACAATTTAATGCCGATTATCGGTCCAAGCTCAGCATAAAACCCGGGCGAGCAGAATGAGGTGAGCCGTGTTGGCCAATCACACCGCGGCTCAAGTGACGTAACGAGCATCGTAATTATACCGGTTTTTAGAGTGTCTAACCGGTATAATTAAGAATTTCTTGTGAATTAAAAACGCTTAAATCAGTGATTCTTCATTAAATTCTATAATTTTTTAATTTTTTCAACATAAAAGTATCTTATATTTTCTATTTGTTTATGATTTAAATTAAATTTAATTGCGATTGTTTTCAAAATACCGGTAACCGGTTTTCAAAATCATGAACACCTGGCAAAAGAAATAAAAGATCAAGCAAGCATCACAAGTTTGCGTTTCGTTTATTTTCTAAGCGGTGTGTGTTGGTCGACACGTCCTTACGGTGCCGCCGGATGACCTTGTGCCGGCACAACTGAACTTTTTCGGCACCCCATGAGTCGGCTGACGACCTGACCAACTCAATTTCGTCGCCTAATCGAAGGAGGTCGATGGAAATCTGGCCTGTCATCGTTGCGACGAGCAGCAACAAGTAGCGCGGCGGCCCACTTAGCCGAATGCTCGATTCGCCGACGCAATCGACACCATGGAACTGACCGACGTTGATTCGTGTATTAAGGACTGGGATGACCTTTTCGCCGAATACAAAAACCTTGAGGTGAGCGGCCGTCCGACGGCACTCAGCTGATCCGGCTCTTTTTGTTGTCATGACCTTTCAACTTGAACCCTAGCCTCCCACTTTGAACTCTGCCGACAGTGATTTAATTTTGCCCTCAGACGCTGAATAAGCAATACGTTGCCAAACTCGAGGAAGTCGGAGAACTGCAGGGAAAATGCATGAAGGAGATCAGTCACCAACGATACCGCATCGGTGTCATGAAAAATACCCTGAAAAAGTATAAAATTTTCCAATTCTTTTAAGCTAATATTTTACTAAATATTGATTTCATTCCAACAGATTGGATGATGATCCAAGCAATAAGGCAGCTGTCGAGCAACTGGAGAAAAATATTATGATCAGAAAGGCTCAACTTTATGATATGGAAGAATCACTTCCAAAGTCAAATAGCCTGTACTTGAAGATAATCCTTGGAAATGTCAATGTCTCTATTTTGAACAAAGAAAACAAGTAGAAGAAAATGATCCCGAGTTAATCCGTTTAATAATGTCTGAACTATTTCCAGGTATAAATATAAGGAGGAATACGAGAAGTTTAAATTAGTTCTAAGTGTCATTGGGTTTGTTTTTTCTGTTTTCAATCTTCTGGTTAATGCAAGGTATGTTGTGAGATATTCATGTTGAAAACCAAAATTATGAACCTTGATTCTTTATAGAGCTCTGGAGCTGGCATTTATTTTTCTCTTGGTCTGGTACTACTGCACCCTGACCATTCGAGAGAGCATTCTGAAGGTGAACGGCTCTCGAATTAAAGGCTGGTGGCGGATACACCACTTCATTTCGACAGTTGCTGCCGGCGTCTTGCTCATTTGGCCCAACACGTCTACCTGGTTCCAATTCCGCACCCAATTTATGTGGTTTAACCTTTACATCAGTTAATACATTTTTTTTTTTTTTAAATTGAATTAGGTGCATGAAAATCATTTTTAGGTGTTGTGCAGTACCTCCAGTTTCGTTACCAGCAAGGTGTTCTCTACAGACTGCGCACTCTTGGTGAGAGGCACAACATGGACATTACCATTGAGGGGTTCCACTCCTGGATGTGGAAGGGACTCAGTTTCCTCCTGCCTTTCCTTTACATAGGCTACGCCTTCCAGTTCTACAATGCCTACGTTCTCTTCTTCCTCAGCTACCAAGAGGACGCCACCTGGCAGGTATGATTAAATTTTTTAAAGGGTGTGCAAAGTCACCGACTATTTATTTGAAAGGTTCCAATGCTAAGTGCCCTATTCTTCATGCTCTTCATGGGAAATTTGGTTACCACATCCATGGTGATTCCTCAAAAACTACAAGAGCGATCCAAGTTACGATACAGGTTTAAGCGAAATGGAAACAATCACAGGGAAGAGGAAAAGAGTGATTAATTTTTGAAAGTAATTTTTGTAATCGAATTTAAATTTCAATGATTGGTTTGAAAGATGGTAGAGAAGTTTTAGAAGGCTTGTCTGTATATGCAAGAATTTGTTGGTAAAGGCTTATTAGCTCTATGTTGAGTTTCTTGCTTCATAAACAAGACAAGATTTCTAGACCAACGGTACGATTTTTTTATGGAGAATGAATAAATATTGATGTTGCCAAAATAATATTTTTGTCCATCATTTAAATATGGTAATGTATGGTAATCAAATTGATATTTTAATATAGCATAATGAACACCTAAGTATTTGTGTGTCAAATCTTCATCATTAGAATAATAATGTTTATCAATTAAATAGCAAAAATAAAAATTGGTAAAAAATTAACCAATATTACTGGAATTCATAGTATTGAAAACACTGCAATTGACAGCACACTATTTATTAAAATATTTAAATTAATGGCAATCTCACATTCCCTTGTCATTTATCGCAAATTATAGCTGATCGATTTGATCGTTGTGTACACACTACGGTTTACATTAAACACAAAAGATGCTGGGAGTTACAGCTTGGTTATATTAATTTCTAAAACTGGTTAGAATGATTAATAATTTCATCCTTCAACGAATTACAAAAGGGTAGAACCACCCATCAATTCTCAGTCAGTGTACAATAACAGTCTCATTATAACATATCAGTTGTCCTCGCCGACAAGTTCCTAAAAACAAATATGAAAAATTAGGAAAAATAAAAAATTATTTTTAAGAAAGAATAATACCCTGATAACGTCGGCCATCGCTCTGGCCTCTTGCAACATTTCTTCTTTTATTTTAAGTTGCTCCTCGAGTTCCTTGATTTTCTCTTTGAGCAGACCATTGAGTTCTAAAGCATTGTTCAACGCGGTCCCTCTTGTCTCAGCCAGCTTTTTCCAGTAGCTCTCACTGGGAGCATCTGAGCAAACACATGATAATAAAAACAGGCCAATGCATTTTGTGATTTGTTAATTACATACCTTTGGTCAAATCGTCGGCAGTGATAACATTATCACATCTCTCAACCTCTACGTCCGTTTGGGTTGAAGTTTCTTGCGTTCTCTTGCGCGGTTTGGCCATTTTTCTATTGAGCCTGTGTGTATATTTTGAAAAAAAAATTAAATACACTGAGGATTGTAAAATATTTTAGACTTACAAAGCCTCTTTTGGAGTTGATAGGGTGGTCACTTCTCGGTGCAGGTTGATTTCCACATTTTGCAACGGTTTCCTTGGAGAAAACGCAACTTCAGTCTGCAAAAATACAGGGCAAATTTTCGATTCAGTGAGGAATTGTGCAGCCACATGTAGAAGAACGTGGGTTTTAGAATATGGCTATCTCATCAGTGTTTGGAGAAGATAAAAACGGGGATAAAAAAATGCGCGTCTCATATTCCACGCCGGCATTGCAGAGCCTGCTTTGTTTTGGCGAAGAAAAGATGAAGTTTACCTGAGTTGCTGAGGCTACGGTGGTGTCGGGTAGGATTGAAAATTTTCCGGTAGTCCTCATGTCTACTAAGACCGCTAAAAAGCGTCAGCGAGCGGAAAAAAATTGTAAAAATCGAGTGAAAATTAAAAAGGACAACAGGAACAGTCGTGACTGACGTCAATTTGCCAGAATGCGCGGCAAAAGTGACGTCACGTTTAGTGGGGTGAAAGAAAGGAGCTTACATACTATACTCGAAATTTTAAAAAGTCCATTAAGTGCCACGTGCATGACGTGCAGTAACGATTTTTTCCTGCACATTTGTATTTTATTAAATTCTTTGCGTTATGTATAAAAATAAATTTAAAACAAGTATAGTTATTATAAAAAAAAACTTCTTTTTATTTTGGTGGATTAAATTAAATTATAATTGTATTAGAAATTAGAAATGAAAAGCAGCTAATTAATTATTTTGGTTATTTCGTTCACATTTTTTTATTGATCTTTTATTGCCCCAAACATTGAATTATACAGTTTACCGCAATTTACAACCTCCCCGTATATTTTTTCACTTAATGATCACGTCTCACATTAACGGTAGAACAATAAATTTCCCTTAGGTAGATTTTGTTATATTAATTCATACATCAATTTCTTTGTTTAACAACAGTTTTATACGCAAGTTAAAATTAAAATACAATAAAACCTGTAGACTCTATCAGATTGAATGGGAATTTTTTTATCGCAATCAATAATTTATGGCCTATATATAATATTATACACATCATAGCTTGCTCAAAACAACGCTGCTTCAACATAAATGCCTGATTTTTCCTCGTGTACATGAGCTAAACGCAGAGAGTAACAATAATAATAATGATAATAATCTAGTTTTAATTGACGTCTTTTGTTGTGCGTTCAAAAGTGAGCAACTACTGTGTCGATGATTGAGTAATTTAAGTAGTTTCCTAATTCATTGAATTTAACTGATGAAATGGCACATGTAGGCACTTGATGAACAAATCATTTTAGTAGCCTGTGAGTTGGAGATGGTGTATAACAATTGATGATCTATTCAGTGCACATTTTGTTCTGTTTGGAACTGGTGAACTCAGGAGAAAAAATTGTCCCTGTGCTGGACAAACGGCAGTTCAGATATAGGCGACGAATCGTCCTCCTCTGTGCTTGTCTCCTTGTTTGGAGTAATTTCTAGTGCTCGAGCTGAAAATAAGACTTTATAAACAAATTGTGCTACTTAATAAAGTATTCATTTAAAATTTTTATATCTTGCAAAAATAAATTTTTAAAATTTGCGAATTCAGTGCAATTTAGAAAATGTGGTGCCACAGTAAAGCGTAAAATTCAATTGGGAGTGAGCAGTATAATTAATTAAAAATGACCTTTAAAAAACTTCATTATCAATTTTTTTAAACTACATTTAAGTCTAAAAAAAATAACTATAAAATCACTCAACCTAACTAACATTTTTACATTTATAAAATGAAAAAGAAAGGAAGAATTATATGAAATTACAATTTTTGGTAATGCTTCATTATTTTTCCAGCAGTGCAGCATTGGTGAACTTAAAAAGTGCAACTGCAAGATTCAGGGGGTGGAGTAAAAATTTTGCTAGGGACATGCAAGGGCTCAACCAAACAAACTAGCGTGTAAGGGTATACATACCTATAAAGGGAAGGTCATCGGCGTCTCCAGCTCACATTCTGCCGTTTCCCTGAGACGAGCCTACACAAAACACACGCACATAATACTGTCAGCAAGCAGGGCTACAGGCGACTTTCAGGTCTCAAAATTGGCCAATCGCAATTTGGATTTTGAATCAAATATTGATCAAGTCAAATAAAAGCTAGGGAGATCTGGCCAAAATATGGGAAAGTAAAAAAAGTGCATGCAAAAACGTGCTAGGCTAGAGAAAAATTGAAAACCAACACACGGTAACAAAAAAGTGCATGCATTTGAATGACGGGGGCCTAAAACGTTATTTATATTTACCTGCAACCATTTTGCTCTTTTCCATAACTTGCTGGGCCAAAATCTGGTTCAGCTGCAAAAGGTGCTCGCGCTGCTTCTTCTCGGCCGCCAGTTTGAGCTTCATGGTGGAATTGACTTCTTCTCCGCTCCCATCATTGTTAGGAGATTGTGCTAAAAGAAATATATTATATTTCGATAAAACATGAATTGTGAAAAGCAAAATTCATTTACCTTGGCTTTCTGAGGTATGTGGGGTAGTTTCTGAGAGCATTTTTCTAATGGATTCTGCTTTGCGTAGCCTCTGGAGCTGTTCTTCGGCAGACAATTCTGGCTCCTGAACAAAAGCAAGAAATTCAAATATTTCAAATGATATAATAATTAAGACAATAATTCACCTTTTCTGGTACATATCTCTCTGGGATCACAATTTTATTAGGAGTGCCTAGAAGATTGTCAATGGTGGTTTCATTGTACTTGAGCTCTCTCTGGCTGAGAGTTGAGCGCACCACATCAGGAGCTCCAGCCACCCTCCTCCTCAGGGCGCGTTCCATGTCCAAGTCATCTCTTGCCCTAGCACCTGAGCCCTGTGAATGAAAATTTAGGATTTTAGAGACGCTCAATGCACTGCGGAAAGGGTTTTCAATCAAAAGCCTTTGAGAAAGTAAAAGTTCAAGACAATCACAAATTTACGAAGGCTGCGAGAAAAGAAGTTCAACAGATACACCTATTACTGCAATATTAGTGAAATGTAACATTTTTTTTCAGTTTGCTGTTTGCTTTGCAATACAAAAAAGCACATTAAAAGATACGTTAAATGTGTTCCCTTTTTTTTTTACAAAACTTTTGTAAGAAACCGAGGGTTTAGTGCTTAAGCCGTTTTTTTCTTGTCATCTCATTTTTTTAATTAAAACAACACAAGAGATTAAATTCTCTCCATCACCCTGAAGATACAGGTAAAGTCCCCAACATGATGCAACAAACATTAATAAGAGAAAGATATTTGCATATTAGTGTGATTAGTCATGCAGAGGGTGCATAGTGTTGAGTGGTGAGAGGGCTACCATGTTGGCCTCTGCTTTGTCCTGCTGCTGGCCACCGCCGGTCACAGTGTGGTGCCGCCTTTTGGTTTTCGGCACCGCCCGCCTCCTCGTCATCTCCTGCACAATGGCTCTGGCCGCTTCACTTTGGTACACTGGGGAAACGGGGCCGGAACTGGAGCTACCTTCGACGAACACCCCTTCGTCAACAAGGCGAGGGCTCTCTTCGTCTGTGCTGCCGAAGAGCTGGGCGTGCGCGGACAACGGGCGCTCGCCTTGAGGGCTCTGTTTTTTATAGGTTAGGGGTGAACATTTAGAAAAATGTGTGTGCTTAAAAAAATACAAATGACTGATTGAAAAATGAATGAATGAATAAACACATAACATTCAATCAGAATTCACAGGATGATAATTTTACACGAATGAAACAAAAATAATAATCTTGACTTACCATTGTCCTGCTTGCTCGTAAATTAATGTTGTCACTTCTCGGTGACATTGTCCTCGAAGGTGGTGGTGGCGGTTGTTTTCCAAAGCCCCGTGGCAGTGAAAGAGAACGTTGGAAGACATGAGGGTCAATGGCCTGCTGGTCTTGTTGGGCCTGCAGTTCCATCAGCAGGGATAATTCCAACTCGGAGGGAGGAGGGGGATGGTCTTCCTCAGTCACTCGACTGAGGTCCATTTCCATACTGGGACGTTGCTTTACCCTGTTGCGGCGCTCAGACTCGCGCTTCACGATTCTCACTGTTTTTATTTCAGCCTTTTCAGTTTTCGGAATTATGCCTAATAAAAGGTTGAATTAATAAATTTTGTTAAATCATTGTTAAAAGACACTCGAACCATAGAATCTCTTCATTCTGTCGTCAGCCTCACTGATGTCCTGGGGCTCGTAATAAGTGGTTGCAGATCCATTGTATAGAGAGGGATCTTCTGGGGCTGGAGGGGGTGGCGGGGACAAATCGTCAGGGGTGATTGGATCTTTGCCATTTGGAGAATAGTCCATAATTTCTGTGTTGACGTATAAAGGTGCTCTCGGATCCGTAAGAGGTGAAAGCGGAGAGTCGGTGTTGATTCCCAGGTCCTCGGTGTGCATCGAGTCAAGGTCAGTCTCCAGCCAAGAGGAAGATGGCCTCCGTAGTCTAGGGGTGGATGGCAACGAGGCTGGAGAATTATTGGGAGAAGTTGATGAACGGATTTTGCCCCTGAGCTCTGGTGTTTGCGTTAAGCTGTGTCTCTTTTCCGTCAACTGCTTCACCTGATGAGTTGCAATAATTATTTTTCCCTCGGGTTCATAGAAACAAAATACAAACCTGGGCACTGAGGTCGTGTCTTTGCCTCTGCAGGTCACCAACCAGAGTCTGGACCCTCCTGAGCTCCAACTCCAATGCTGCAGCTGACGTGCCCTGCACCATCATAGTTGGTGTGGCTGAGCGCTCCATCATTCTGGACGCTTGCATCTGCTTCTGGCGCAGCATCATTATGTCATGCTCTATCCTGGCATTATCCACCACAATGTCCTCCATTTTCTAAGACAGGAAAAATAAATTTATAAAATTATTTGTTGTTGTTTTAAACCTATACCTTCGAGTGCATGGCTAAAAGATGTCTGACTCTGCTAAACTCTCTTTCCAGCAACCTTTGCTGATGGATGAACCTGTCAGCCTCAGCACCGGTGCTTGTGGCCAATTTGTGCCTCAACCCTCCCAACGCCCTTTGCAGAAGGGTCTTGTCCTGCTGAAGGTTTTGGAGAATGAGCGTTTGCTCTTGCAGTTGCCGCTCCATGTGGTAGAATTGTTGCATTTTGGCCTAAAAAATTTTATCATATCAGTCGGAATGTTATAACTTAATAAAAAAATAATTTACCTGGAGTTCTGCGTGTTCAGGTGGGCTGAGTCTGTTCCAGTCTCTCCTATCGTCGGCCATCAACCTTTGATCATGAAGGTTGAAATCGTACCGCTGCATGGGTGGTGGCGTAATTGCAGAATTTCTTGGCAGTGAATTGATTGAAGAGCCTCTGTACATGGAGCCCAGTTTGACCATGTTGTCCACCAAGTTCACCAACGGCTTCCCCTTTTCATACTGCAAAATTAAGGCGTTAAGCATCTGCGATGGAGAGAAAAAGTGAAGTGAGCGCCGTACTTGTTTCTCAATCTCCTGCAAGTGCCTCTTGAGATCCTCAAGGCGCCTCAAGTGCTCAGCCCTCCTTGCTGCGTCAAGCTCAGCCAAACGTGCCTGATGATCGAGAAAGGATTAGATAGTCGTTTCTTAATTGGGCTGGACAAAATTAGTTAAGCAATTAACCAGAGATTTTTTATTTTCGCAAGCAAACGACGGATTAGCTGTTTTGGTTACGAGTTAAATAGGAGTAGAAATAGCCCCGCCAGCAGAAACCGCATCGCACCAACGTTCTTGCAGTTAGAAAAAGCCTCAGACTTGGCAAAACCGCGCAATCAAACGCCAGCTGAGGCACTCATTCATAAATAAAATCATATTAACTTGAGCTCTAATGCATAATCTTTCACAAATTACAGCATTTTTTGCTCTGGTTATGTAGTAGTAATGTTACAAACAGCCCATTCAACCAAAAGTTAAAGTTAGCCAACATCTCCGCTAATATCAGCACCTGGCTAAGGATCTCTGTTCGACACAACTCTGCCGCCCGACTCAACGAAGAACTTTCTCTTCTAAGTTGGATCAGTAGTAAAACCAATTCCTCGTGCGTTCTACCAAGAAGGGCGCCAGCAGACACTTTGTTCAGCGGCGAAATTCCGGCTTTTGCAAACTACAGAGAAAATGCCAAAAAATCCAAAATCGTTTTCAAAATAGATTTTCACTCAAATAAAAAATGCAAACTATTAATTAATTCTATCCAATTCAATAAATTCTAAAAATGTGAAATAATAAATTTTAAATTAAAAAAAAATCAATTTAGAAGAGAAAAGTGAAAGGAAAAGAAACTGACCGGCCTGCGTGCCAGTTCCGAGTCGGAGGTGTTGTGGCCATCTTCAGGACCGTAAAGTCCTGGCGGCAAGGGTGAAAGTCCAGCAGCCGGATTTAGTTTGGGCGAGGCTCCCCGGCTGCCGAGACCTGCCCCATGCTTAAACACGGCGTGACCTCCGCCGCCCATATCCTCCTGGGTCGGTGCGGCTGCTACTGGCTGCACGGTCGTTGGTGACGGCCGCTGCTGCTGGCGGTGGCTCCGCACAGCTGGAATGCTGTCCTGAATCGACCCCGAACCTGAGCCTGGAAACAGCAAAAAGAATTTATTAGACAAAAGTACGAGTAAACTCGTAAACTCGGGCGAAAGGCAGCAAGAGGAAATTTGTGAATATATCACAAAGGCGGATAGTTGAATAAAACGACTGCTTTTCCAGCGCCCTTTTGGCCCAGCCACTGAGCACTTGTTTTATTCCATCAAATAAGAGTAAAAAGGCGCCAGACGAGACGGCTTTTGGGCCCAAATCGGCGCCAGACGCGCACGCCAAGGCGCGCGCCCTAAAAAACGGCAAGTGGGCATTTGGTATTATATTTATTTTGCAAATCTACAGCCGCCTTCATTGTTACTCCTTCGAGAAACATTTCGCGCACAGTCTGCCCATTCAATATTCATGCAAGTTATTTCCATTTGAACGCACTTTTATCGGCCTTTACAAAAACGAAGCGTGCTCTTTTGAAAAATCCATCAATGTCATTTCCCGTGGAGAAACGGCCAAAATATTGCCAGATTAATCTAAGGCCCTTTATGAAAGCACTTTTCTTGTGAACATATAAAGGCAGAATATTTTTCTCAACCACGGCGCACTCAGTGCAAGGAAAGCGTATGACCATTAAGTCCAGCTTAAAGCTTGCTAGCTTCAGCTTAACGTGATTAATGCTTTGGATATAAAATGACTTTGGTTGGTTGGGTAGTTTGTCGCATAAATTGTGGTCGTTGGATCCTGGCACTTGGCAGAAATATCGTTCAAAATCATTTGGTGAAAAATAATAAAATTACAAAGTTGGTTTTTTTTTAAACATTTGGACTGTTTAAAACTATGCATACAAAATCTGAAATAAATATTATTCTTTCAAAGAGTTGGAAGTTCCGTTGACAATGATAAACAATCAAAAGCTTGGCCCACACCCTTTTCAATGAAGAAAACACCCTCGTGAAAACACACTGCCTTGTAAAGTCACGTTCTCCAACTCTATTTCTAGTCCATCAAGATAAATGTGAATAACAAAGCAGCAGAACAAGCCCCCCCCCCCCCCGAATAAATCCAGAGAAATTCTTATCACGCATTTCCATCGAGCGACTTCTTTAATTATTAGCCCCGACTTATTAGTTCCGCTGGCAGACGGAGAACAATAAAAATCACCCCGCTTGGCGGCGCATTTGGAATTAAAGGCACGTTCGAGCGTGATTTCAAGTACATAGGCACATGTTTTAATTGCTCTCGGTACACGGTGGTTGACACCACGGCGAAAATGCCACAATTACACGCCAAGGCATAATTAAAGGTGGGTAGCACCGGTGTCGAATTACAACACACAAGCGCGCGGAATGCAGGAGGCCAATCTTCGCCGCGATAAATTCTAATAAGGGCGAGCCGACAAATAGTTGCGTGACCATCAATAACGCGCGCGGTCGTTTAGGCAGTCTATTATTTCCTCCTTCTTTCGACTCCATTAAAACTTTTGATTTCCTGCCTGCCCTGCCGGAGAGCAAACGGAAAAAGTTCACCGGGCAGAAGTGCACCAACACACACACGTCGTGATGTTTGAATTTTTATTTCACTCGTGAGGGTTGTGTGGAGCACGATCCGATGGCACGACGCCAAAATGCGACAGTCCGTGTTATCACGAGGGAAGTTGTAAAAGTCGGCCCCAAAACACCCCTCATTTGTACATGCGGGGCAGAATGATTTAATAAGCGGCGACACTGGTGAATTATGATGAGATTTTCGAGTGTCCACATTATTATCATGCGGACAACTTGGCCTTTCGGAGGTGCTTCATATTTTTTCTCTAATCAGCCGAGCGGAGAGGCTCATTTTCGACCCGTCTGCCGCGCTCCGATTTGCATGAAAATTAGGCGATTTTATTCTGGGCACGAAAAGGTCAGAAAAAAATTTGTAAACAAAAAAATGCTAGTATGCCTTTTGGAAGATGAAAATAGAAGTGATGATGTGGTAACTTGATCTATTGTTTAATCAAAAGGTGTCTTTGCCTGAATAAATTAAAATAAGCAGCGCGGCGTCAAAGTGCCGGTCGCTGTCAAAACAATTCAATATTCGGCGCCAGGACGGAGCATATCGAGTTTCAGCTAAACATCCTTTTTCAAGAGAACGATCGAGCCGCTCAAGAGACGTAAATCTTAAGTTTCATTTACTCTGCACTCGAGTGTAAAGAAGGCATTTTTGGCGCAAGGGAGCAAGAACAAGCAAGGGTGACTTCTGAATTCGCCGCATGTGTAGTTAGCTGATGCATCCAAAAATGATGCGCTCCCCCTTTCAAGGGTGGAAGGAAAAGAGGAAGAGGAAAATGATGCCAGAGAAAACAGAGGCCGGCAAAGAAGGAAGCAACGGGTCCTTGCGCGAGGGGGTTCCAAATGATGGGGTGGGCGCTGCTTTTTCTCCAAAGAGAGAGAGTCAAGTGTAATATGGGGACAGACGCGGAGACAACAATCAGCCGGCCAAAATATTTATGCATGCTTGGCACACACGTACTCTGTGTATGACAATACACAGAGCCGAAAATCAATAGGCACCGTGTGAAAGAAACATCGTGGACGGCCAAACCTGCTTTGCAGGTAAAACGCGCTACAAGACATCTGCATCAGCAAGAGAACTAGTTTATCGGGTGGCGACATTCCAAGCAGATAAGTACTGTGCCAGGAAGCGGCGAAAATCAGTTAGCTGCATTTTCTATAAAATAACGACTCGAATGCGGTCGAAGAGAGTACTCCGCTAACCCACTTTATGACTATCTGCATTTCCGAGAATTTCCTCGGGACCGGCAGGTTGACGCCGCGCGATAGAGGCAAAGCATCAAATATTTATGGCGCGGCGATTTGGCCGCCGAGCAACGAACGGTGTGTGAGAAGGAGAGCGAACAATCGCGCCGGGCTTCTTCGACACGATTCACTCGTTTTTCTGCACGACAAAAAAATTATTGAATACATTAAGCGAATTATAGCTTCGTGTGCGTACAGCAATTATTACAACTGCACTTCCAGGAAGACAGAGGCACTCGCCGGAGGAATGACTACATAATTTTCCTCTCCCGTAATTCAAATGGGCGAAGAATTCGATCAATATTACTTTTTTTCAAATGCAAATTTCATTTCAACCCCATATTTAATTTTGATAATAAATTATTCAAATCTATTAAATTCAAAGTAGGGCAAGCTGCTGGCGTTCTAATCGATTATACGCTTGCTACGTTCGGAAGAGCGGATTTCCGAGAAATTTCTGACACAAACTCGTCAAAACGCACCCCCATCGGCAGCCCCAACAAGCTAATTTGAGCGATTGATGCGTACCTGGCCAGCAGCTGGCGCAAATGAGAGCAACCTGGCCGCCCATGGTGGGTGCCCGGCGATCGCGACCTCGTCCGTCCGCAGATTGAGCTGCCACTGACTGAACCGACTCACTAGAGCTACTACTACGGGCCGGGCGGCCGAGATGCGAGAGAGTTATCGCGGCGCTTAGCCGCGCACTCGCTGATAGGATAGGGGAACCGAGTGTGTACTACTGCTGGGGGATGAAAGAGATGACGGGGGTTGGTCGGCCGGTCGGTAGTTGAGAGCAAGCGGTACGCGCGCGGTGGTTGAGCAAAATCGATGATACATACAAGAATGTGAGAGTGTGTGTGGAGACATTTATTGGCCCGCACGGAGCAGCGCTTCCTGCTTGTTTGCATAAAACAATAAATAGACTGCGGCCGTGCTTAACCGGATTAATCTTGTCATTCCGGGGCGGGGTGAATAGGAAGACGGTAAAAAAATGAGCATGCAGCCGGTTGATCATTTTCTGTCAGCATAAATCGGCTCGCTTTTTTAATAGTCGAATCGATATAGAGCGGGAGGGCGCGCAATGTGGAGGCACGTGTGCCCTTTTCGTACCAGATTGATTCTTATTTATGACGAGAGGCCCTTTTTGTTTCGAGCAGACTGGAGCGCGCACTTAATTGCGATTTGATGGCAAAAAAATACGGCTGGCACACGCAGAGGCCGCATCGCCTGCATTTAAATGATAAATGATACGGCTCTTTTCGTTTGGAAACAATTCTCAACCCTCGTGTGTACCGACTGACAAAAGGCACTGCTGAAGAACAAAAAAAAAAATAGCGACCGACACCCATGCAAAACTCCAAAAATAAACACTAACAAAAAAGTTGAAATGGCATGCTTGAACTCTTTTTTTTTTAATTGGAAAGCAAAAATGATATTTTACCTCCTAATGACTGCTGGTCGCTCTGGACTTTGCTTTTGGTAATTGGCTGTTTGGTAGTTACCGTAGGTTGCCTCCCTCCCCCCTGTCTGTTGGTTTGCGGACTCTGAGGGCCATTGCTGAGGCCCACGGGGCCCCCCTCGGTTGGATGGACTCGCGGTTGAGCTGCTGCTGCTGCTGGGGTGGCGCCGTCCTCCAGAGGGGCGCTCGACAGAAGGTCCCACTGGCGCAGTTTCTCGCGGTCGATCTCGAAAGAGGGAGGAAGGCTTTCCTCTAAAAAATGCGGCTGTTGGCTGCCGTTTTGTGCCGCTGGTGGCCGGAACATCTCGTTGTCCACGTCGAACTCGTATCTGTCCACGTAGGTCTGGCCGCGGCGGTTTCGCTCCATGCTTTCCGTCGGCAGCAGCCGTTCGTAGAGGCCCGAGTCCTCCTCAGGTGGCGGCGGTGGCGGCACTTGATTTTGCCTGGACGCGCTCCTGCGTCCCTCCCTGTAGTCGCTCTCGTACAATTCTTTGGAACGAATCATCCGTGGTCTGACAGCCACGTCGTTCACGTAGGTCACGTCCCGGGTCACTTTAGCCGGCCTCTGAGCACCGGCAAGGTGGTCAACGCTTCTGCGACCTGAAGGGCCTGGTGCCGGCGCCGGTGGCGATTCGTTTTCATCGAGGTCATCCAGAGATCGGGTGTGCCTAATACTAACTCGTCTCAGGGACTCCCTCCAAAGGGTGTCTTCTTCCCACGGGTCGGCGCCTTCGTTGGTTGGCTCCAATTCCAAGGGCTGCTGAAGACCTTCTTCAACATCAACAAGTCCTTCCAACGAGCGGCTGCGGCGGCGCGCCTCAAACGAAGACTCAAATTTATCTCGCAGGCCTGCAGGGTAGAGGTTTCTCGTTGCAATATCAGGGTCAGGTGTTTTTGACCTGCGCCTCTGCAGGTGCCGCTTTTGAGCCATTTTTCTCAGCGTGTCCGCCTCGTAAATATTTCGCTCGTCAACCGGAACGCTTTTAGAGACGAGCCCTGCAGTTGTATTTCTGATTTCTTCAGCTATTAAATTGGGGTCGTTCAGATCTAAAATTCCGTTTAGCAAAGGAATGGGGTTGACGTGACGGCCGACGTCGCTGCGTTTTCCTTCGAGGCCGTCGTTCCTTTGGTTGTTCAGCCTCGAGCTTGGGCGCAACTGATTAACAGCGTGCTGTTGGTACCTGTCGTACATCGAGTTAGTCTCCTCGTCCATTACTTTTAGCAGGTCAGAGTAATAATAGGGCGCCCCACCGGCAGCCTCATTTTTACCTGGCGAAGTTTCAGCCCGACTTCTGCTCCGAGCTCCATTTTGATTTTCGTCCTCGACCACAACAGACGTCACTGGCTGACTAACACTGGGTGGAAATATCTCCCTGAATAGAAGGTCTGACTTCAGGTCTTTGGGCAGAGGTTTGTTTGTGGCGTACATATTCTCGTCCTGCGCAATTATATCTTTGTGGTAAGCACTTTCGGAAATTCCATATTTGGTATAATCAGTCAGAAAACTGCTCTCTTCAAAACTGTCCAACAGCTCCTCAGATACTGGTCTGCGTTTCAGTCTGTCTGCTTCACTGCCGTCCATCGAGGACCTTCCAGGAGCTGAACGGAGGCTGCTGAAAGAATTATTTTCTGGCCACTTTTGAACATCTTGAGAACCGTGAGAATGTCTGCTCAGGTCGAGGGAAAAATCTTCGTCTTCGTCATCCAGCGGCGGCAAAGTGGATGGTATCGGAGGTGGAGACACCAAATCACTGTCCGACGAGTCGTGGGGGTCATTGTTGCGACTACCAACGCCTAAATAATAGGAAGCTGGACGGAAGGTGTCCGAGAGGCTGAAACGCGGGTGGTGAGGCGTGTCCAGGTTTTCCAAGTCTTTAGAAGCCTCATCATCGGCGTCATCACTGTCCGACTTGTCCTTCTGACTTGAAGTGGAGTTCAAAATGTCCGGCAGGGCGCGCAGAGTATCGCTGGCGCCTTCATTGTAGACGACTGTTCTGCTGCTGGACGAAGTGCTGGAAGTTTTGCTGTGCTCGATGTGCAAACTGTCCATCTTTGGCAGGGAAAGACTCAAAGGCTTCAAGGGATCGATCGGTGGCACCTCCATGTAGACAGGTTCGTATTTTGTAGTCGCCTTATAAAGGAACTCATAGTGCGAATCTTCCTCTTCTGATTTTTTGCTGGTATCGATTTCAAAGTATTTCATCTCCTGGCAAATTGCGCTATCGTTTCTCTCAAAAACTGAATTAAGCGTTTTAACACCATCCTCACCCATTTCAACATACGAGCACTCCTCCAACTGTAAAACGGGTCCGTTTTGCTCCAGTATTGACTTTTTGGATGGAGTCATTGGCAGGTAGTGTTCCTCGGCAGCAGCAACGGAAATTTCCGGCGTTTTTATTCTCTCCGAAACTGGCGGATTCGGACTTGGCGAACTCCTGGATGACGCACTGTCTTCGTGCGCCACCATTGATTCGGCTAAACTCAGCCTCGTATAGCCCGGCGCCGGCAAGTCTTCCATCTGCAGCTTCTTTGAAGGCTGCTTTCTCTTTCTATTTTGCAACTCCTTTCTTTTCGCGTGAAGTTCTCTGCCAGAGCTGACAAAACCATCTTTGATGCCGAGGGCGGCTGCGATTTCCTCGTCGTCGTCCTCACTGCGTTCGCCGGCGCGTGAAACGCACCTCCGCTGCTGCTTCATCTCGCTCACGTTCTTCCTCAGCTTGCTCTCGTCCACGTAGTTAATTTCCGCATCGCTTGAAGTGTCGTAAAGCAAAGTCTCCGTGTCGCTAAAAACGCATCTTTTCGCCTCTTTGGCGGAAATAATTTCCTGTTCCCTGGCCAAAGCAGCCGACTTTCTCTCAAAATCGGCCAGCAGATCTCGCACAGATTTATTATTGTTGCTGGAGCCACTTTTCGGAGGCGACTTTGATACTCGCTGGGCGCTCTCAGTCTCGCCCGGCTCACCAAGGGCAAAACTGCGTAAGTTGATTTGCCGTGATTTTCTCAAACTCGCAATTTCCTCCTCCTCTTTGGTTTCGATGGTTGATTTGCTGCCAGGGGATGAAAGTGGCTCTATATTTTGGTAATTTGAAGGAGACTCCTGCATTTGAAATTTCACTCTGCTGGGAGACCTTTCTTGTCCGCCTTCAGGACTGTTTTTTACTTTCGGCGGAGAGGCTTCAAATATGCTACTGTGAATGTACTGATAGGAAAACTCTTTAATCAACTGCGATTCGTCTGTCGGCTGGCTCAAAATGCTCGACTTTGGCGGGACGGTTCTCTTGATTTCGGCGCCAGCGCCTTGCACTCTCAGAGAGTCGTAACCACTGTCGGAATGTTTGCCATTTCTGTCCTCCATCGGAATGAGACGCTGGATGGACGCAGTCGTGGGTGTCGTTTTACCAATCGCCGGGTGCAGATGAGTGGGGATGGGGGTTGGCTGCTCAGACTTGCTTGGGGAGGTTTGTTGAGGCGCGTACCTAGTCAGGGTGTCGCTGCTTTTCTTGACGCCGTACGCATCGTGCGAGTAGTGGACGTCGGGTGGGATTCGGTGCTGCTTTTTCTCGCCGAAAGCGTTTATGTTCACATAATCAGGGGTGAAGGGAAGCACGGCACTACCTGACGGGGTGTGCACCCTTCGTCTTTCGTCCACAGTGTCGACTCTGCCTGCTTGCTGGCTGGAAGTTGCCGACTTTCTCGGGCGTCGATTACTGCGGGCCTCCCGCTGGACATCTAGATAAACAATAATGGGCACTCTAAACGCTTAGAAAAATGCATCAACGGAGAATATTATTGCAGCAAGATGAAAGCGTTTCTCCGGCAGAAATTTTAAATTTTTGTTAGAGCATGCAATTTTATTTGAGAAAGGAAGAGATGTTTTGGTTTAATTTTATTTTATATAAGTGTTTAAAGTGCCCGATGCCCATGCTTAAGACGTTTATTGTAATCAGTTCTAGCTACAGAATTTAAAGGAGTAATTTTTTTTTAATTTTTTCTCTCTTTGTCATGAAATTTATAGAAATTTTAGGAGGCCGCGCAGTAGATTCATTTTACTGCCCTGAAGTTAGTTGAAAATGTTTGATTTAGATGCCAGCAAGCAGACAGATTTCACACCTTCCGGGCGAGTTTTGTTATTTTTTAATTTGATTTAAAGTGTATTCCACAGGAGGCAGCCGACAACAGACTTACCAAGAGTTATGCAGCCATTACATGCGCACCAGCGAGATTTGTCTAGTTCATGCCAGCAGATATTGTATATATGTTTGAATAGAAAATGTAATGCCTTTTAGTACCACAGTTTTGGATCCGCCTAAACCACGAGCAAAAGGAAGGGTTGATAGAAAGGTTTACTCACCCTCATCGTCCGAAGAGTACGAGTTTCTTCTTTGGATGGGAGGCGCAGACCGTCTACCAGGGTCCTGACTTCGACTCCGACTGGAGGTCGACGAATTTGGACCTCTGGTGGGCTGCCGCCTTGGTCTGAAGGTCACTGAACCGGCATCGCTGCCAGGGGTGGCAGGAGCGTCAGGGGTCCTCAGCAGAAGGTGCGACAAGGGCGAATGGGCGATCGAGTTGTCATGGGGTCGTGGAGAGGATTTTCTTGTCAAAGGGGACTGAAGCATTCGCTGCTTCCACTCCAACAGACGTTGCATTGATTCCTCTCTCTGCAATGAAAGTGAAAATGAAATTGATATATGTGCAGTAAAAATTAAAAACAGTATTCGCAATACAAGTTTAAGAAATGAAAATCTTTTGTAAATCTAATCAAGTGTGATTTAATAAGATTCCGAGTTTACATTTTTTATAAAGCTTCTTGTCATTAAATTATTTTCCTCGCCATTTTAAAAATATAAACCATTAGCCTTAGATGGTTCGAATCATTTGAATAAAAAATTAGATAAGACATTTAAAAATAATTTTAAAATCTTAGATTATTTTATTCTTCAAGATTATCAGTTTTCATGTCTAAAAAGAGAATTTATTAGAAAAAATTTGATTAAAACTTGTTCCAATTTGGAAATATAAGTTTTAAAAATATTTATATAAATAAGCAAATTATTAATTTAATTTTTCACTTTACCTGTTGGATTTTCTTTTCACTTCCTGGAGCTTCCGTTTGTTCATGTTGTTCATGCCTTGACTTATGTCTCGGCAATCTGGCACTGGCACTTCTCATAAATTGATTACCATGTCTGTCCATTTGCTCACTGTACCTCCTGGAGGGGCCAACGATCTGCTGTTCCTCGGCCACTCGTCCGTCAGGTTGAGCCACTCCAGGTCTTGCGTGGGTCGGTGGCTTAACCTTGGTTTCTCCGGGGTGTTTCTGCATAGGAGTTGTTCTTCCTGAATGGGCTTGGGCGTGCATGTAGAGCGACTGTCTCATTTTTCGCGCGTAACTCTCCTCCGACCAGTAATCGTCGTTGTGAACTTCGATACTGGACTTTGGGCGCTCAACCGGGCGCGAGTTCTTTTCTCTCCGAGGAACAACACTCGGTGGCACATCCCTAATGTCAGTTTCTAAAAAGTCTGCACTGTGCGGCCGAGGTGGATGGCCGGCTGGAGGTTTGGGCCGGGGTTTGACTGGGGGTGCAGGACTGGTCATCCTGAAGGCCTGTTTTGGCAGGGTGGCTGGCGGGGGCTGTTTTGTGGGTGGCTCCAGAGGTCGCTGAGGTCCAACAGGTTTGACGTAAGTTTTTGTAACATCAGGAGGCGGCTTTGCGTAGTTATTATTATCATGAGGGGATGATTTGTGGTTGTCCAGTTTTGGCTCATTCATGTACGCCTGCGGCGGTGGCGGCGGCCACGCACCTTTGCGCCCGTAAACGTCCTCGTAGTCAAGAGGCCGGCCGTAAGGGTCAGGTGTGCGCCCCTCAGTGTGAGACCTTGGAGAAACGCCGTAAATTCCTCCTCGAGGGGTGAGTTGTTGGGGATGCGGGGGCCGTTCTGGACTCGGCTCCGGCGAGTCACCCTGAGGTAGGCGTTTGGGTTTCGGGGGTGCGTTGGCGTAGAGGGGTTGCATGTTGGGAGGGCCCCAGCCATTGGTTTCAACGCCTTCCTTAGCACTGGCGCCGTCACCACCCTGTCTGGGGGTGGTGTTTCCTCGAGGTGAGCGGTAACCGTGGAATCCGGAATCACTGTCATCAGCGCTTTGCGAGACGGACGACACGCTTGGTCTACTGGATGACGCAGGTTCTTCCCATCTATATAAAAAAAATTTGAAATTAATTTAATTACAGTTTTCAGTCACAGAATAAAAATATTACTTAAAAACTTCAACGATTTAAAAAGCTTAAAACAGTAAGGATTTTAGATAATCTCACATAAAATTTTGATAGAGCATTTTTTGTCTAATAATATTAAATATTGGATAATTTTAAAAATGAATAAATATTTTAATTCAGAAATGGAATGGAACAAAAAGAAAAATTGATATTTTATAATAATTAAAATTTTATAAATATAAACAATTGGTTTTTCACTTTTTTCTTAAACAATGAACAACTCGCAAAACCCAACGAGGAAAAGCCAACTTTGAATTTAAACAAGATTAAAAAAATGTATAGTTAAAAGTAAAAAAAAAGTTTATTTAAAAAAAGCAATATTTAAAATAAAAAATAATAATATTTCATTTATCTGATCAAAATTATCAGATATAAAGTTAAATAAACTTACGAAGGCACCGCTGTTTGCAAAATTGATGCTAGGCTCATGGCATTCATCCATCGCACCATCATTTCCCGTGAATCAGCAGCAAAAAAATATGTGCGCATGTTGTGGTGCTCAGCTTTAAATGAGAACTTGCGGAAGACCCTGTCGTCCGGAGCACAGGGGCTAATTTTGTACGACGGCAGCAGAATTGAGCCTAAAAGTTTTTCTTCCTCAGGTCCTGCAAATGGAAAAATGAGTTATAAAATAATTAATTTAATATTAGAGGTTGCAAACCTTTGTAGTAGAAAAGGCAGTACTCGGAAAGCACGAACCAGCGGCGTTTCCACAGCATCAGACCCTCACTGCCCTGTTTGTAGAGCCACCCCTGCAGGGTGACCTTGGCCGCGGACGGTCTCTGGACCATTGGAGAACGCAATTGGGTCTGACGACCTCCACTGCTGTCTCTGCTCCGTCTCCTCCCGTGCTGCAAACAGAGAAAGAGTTTTAAAATCACAGGTACAAACACAGACATGCGGTATGTATTTGCATTTCAGCACATTAGCATACTGCGGCACTCTCTTTTTTCGCCTTTTGCTCTTCCGTTTGTACGAATAAATTGTTTTTTTTTCTACATATGTATGGGTACTCTCCACTGATTGCCGCTTATTACCAACTCTTTTTGATCTCGCTACAGAGAGATAGAAAAGGCAAAAAAAGCCGCTGAGTTCTGTAGCCAAATGGTCTGGATTTTTTTTAAACAATTTGTCCGCAGAGGAAAGAGGATTTTCATCAATTTTTAATTAAATGAAAGAGTACAAATTTTCAATTGTAAAAACACTTTTGTGATTAAATTATTCCCTCGCTTAAAATGTTGGATGAAATTTTAATTATTATACAATATTACTGGATACATTTTTCAAATAATATTATTGAAACTCTTAAAATCTGTTCATTATTTTTAAAGTGTTATTATTCAATTTTTATGGTTAATTTAATTTAAAGACACTTAATAATATTTCATTTTGAAATGAAATCATATTTCAATTGAAAGCATTTTTGTATTAAATAATTTTGTTGGAATTTCGACCCACTTGGCAAGATGAGTTTGCAATGGAATCCAGTTTGTCTATACACTTTTAGCACGGGCTTTTATTCAGTGCTCCACAAAAGGATCCGCTGAGGATTTAGCACAGTTGGCAAACACGAATTAGCGTGGCTCGTCTTTCAGCGCGGCCCGACAACGGCAGCTAATTAAACACCCTCTCGCCATGAACACCGGTGCAAGTGAAAAGCAAGGCCCACGGCGCGGCACCCCTAAATGAATCACGACCTCTCTCGTCCTCTCCACCCGTCCGGTCCGCGGGCGAGCGAGACTGAGTGCTCGTTGAAATACAAATTGGCTCGCGGTGAAAGAGGCTTCCATTGTTATCATTCATCGCATTGGGCTGGCCGGGAGTTTGTCCGCGCGGAAAGAAAGAGAATTGGCTGATTTCGGCTCCGACAATGGCATTAAAAACTCGCCGAATTCGGCTCATTGTGAGTCTGGCTTTGATTGCTCCATTCAGCTGCGGGCATAAATATTTGAGCTCGACCATGCATGCGACCTTTTTTTAAATGAAAAATTCAAACATGCACCGTGTCTGTAGGGACGGCAGGTGAATAATTCAAGACCAACTTTTTGATTAATCATACATATAACGCTGCTTCGGACAAATTTTTGACTGACGTTGAAAATCTAATTTATGCATAGAGAGTTCTATGAACCCGGGCACATTTTACATACACCAATCCCGAGAGGTGTGACCCAGGTTTTGTGTTTATAGTTGCAAACTATCGATCCCCCCGGCGAACCTGCTTTAAAGCCAGAGCCCGACTGACTGACTGAGAATGTGTGCAATGTGCGCTGGGTTGCAAATAACGCCGGCTGTCTGCAAGATAATTGAAATGCACTTTCGTTCCATGTTGTGTCTGCTGTATTTTTTTTTATCTCTCTTATATTTTTTTTTTCATTCTATCCTTTGAAAAGCTGTTTCGTCGCCCCATAGCTGACTATGACAGAGACCAAGGACGTGTTTTTAATGAATCTGTTGCAGAATCAAAGACGGCGCCGCCGCAGCTTGAAGAAATGAAGCAGAAATCCTGATAGCGAGTTATGCAACCGGAGCACTTTTAAAGCTTTGCTCACATCATCAAGAGAATCGGGGCTTCGGGTGCATAATGAAAAATCTATACACGGCTAATTGACTTTGTAACTAATCGTCTTGTGTAAAATAAAGTTTTTCCAACAGGTTGCAGAGCCATTACGGAGTTTTATGAATCCAATAAAACGCGCACCGAGTCATCGATAAATTTCGCAAAGCACTTATATTTATAGAGCAAGATTCGAGCTCTTGAAGTTGGAAAATAAATCAACTGCTTCTGTGTGTACGTAAGAGTTGTTGAAAAATTCACGCTGCCCACTTGTACGCCGGCTGTGTGTCAATTAGGCGGCGCGTTTGTTTTTGCGAAAGTGCACCCGGCACAGAGAGTCAAGAGAGGTGGCGGCGGCGAATCGATTGCCGCCGCCGCTTGGGTGACAAACGCACACACTCTGCACTCGCCACTTTGGCTCGCTACTTAATTTTGCATTGGCTGAAAAAGCCAACCGACCAACCGTGCGCAGATAAAAGTGACGAAGGCAGCACGTCAACGCGAAAAACAAGAGGAAAATGAAATTTTGACAACAAAATTCAATTGAAAATACTAGACATTCTTTATAAAATTGAAAATTGAATAATTTATTAAAATAAAAATACAGAGTGTTGATAAAAAAAGCAATATTGAACGTTTTATTTAAAATTTATTTTTTTAGTGTTAGAGGTTATTACAATTGTTTCTGTGTCTTTTGTTTTAAATGTAAAATAATTATCTATATTAATTTCAGCAAACTTATATTTTTTCCTTAATGTTTAAAATGTGTTACTAACTAAAACTCTGAAACTGTAAAACTCAGTTTAATTAATGAAATATGATGAAGTATCAAAAGGCTTTTAAAAATCTAAGTTTGGCACTTTTTCATATTCTTACTTCCAACAAAATTATTCGCCCAGTTGAATTGAACAGAGATAATTTTTTTTTTTTTTTTTTTTTTTATATTTGCTTTGTAATTCATGCATCAGCAACAACGAGCAAAAGAAAAATACAGACGAAACAAATAAAATAGCTTTTTCTATTTTGGCTTTCACTAAGTTTTACAGTGATTGAAATTAATTCAACTTTATTTGTAAAAAATTTGAAATTCTAATAATTTACATTATTATTCGTTTTATTGTGAAAGGTTTCAAATTCACTGTGCTTCAACTTCGAATTTAAAAGATCTCATTTTCAGCCGGATTCAATCTCAGACACTCTGAATGAGCAAACAGAACACAATCCTCCCCAAGAGCAATAAAATGCGAGTACATTAGCCCCGGAATATAAGTGAGCTGAAAGTGCTTGTCATCTCAATAACAAAAAGGTGCCGCGGCAAACTTGTTTTCGGCAAAGCGAACGCACGCCCTCTTTGAAAAATGAGACGATGCCGGCAGAATTTTGCGCATAGTGCGAAAATATTCCGTGCAGGCTCCTCTCTGCCGTGCGCGCGTCTTTCGCTTGTCTGATAATAAATTCCGACGCAGGTACGCGTAATTTCCAGCGTTATGGAAAACGTGCCGGAGATGAGAAGATGGCTTGCAGAGTCCGTCTTCTTCTTCTTCTCTCTCCGCAGCGTCGGCTTTTTGCACATGGTGCGGCGGCCGCTCGCTCTTTGCGCCGGCAATTGAATGAACATCGATCTGGCTCTCAAGCAAAAGGCGTCTTAAACGAGACACATTGTAGAGAATTTCTGCTTTTGTCTCGTGCGCCAAATCAATAAAATGCTGCGCGAGATTTCTCAGAAAGAGCGAAATTTAAAAAGTTTTCCTTTTCCAACAAATGCGTTTCCCACTCTCGGTGCCGCAATTGCGCTTTGACACTTGACGGATCGCTTGCCAAAGAAGTTTACCCTTTTCAATCAAGTCGGTAATAAATAATTTTCTAGCAAAGAGCAATTTGTCTTCGATTTCGCAAACTTTAGAGATCGTTTCATGCAAAATACGTGGGACTGAAAACGCGTTTAATTGCTTTTAGCACTAATGGAGATAAATAAGTGCCAAGCAATGAGGTTAATTACCTTCATGACGTCCATGGCGAACGCTGTGTGATGAGGTGTTTGGCCCACAGGAGGGTCGAGCCTGAAACAAAACAAACAAACAAACAAACATTAATTGTCACTTCCTTTAAAAAGAAAAAGAAACAAGCAATGATTAAATTACTTAAATAGAACTTGCATGAGATGATTGGGTGGAAGTTATTTTATGTTTTTAACAATCTTTTAAATTTTCTTACTTAGCGCAATAATATAAATATTGTTAATTTAAACCATTAAAAACAAAACTTTCCCCAGAATTTGTTTCTTCCTAATCCTTTCAATTTTTGCTTATATAAAATTAACTTTCAATTTTAAATTACATTATTTCTAATTGTAAGGAGTATTTAACTGCCTTCATCGTGTTAGGTGTGTGCGGACACATAAAACTTGATTTACTCTAATTTTTTTTTATTATGAAGGAAAATTGGATATTTATAATTCTAATTTGCTTAATTAACTTTCTATACATCAAATTATTTACTATCTTGTTATTTTTCTTTTGATACTTCTAACATTAATAAAACTGCAGAATTTTAAGAATTAACAAATTCTAAGCTAATTTTTAACAAAACTCATAAATTTTTTTGTTAAGTTCTTATTGTGTTCTAAATCAATCTGAAAATTCATAAAAAAAATACTACCATTAACAAATTTTTAAATTAAAAATCTACTTGCAAATGATCAAATATTTTCCACAAAATTTACAGATGAAAGTAAAATTTCGAACGGATTTTGTCCCCAAGTGACCTATTTTTGTCATCGTCACTGCACACGCAAGAAGAAAAGAGAGGGCGATTGATTGGCAAGGACCGTGCATCAGTCGGCGGCGGCGGCGGCGGCAGCGTGCGTTCCCAAATACTGCAGTGCTCCGGGAGACTCATCGCTCGCTCGGCGGCCGCTTTGAAACAACACTGAACGCGCAACGGCCAAGGGAAGCCTCGCAGGGTTCGAGGAAGAAGCCCCTCGAGTGACCATTAAGGTGGTGGGTCTTATCAGCTCATCCCCCGAGGATGAATTGCGATGCGCAAAGTGGCTTCGAAATTCGCGCTAATCGCACAAAAACAGAGGCAAGAAACACAACACAGCTTTATACCTATCGACCGTGCGGAATTTGGCACCGAGTACTGTGCTGTTGTGCTAATTTCACTTTCTGAATCACAACCACCCGGAATAACAACACTCTAGAACGGTCTGCCAGCGTGTTAAAGACTTAAAAATTACAAAAAGGTATAAAAAGAAATGGAAAAATATTTTAAATAAAAAAAATTATGAAATCAAGAATTGTTTGGAATTTAATTTAAAGTCGAATAAAGGGTGGAAAAAAGTTTGTACCACGACCAGCAGTGCCAGAGACAGGTGAACATCTCGCCGGTTGCCGGGATCACGTGCACGGAGCGCGGCTGCTGGAGCAAGTCTGGAGCACCGACTGGCGGCGCTCGCACACCCAGCCGTGTTTTGCTCCGACTATCGGACAACTTCGCAAAAAGCCTCGACTTCCTTCGCCAAAATTATCATTGCGGATCTCTCTCGTGTTGAATGTGCGGTCCACGGAGAGGGCCAACCACCCCGCCGATCGAATCAACCCCCTCGGCCACGTCTATGTTTTATGCCGCGCCAGACGTGCTTCACTTAGGGAATTAATTTTTTTGCGAAAACGATCGATTTGACGTTAATAATTTATAAAATAAAAACCGAATTTATCTTATAGAAATTATTATACTTGCTATTGGTGGTTCGTTTTGACCAACAATTCCTTTTCTTTTCAAATAAATTGTTTTCAACAATTGAATGTAACAATTTGTACAATTAAACAACAATAATTAATAATAATACCAACATATGACAAAAACAAATAAAAATTTCAGGCTCAAAATATTCGCTTTAAAATATTATGGAATAAATTATTTTTCGAAGCATTCTTTTATTTTCATTAAATTTTTCTGAAGTATTATCATTTTATTTTGAAACTCGATAATAAATATTTCACATTGATATTTAAATTTTTTTTCTAAATAAAAAATAAGGTTTAACAAGTAATTTTACTTCATTAACCACATCCATGTTTTAACATTTAATTTGAAATTGCTGTCCAATAAATTCCACTTAATCACGTTATTTGTGCACGATTATGCTAAAATGCCATCTCGGCAATTGCGCCAACCCATTTTGTCTGCCCATTACTTAATGAACTACAGTTACTTGCGGCGCGTCTAGTGACAGATTTATTGAAAGACGCCGGTTGAGCCAGGTCAGTGACTTGAGCGTGCCTCGCGATCGGCCTTTCCTTGAAGATCCATCCCACTATTATGGCAATTTTGCACTTTCACTGTGGGTGCAGCGCCGGTTACGCGTCGCATGAACACCTTTCCGTCTGCTTATCTATAGGCACTCAAATGCGGCCTCTTCAAACGTCGTCATAAAACACACTTCAAGTGACGGTTATTGTTTCAAATGCCGTAAATTTAATTAAGCAGCGTTTAAGCGCCATGCGGAAGAAAGAATGCGCGTTTGCGTTTTGCTTTGCCTCATTAGCATTACTCTCATGTATAATACGCCTCTTTGGCGACATTTATGCATGGTTGATATTTATTAATCTCTTTACATATTTCATTCTGTTTTATTAATTATAGCTTCTCTTTCTCTTAACTTCAATTCTTGAATTGTGACAAATAAACCAGAAGTAACATTGATAATTGTGATACAATAAAAACCAAAATAAGAAAATTAAGTAAAAAAAGTATTTAGATTAATTAATTTTTGAAATTTCATTCAGTTGTTGAATAACAAAATTAAAATGTTTTTTCATAATATGAATAATATGAATCATTTTCATCATTTGCAAATCACGCATCAACACAAAGAGCTTAGATAGTGATGAATACTTTGGATCAAAGCTGTCGTTAAAATAGATTCGCTGATCGACCAAATAATTATTAAATAAATCAGATATTATAAAATTGCAAAACCTATGAATAATTATTCCATTCTTAAACTTAAAATATATCACATAAAAAGTTTATATTCGAAATTATTTCAAAACCATTATTATTGAAATTATAATAAATAACAAAAAAATATAAGTTTTAATGATGTTATTAAAAATTCCTATTTATTTTAAGTGATTTTTTTCAAAATAAATTATAAAAATAAGTTTGATTCATGTTTATTTAAAAAACAACATTAAATCAATAAACTTTGCAACACTCTACAGAAAAAATACTACATAAAAATTTTCTGCGGAAAATCGCTCCAGTGGCAAAACTCGGGTCAGCCGCCATCTGTACACCAGAATGCATAACTAGCAGGGGCACGCCACGGTTGCGAAATACGCACGGTAGGCTTGTGCGCCAGCAGCCGGATAATAAATTCGCTTTTTAAATTAATACAACACAAAAGTGCGGAGCGAACGGTCTGTTGCGTCACGAGAATATCTTGCTCGCTCACTCGCGGATTCCACGTGAAATTCCAAATTAATTAGTCGACGGCAAAAGGAAAGAGAAAAGAGTCGAAAAAGGTGCATTCCGAGCGGAAGGAATGCGTGAGAGACTCGACGACGACCTTTTTCACTTTTTACGAGGAGGCACGAGTTTTTGACAAAGAGATAAAAATTAATTCCAGAGATGCTGCTGGTGATCGTGGACCAAAACCATCAGGTTCCCACAGCGGCATTGGATGTTTTTGCAGAAAAAAAATTAAAGTGGACAATGTTATTGTTTCTTTGACGATGATCACTGTGTTGCAGCTTAATCTACGAGAAAATTGAGACATAAAAAATCACCTTTTTTTTTGTTCCTGCAATCATGAAAATAGTCCAGAATCTCTTAACGTTCTTAATAAAAAATTTTCATCCCGTTTGTTTGATCATTTTAACAAAAATTCAATCTCTAAAGAATAAGAGAACTAAAAAATATAACAATCCCTCGCAGCTGTTTATTTCCTCCAAAGTTATCTCTTTTTAATTACCCACTCCGTAGCTTGCTTCAAACAACAATTTCTGGCTGAGCTCACGACGGCGGAAGTAGAGATTTTCCTCTTGAGAGGTGCACCCACGGAGCAAATATTTGACCCGCGGTGCCCACTGACCTCTGCGTCGACCGTCTGAGCCCCTCCGCTGTTTGCTCTTGAGATAACAAGCCGGACTCACCTGCTGCGACCGTGGGCGTATAACATGTTATTTGAATATTGAATCACATACGTTTTAATCTCCCGGCTGCCGGTTTTGATATCGAGTTCTTTTGTGCGTAGTACGATTTGACAATCAGAAATCCGTGCTGTACAACATGAGGCGCATAACAGATCCGTCTGTCAATAAATTCCGACTCTTTTTTGCTTGCTCGGCGCGCGGGACTCTTGTTTGCACGGAGAGAGAACGACGGAAAATCCAATATTGGACTTTCGAGAGCTGGTTTTTTGCTATAGGGCGAAATTAAATTTTCGCTTGTTGATATCCTAATGTAAATTTGATGGAAGAATTCGTCTGATTTGACTTTTTTCTGAAGAAAATGTGGAATTGAATATTTTTTATTCATCTAAAAAAGTTTACTGAAACTACAAGCTCGCTACAATAGCCAAAATTGGTTAAAATAATGTTTACTGAACTTGAATATTAGTTAGAAATTTAGTTTTATTTCATCAATTTTTTTTAAATTTGCTGAACTTTCGTTAAAAAAATGGTTAAAAGCGATTCCAATTGAATGAAGTGAAGGATTACATGAACAGTTCAGTACATAACTTAATTATATTATTGGTATTGGCATTTTTTTTTCATATCACTCGGATTTTTTCTATAAGTAGACTTTAATTTGATATTCTTTTTACAGTAATACGATGTTGATTGTTAACCATGATTGGGCATATTTTTTACTTATTGAATTACAAATTGTTATAGTAATATGAGAAAAGAATATGGATAAAAAAATCGCCTTAAATTTCGAGTCATTTGACTTTTAAAATGAATACGGAGCATGATGTAAACACACCGTTTTCAATTTCCCTCAAAACCGCGCCGGTGCCTATTTTCGTACCCACAAACGCGCCTAACGGTTTCAGAAGCTCAAAATTAATCAGCTTTCCATGCTGTTTCTCGCGGCGGACGGAATCGCAATTTCCTTGCCGCTCTTTTCAGAGAGCAGCAGATCAACAAACATGAAATATTTACACAGCGGAACCGTGGAAAATTATCATTTCACACGTCATGTGGTGGCGAGTGAAAAAATGAAAGATGAACTCACCAATCCTCGCTATCTGTCGGAGCCGCGAATGATTTGGGCCGCAGAGGAGTCGAGGTGGCCACTCCAGCCGGCAAAAACTCGCGGGCACTGCAACACAAAAATGAGAAATTGTTAGAGGAGAACGAATGAGAAAAGAAATATATGGTGATGCAACCGGTCATGCGAAACGATCAATTCTGATGCTTGAAAAGAGAAATGTCAAAAAGGGCCGGTGAATCACAAAACTATAAATTGCTGCAAGTGGGACGTCATTTTGCAACGTTTGCATTACATACACCGGCGGTGACTTTCATCTTTCATACAATTTGTGACGTGTATTGACAATGAGTAAAATGTCATCCTAATCTCCTAATCGTATGTCGAGCTTATCTTAAAATACTGAGAAATTAAATATTTTAGAAGTGAGGCACACCTTAAAATAGCAGAAATATTCAGAACAATCTGCAAACAATTATTTAGTTAATTTAAAAGTAAATGAATTGCAAATTAATTTCATGTTTGGGAAAAAATATTTTTCAAGTTATTGTTCTGACGATTTCACATTCCCTTTCAAATTTTTTAGGCATACCTTTCCATGAAATCGCAAACGTGCTAATCTAAATAGCAAACCATCCACAAAAGTCTCACACTTTCTTCCGCAGGTGCAAAAAGCGCTCCGAGTTGTGCAGCAAAGGCCGAGGACAGGCAAAGTGACACGCTCGCCGTCGTTATCACGGAAACACTGCCTACCCATGCCGCTGTTATCGCCATAGCTCGACTTCTTGATAACGGGGCGGACACAAGTGCGCTCTCAAAGTACGGAAGAATGTTTGTCAAGTACCTGCCGCACATGCACACCTGTCGCGGCCGGCGTTTCCGCGAACTTTTGCTGGCTGCGGCTCGCCCAGCTATTGATTTTTGCTTTGCCCAATGCTTGCGGATTTTCGGCTTAATTGCCTCTTAAAAAGTCTCGCACGCTCCTCCAAAGTTACATCCGTGCGTACACATGAAAAGAGTACCGAGCGCACGCCCCGGGTCTCTTTGATCCTCGCTCGGAAATTCAAATGAGATGGTGCGAATTTTTGTGCGTTTGCGAAATTTGTGTTCCCTCGGCCGAAAAAGAAGTTGCCGTTCTTTGGGTAGAGAGGCATACAAGTGAATGGTATACAATAATTCTCAAAGTCCACTTTGATGTGTATTGTAAAGAGTTGAAAGGAGCAAAACAGAAAGTTTTTGAAAGCTCTTATAAATCGAGACGAGCTTATTTACAAAGATAATAAAAGTGTTACTTTGGCACATTCATCAACATTTATGCCAAAAAGTTTTTATTTCCGTATTTAATTAAAATTTCTACCATTTTTATATTTTCTATATCAAATATTTTTGTACTCCTCATTAAAATATTAAATTTAAAATAATTTGGAATTATTATAATATCGTAGGGCTATTTTTGAGGGTGCCAGAAGTAATAAATTAATTTGAAAAGGTCTGTCAAAACTTATGATGAATTCCAATAAGATAACCTCTAAAGCTTGCATGGTTTGACTTATCCTCTCTGTGAGAAATTCCTATCCACGTCAAAAGTTGCAAGAACAGCAAAGCACGCTAACTCTCCTTGTGTATTTTGTGAAATTGCGCCGCGACGAGAACCGCGCTTTTGCTCGTTACTCGCCAACTCCAACATGACATGCAAATAACAATTTATTTGAAACTCCCGGCAGCCACGAGTGAACTTTTCCGCCTCCAAGTTTGATTATAAAATTAATGTGGCTCAAACGAAAATGCAATTATACAAGTCTGCGATTTTATAATGACGAAACTTTCCAGCCTGCATGCATATAATCATAATCTCTATGCATAGTTTCCTAACGAAGCATTTAAAAAAAGAAAAGGAGAAACGCGATTCTCAGAGCAGCAGAGGAAGAGCATATAATTTAGTTTGGGGAAAAAAAGCGGAGAAAGAGTAAAGCGCAAGAGAATGCAAAAGAGCACGTCTGAATAATGACGATTTTCAGGCCCATTTTTCAGCTCCTGCCGGCCGATGACTAATTTCAATTTCATGCTCGTGACGTCGCACGCATTTATGTTTGGAATTGCGCCCCCGTTCTACGGAAATTTGTGTGCGAGTGTGACGGGGCAACCGAATTGCGGTGAAAAAAAAACAGCTGCCGCGCGTTTCATTGATGCGAGAGCGACTCTGTTTTTAGCAAATCCAGCGCGTGTTTTTGTTCAGGTCACGTTCGCTGGTCGCGGCAGTGCCTGTCGCCTTGAATGCAGTGAGAGCTGGGCACAAAGAAGGAAAGGAGCAGACATACTGACCGCGTACACCCGCCAGAAAAAATTAAATTGCCACTTGTTTTTCATTAGCAAACTGGGCCGCTCGTAATTTTATTTGGAGAGCGCCTGAAAAAGGTTTCCCTTATAAGGAGTTTGCAGGAAAACTTTTCGCATGAAAAAAAATAAGCAACTTTATTAAAAATGAAATATTTTTCAAACTTTCCTCTTCGTCAAATAATAGCAGGAAAAAGGTATTAAAAATTGTGTAAGAAAAGGGATGGAAAATAAATTTAGTTTCTTACAAATAAGTTTTTTCCTTAAATATTTTTAATTTCATAAAAGTTCAAAGACTTTTTCTGTGTCAACACACAGCTTGCTCAGCAACATTTTTGACAAACAGGAAAAAGCTTAATGAACGAGAAAAATCAAGGCAAAATTTCACGCATTGCACAAAACACCACAAAACAAAGTGTGCCTGTTTCTCTTTTCTTAAACATACCAAGTCGTTCATTCAGCATTTAAAGAGTTATTATGGTTTCGCCGCCGCGACGACCTCGTGCCTGAACCTGGTTAAAAATAAAAGCAGCCAACGTTTCCTTTTTACGGCTTAGGTCTCACGAAACGCAAAACGCACACACGATCCTATTTGTTTTGCAAGCGAGAAGAAAGATGCTGTCAAGGGGTTAAACGTCTACTTTTCCTACTCGGCGTGTGTGTCTTGCCAGCTCGCACAAGCGACACATTCGCTCTCGTGCTCGCTCGATGACAACAGTTAAAACCAGCACACGCCCCATTCATGGCTCAAGTGACACTAACAATTAATTATACATTTATCTTTTGTATAATATCAAAATAAAATTTTATTATAAATATTTTATAACCTTTGTAAAAATCTTTTCAATGTTATAAATTTTATTATATTAATTTGATAATGATTTTATTATTTTATTTTATTAATAAAATAAAATTTAATTTATTTAAAATATATTTTCGTGTCGAGATAACTTTGATTTTGAAATTTTTATTATTTTAGATATTAAATATCTTTGACATCTGACATTTTATTAGTTATTACAAGTGAAAAAAAATTGACATTTCTTCTGTCTGGGTTAATTGGGGTTAATTTTTATTAGATATTTGGAGTAATGATCATTGTGCATGAAATATAGTGATTACAAATTAAAAAATTGAAGTGAACTAAATAAGATTATATTTTGCCTGCATACGGGACGCTATATTGTTTCTAACCATGCATTGCAAATTCGATGCAGATATAAAATCCAAACAAAAGACTCCTAACTTCCCATCATTCCATTCAATTGAAATGAGCCGACCCACTCAAAGTATCATCACCCAAGATAAAATTATGCAAATATCCTCGCCGAGATATCTTCATTCCGCACGCCTCTCTTTTAATCAAGAGCGTATACAGAACCAGATGTGGCCCACTTTGGGCGTAAGTGCATTCAGCACGCGCTCGGAGAAAAAAGTGCTTCTCTGGTAAATCACGACAGGTTTCGAGCAAGTGCACGCACAACGCAGTGGCCCCGATTTCGATTCACAGATTCTCGTCTCTGCACTCAGCACAATCACATTTTCGAGAGTCCATTATCCGGCCGAATGCTCGACCCGGCGCAGCATCCTTCGCTCGCTCGAGATAAAATAAAAATGAAAAATCGCACGGCCTTTGCGCTCAGCAAGTCAAGAGAGGTCCTTGAAAATTTCCCGCCCGCGTTTTTTCTTTTTTCTTTATTAATCCTGCTTTTTATCTGGCGGGCGTTGCGAAAATCGATTCCGTTTTGCTCCCGTGAAAAGCTGCTGAATTAACAATTTTTCTCTCCAGAGAAAGAGAAGCCGAGTCGGAAGGAATAATTATTTTCCTGCTCTCGAACACACGTTTTATTTAAAGCGTTTGTTTAGACGCGCGCGTCTCTCTTTCTCTCTCTCTAGCTTATACCTGAAGGAAAGTTTAATTAAGCGAGTGTGCGTGTGGCTGCGAATTTGGGCTTTGTGCAAAAATTACAGTAGCCTGAGAGTGAAGAGAAGCGTTTTGTAAAAGAGAAGCGAGTGACGGAATAATGAGTTGAGCTTTTGCATTTTGCTTTCCACCTGAATCAACACTGAAATCACTTAATACAAATAAAATTTAATTTCCAATTACTATTAGAGTTTTTAGGAGGAAAATAATGCGCTGAAAATCAATATTATTATAAATATATTTTGGAAGTAGATCTTTCAAAAGTGTGTTAAAGTTTGTAATTATGAGCGGGTAAACTCAATATTTGCAAAGTGACATTAATGTTTATTAATCTGCAAGTATAAGTAAAAAGATCATATCAAAATAAACCTATGAGAGATTGTTCTAAAAAATTGTTCATTTTGATGGATGGTTATAAATAAGTAAAAGAAAAAAATATAATAAGTATGTAAGCACCTGAAATTAAAAGCAACAAAAATATTAAAATAACGATATAATTTGAATAAATTAAAATTCGGTAAATTTATATAGTAAAAAGCTAATAATTATATTATTAAAATAACATTTTAACAATTAATAAGCAATAATAGATACAGTTTTAAAAATTTCTTTTAGTTTGTAATTTTTGTCAAATGTTATAATAGCTGTTATGCAAATTTTGAGCCCAGCGCTATTCCATTGATGTCACAAAGATCGGTCTATATGCTTCAGCCTTCCATTCCATTCCAATCACCGCAACTCATCTGCCGAATACGGCTTGACATTTTAAATAAGGCAAAAGAGCTTTGCCTTGTTTCACTGCGATAATGGCCGAAAATAGCAAAAGCGACGGCGCACGCACGACATTGAATCT